TGGCATTTCTCGCATTTTCTTGTGACACTTTCTCCAATTCATCCAAGGGAACAACTATCCGAAACACCATGCCGGGGCAGCAGTTTATCTGAAGTACGAGGCATCATCATGCAATACTTCAGAGTTGCAACTACCACCCGGAACTGATTCATCCGAAGTACAAGGCATCACTATGCAATACTTCGGGGCTTTATCAGTTCCTATTTTTTAGGCTATGTTTCGGATAAGTCTATGGCCTTTTTGCCCAAAGGAACAGCTTCTCCGAAGTACAAGGCATCACTATGCAATACTTCGGGCTTGTATCCTTTTTTGGCAGGTTTTACGGCTTGCCGAGGTACAAGGCATCATTATGCAATACCCCGGACAGCGCCGAATGAAACCTTGAATTTTCTGACCATGTTCTTTGCATCCGAGATCATTGTAGGCCAAAAATACCCTGCCCTGAGAGCTTTGTGGGCTAAGGTTCTCCCTCCTATGTGGTTTCCGTATAAGTATAGGATGTCTCCTACGACTGGCCTTGCCAGTGTTGGGAGTTGAGCCAGGTGTTCACGGAGCTGCTGAAAGGCTGACTTTTGTTCGTCTCCCCATTCAATGCCTTTTGAATTTTGGAGCTTCAGCGCCTTGAAGAAAGGGAGCCCTTTGTCTGAGGCTCGTGAGATGAACCTGGACAAGGCAGCCATTCTCCCGGCTAGACGCTGAATATCCCTTTTTGTCTTCGGCTCGGGGAGGTCTAAAGCAGCTTGTACTTTGGCGGGGTTTGCATCAATCCCCCTCTTGCTGACCATGAAGCCGAGGAACTTGCCTGACTTCACGCCGAAGGCACATTTCTTCGGATTCAGCTTCATTTTGTATTTTCTGAGGGTGGCGAAGGTTTCGGCTAGGTCCGTGACATGATCTTTTTCTTTTATGCTTTTGACGATTGAGTCGTCAACATAAACCTCCATGTTTCGGCCTTTTTGCTCGGCGAAAACCTGATCAACCAACCTCTGATATGTTGCCCCCGCATTTTTCAATCCGAAGGGCATCATTCTGTAATTGTACAACCCGGAACTTGTTATGAACGCTGTTTTAGCTCGGTCCTCGGGGTGCATGAAGATCTGATGGTATCCCGAGAATGCGTCCATGAAACTGAGCAGAGCATGCCCGCTTGTCGAGTCGACCAGTTGGTCGATCCTCGGCAGCGGATAGGAGTCCTTGGGACATGCCCTATTCAGGTCCGTGAAGTCAACGCACATCCTCCAGTTACCATTTGCCTTCTGAACCATTACAACATTGGCCAGCCACTCCGGATACTGACAGGGTTCAATGAACCCAGCATCTAGGAGCTTATCGACCTCAGCTGCGATGTTCTGGTTCTTTTCGGCGGAGTAGTTCCGCTTTTTCTGCTTAATGGGTCGACTGGAGGGGTCGACATTAAGCCTATGGGAGACGAAGTCCGGATCAATCCCGGGCATTTCTGCGGCTGAGAAGGCGAACACGTCTCCACTGGCCCGTAGGAGTTGGACGAGTGCCGCACGGGTGTTTGGCTCCAGTGACGACCCGATGCTAACACATCTGTTCGGATCTCCTACGGTCCGTTCTATTGACTCGGTCAGGTCATCCGTCTCCATGCTCTTAGAGTTGGATTCCTCGAATTCCGGCCTGCTATCAATATTAGCAGACTTTCCTGACCGCGGCTGGCCATCAGAGTCGTTCGGCTCTGAGGCGGAGTCAGCCTTTTGGCCCCCATCAGATTTCTCGTTGTCTGGGGCTTCATTAGCCGAAACGTCTGAGCCTCTCGGCTTTTTGGCGTTCCGGTCCCGGTGCTTTTCCTCCCCATCGCCACGGTCGCCTCGGCGAGACGTGGATGGCTTGAGGTGATTGCATCGGCGGGCCTCTTTTTGACTGCCCTTTATTTTCTCGGAGCGTCCCTCGTCTGAAACGTATATCATGATTTGATGATACGTGGAGACGACTCCTTGAATGCCGTGAATGAGGGGTCTCCCCATGATCACGTTGTATGCAGATGGAGCATCTACGACCAAAAATTCGGCCATGATATTCCTAGCTGCTCGGCCTTCGCCGATGGTGACAGGAAGTGTAATCTTCCCGTCAGGATACGAGGAAGAGCCGTTGAACCCAGACACCGGGTAGGGTGCGGGGGCCAGGTGCTCGGCTCCCATCCTCAGCTGGTCGAACGCTCCTCGGAAGAGGATGTTCGCCCCGCTACCGCCGTCGACGAGGGTCCGCCAGACGTTGCGGTTGGCGATGCCCAGAATGATTACTAGTGGGTCATCGTGGGGGTATACCACCCCCTCACAGTCTTCGGCTGTGAACAGGATGTTCGGCGCCGGTGACTGGGACTGCCGAAGCTCAGCCTGATGAATCTGATGGGTTAGACCCCTCAGTTGGCGTTTGGCTGTGCCTCGCGAGATTCCCCCGGAAATAACCAGGATGTCGAGGGACTCCTTGCCCTGAGGTCCCTTATCCTTCTTCCGAGCGAAGTTGAGGTCCTGCCGAGAATCTCTTTCAGCTTTTTTCTCCTCGCGCCTGTCCGCGAGGTATTGGTTCAGGTACCCCTTGCGGACCAGATCCTCAATCTGGTCCTTCAGCTGGACGCAGTCCTCGGTGCGATGTCCGGGTGAGTCATGGAACTCGCACCACTGGTCCTTTCCCCTCGTCTGATGCCAGGGAGGCAACGGACGAGGTTTTTTGAATCTCCCCTCGTCCTTCGTCGTGCTGAAAATCTTAGCACGGGGAAGGGAGAGTGGAGTGTATGAATCGTACCTTCCCGTGTAGGGAAAGTGTCTTTCCTTCTTCGGCTCGGCAGCAGAGGACGGTTCTGAGGCCTTAGCCTTCCCTTTCCTCTGCGCCGAGACTTCGGGCTGCTGCCCTTTCGGCTTGTCAATTCTCGGACGAGACTGAGACCTGGATCTGTTCCACTCTTCGGCTCGGATGAACCTATCCGATGCTTCCAAGGCTTCCTCCAGGGTCTGCGGGGGATGCATGACCATGAAGTCCAGGAACTTTCCAGCTTGGAGGCCGTTCCGTAGCGCGAACACGGCCAGGCCTTGATCCAGGCTTGTGATTCCGGATGACTCGTTGCTGAAGCGAGTCAGATAGTCGCGGAGGCTCTCGTCCTCCGCCTGCTGCAGACTCATTAGCTCTGCAGTGGTCTTCTCTCGGCGGTTGGCCGTAGAGAATTTGCTCTTGAACTTGTTGGAGAGGTCGTTCCAACCGGTTATGGAGCCTTCCTTGAGCCCTTTGGTGATCCAGGATTGGGCAACACCTTTGAGGGTCGTAGGAAAGTATTTACACCAGGTAGCCTCAGACCTCGGGTTCAGATACATGTGCCCCTCGTAAGAGGCAATGTGATCCTTAGGATCTGAGGTACCATCGTAAGTAATATGTGCCGGGATTTTGACCGTTGGCACATGCTCCTCCAGAATCCACTTCTGGAAGGGCGAGTTCGATGGAACCATGACCGCCTTCCCCTTGTACCCGGCCTCAGGGACCTCGCTCCCTCCTCTCTTAGAGGTGGAAGTGGTTTTCGTCCCCGGCTGAGACAAGGTTGGGTGGGGTCCGGTATCCTCTGGGAAGGTGAGGCGGCTATGCACACTCACCTCCCTCGAACCCAAGCGTTCGTGAACGCTTCGGCGGGCGAATTCCGGGTCCTTGGAGGGCCCCATGGAATTCTGAGCTTCAGAGTGGTCAGAGGGTTGAGGGTTCCTCCTCCTCTCCTTACTGGAGTTTCGGGTGTCCCCTCGCCACCTCTGGCCGAGCTGTCTATGTGGTGGAACTTGTCCACCATCATCCTGACCGATCCTCCTTTTCAGGTTTCTCGGCTGGTGATCATCAGGCATCTGGATTGGAGCCCCTTGAGCTTTAAGGAACTCCATGCAGATGGCCACTGCTCTGGCCACTTCCTCGGTGGAGGGTCCGGAGGGAGGAGTCTCCTGCGGATGTGACCTGGATTGCACGCTATGGCGCGGCGGGGAGTTCCTCGCACCTGAGCCACTCGGTCTCGGGGATGGCCCCGGCTGCCGAGTGTGGTGCGAGGTGTTCTCCTCCTGGAGGCTAGGACCTCTTGAGGCTCCCCTTTCCGGAGAAATGGGGGCCTCCGATTCGGAAGAGGCTTGCTCCGGGGAGGGATAAACCGGCTGGCGTTCCCTCACCGTAATCCGGCGTCCTCCCTTCTTAGCCTTCTTGGAACTCTTTCCACTCTTAGTCATGGCGACTGCCGGAGTGTTTGATGACTGACGCGAAATTTAGTAGCGCTCCCCACAGACGGCGCCAAATTGTTTCGGATGAAAACAATCGAATCTCGGAAGATCCTTTTATCTTGAGGGAACTTGGTCTCGGTCCGAACGACGCAGGAGCCGAGGGTTTCCTGCACAACAAATACACGTAAACTAGCCTCGGGGGGGACGCCGAGGAAGGCCCCTCCGATGCTTAAGTCAGTATATTAGAGAGAGAAAGCTGTGCAAGAGTTTAGTTGCTTGAGGCTTTTTTGTCTTTTTCTTTGTCTTTTTCTTACCAAGAATTGACCAAATTGTTGGCTTTTATACCTTGGCTAATGAAGGAGGCGGATTGGGCCCGGAAATCAGTTGGGCTGGGCCAAGCTGATTGGGCCGTTGACTGACCTTGACATGGCTTTGAGGATGTTGATTACTGACTTTAGCATATTTGGAGAGTTGAACCTTTGCCTTGGGCTTTTAATTGGATCATTCAGTGACCAGGCCCAATTGGACTAAATTGGACCCAAACAAGCAGTACTTCAAAATTAAATTGTTCGACCAAAATTGAGTTCCTACATACCTATTTCTTAATAATTAAGTGATTTATAGAAAAACCAAATTCAACATTGATCACAAATATAAATCAAATCTCAACATAACAAACCTACGTGAATATACATATCAAAGACAAAATCGATAAGCCCATATCAAGTTCAATTTTTTCTGTAATTAGGGTCAGATTATCATGAAAATGCAGAAAAATTATCAAGAGACATCCTTTACCTCATTATCATCAAAATCATCACCATACCCAACCTTCACATGGCCACAATACCTGGGTTAAATCCCGTACCCAAGTTCGCTCCACTACACATTAGTAATTTGAAAGCTCAAAAACACAGATCTATATGATTTCAAGAAATCTGACAATGAAATGTTGTCAAAATTCAGTAATTGCGGTGCTGCATGTAATTGAGAAAGGAACAATTTCTATGGAGTAATATATAATTAAAATCGAAAATCAGAAAACCCTTGGTTTCCGAAAACATGAAATTGTAAATTTGAGAAAAATAAAAACTCAAAAATCACGAAATAAAGAAATTAATTAAAGAGAAAAGAAGAAAAAAGCACGAACCTTCAGGGAAAATCATTTCGCGAGGGGGAAACGACGAGAGGTGGGTTTGTATCAGCTCCTTGCGCCACTGCCGCCGTTGCTAGGACCGCCCGGCTGACGCACCGTGAACATGAACAGAGGGAAGCGGGAGGAATGGACGGCGGCACGGTGGAGAGAGGAAAGAGAGAGAGAAGAGGGAGATCTAGTTGAGGAGTGAGGAGAGAGGAGAGAGAACACGAGATGGAGGAAAGAGAGAGAGAACGCGCAAATTGAAAGAAAATATAGAGGCGATTTTTTTTTAATTATATTAACCGGTGGCCTTTAAAACATATGCCAACGGTTCGGTTTAAACCGGTGGCAATTAAAAAAAGCCTAATCCCGCCCATTTTTTCCCCACCGGTTTTTAAAAACCGGTGGGCATGGCTCGGTGCCTTTTTATATTTTTCTACTAGTGAATTTCTCAACTTTGAAGCATTTTAAGTAATCTCTTTCCTCTATCTCTTACTCTTTAATTTCAGTTTTTATTTACTTTGAATTGTTAATTCCTCTCTTAATCTTGCTTAATTGTTGTTGCATGTCCAATCTACCTTATTCTTACTACTCCTCTTAACTTATTAATTTAATGTTTGAATTGAAACTTGTTATTTTGATGTCCTTCACCATGTTTAGTGAGTAGTTAATTAGCTAGGGGTTGGGTGAAGACCCAACCAAGCCATGGGTTGATTGATGTATGTGCTTGCATGTTCATTTTGGGTTGATGATTGATTGTTAAAGAATTGGTTAATTGCATGTGTAATTGGATGGCCACTTATTGCTCATGTATTCACTTCTATGCTTACATTGAGAGATGGAGTCTAGTTGTGAGCCTTTTCTTATATGATTATGCTAAATTCCTCTTGATTAAGGTCCCTTGTTTGAATGATGTAGTAGTGTTAGTTGCAACAATTAGGTGAGAAATCTCAATTGCTTGTGCCTTAATGCTTTCTTGGACCGATCGAAAGACAAACCCGAGTTAGTAGTCTACTTCTCATCGTTAAGACTTGGTTGACCTATCTTGTTAGTTGAGTTTAGTTTAGGAATGCTTAATGTTGTGGCTTCGAAAGAAGGCAATGCTGAGTGCCCTCTCTATCACCCAATTTGTGTTAGTTCATGCTTGCCTATTATTTTGATCCGTTGGTTTGGTTGGAGTCGATCCCTATTTCCCCCTAGTGTTCGTCTCCATAGTAGTTACCTAATCAAAACCCCCAATTTGTGACCGAATTAGATTGCAACCGTTTCATACTCTCGGTGTACTTACCCATTCCCTGTGGATACGATCCTCTACTTACCCTAGACTTTTCTTAGGTTGGTTTAGGTAGAAATATTGTTTGGCTTGAGGGTGATTGTCCAACGACCGATTATTCCTTCTACCAATTTACGGTTTTTTTTTTTTGTACTCAACTTAGCGAGTATCAAGATTAATTTTGGGTGCAGTATTTTTTGATCGATTCAATCAAGAATCATTCTTGGTATTTAAGTCGGTTAATCATGGAGTTTTTATCAATCAACTCTCTGAATAGGAGATATGCCGTCAAATTGTTTTTGATATTGGAGTTGAATTAAGCTTCAAGAATATATGCCTAATAAGGAAAAATTTCCATTAAGTTGGTGGATTTAATTCATTGGTTAAATTATAGTTTAATGGCACTCAAGTGAGTTTGTGAATCAAAGAGGAGCGGTAGTGCTTGTGTTGATGATAAATAATGAAATTATTGAAAAGTCAACTGTGTCGCATGGTCTCGTGATTGTAAATTCATGAAATATAATAGTTGATGTTCCTGCATCAAGTGGATTAATTTCAAGTTTGTTTGAGCCGAAGCTGGAGTTAGCCGACTCCATACGTCTGTGGGTATTGCGACATTAAAGATGTTGCTGCTAGATGTTTCAGAATATAATCATCTAGCGAGGCTCGTCAATAGCTTTGGTACATGCACAAAATCAGATAAGTCGTCCTCAGTTTATGTAATTAATTTTTTAACTCTGCATAATATTGTTTATTATGTGCCCCAAGTGTGCATAATTTTATTATTATGAGCTAATGCAATGCTATGTGGGGGTGAGGTGAGTTAGATCTTGTAATTGACTAGTATGTTAGTTTTACTCTTGTAAAGGAGTGGCATTGAGGAGGAAGGTCTCCGTAAAAGATGTTTATCTGTGGCTATTTGCTTGTTGTTTTGCAAGTAATTTATTTCTGCTAATGTATGTTTTGTCCAATGGTATTCTATTTATGTTCATGGACTTTAATGTGTTTTGTCCTACTAGTAGATTAGGGATGACATGTGTTCTATCTTATGATAGTGTTTTTAAATTGTTATTTTTCCTAATCATGGACAATGTTTTGTTGAGCACGGAGTATGTGATAAGCTTGTAAGTGTCTCTTTTTTAGATTAAAAAAGGGATTTAGAATTATTGTTTCTTTTAATTCTTGTGATCTTAATTAGCTTTGTTCACGAACTTGAAATGTATTTAATTTGCTAGAGGTGTAGCAAATTATTTTTCCTTGTTGATGGTCTAGATGAGACCAAGTTGATTTCCGGGCTTATTAGCAGAATTAAAAAGGCTTGACTTAGCAAAGTTAGAATGCTCGTGCAAATTTGAAGTGTAAGTGCCCCACATGAGGTAAGGATGGGAATTAACATTCTATATGTCTTTAAACACTATTAATATTCTGTGAATGTTAGTATTGTGGGGGTTGCAGATATGTATCAGCTATTTATTTGTTTAGTAAGTATTTCACCCAAGAATTTGGTTGATACTCCCTAATTTGTTACCTGATTCATGATTATTTTCATGTGGTATATGTGATGTGGGGTTTTCCAATAATGAAGAATTGACTTCTGTATATGTTTCACATAAAACATGAAGGCTTGTGGGACTGTGGGTGATATGTATGATGAATATCTGCTACGTTTATCATGTGCGAGCTTGATATGTTAAATCCTTGAAATGTCTCAAGTATATGTTTTCCAATGACATGACATGTTAGTTTTGCTCGTTCATAGGATTTGTTCTTGCTTCCTAAGCTTTATTCTGCTAGTAAAGTTGATGAGTTCATCATCTAAGGTGTATTGGATTAAAGCTTAAACTAGTTGTGTATCATCTTGGTTTTACTTTCTTGATCGAAAGTTGTATTTAGATGTTTGATGTGTGGTTTATATATTCATGTAGTGGTGAATGGAAAATTCCTGAACCATATGGATAAACCTGATTGACTAGTTGTGGAAAGAAGCATGTTAACGCGAGTTGTGCACTCTCTTTGAGTCTGATATGTTTGAGAAGAGTATATCTTGCCTTGCTATTAGAAATCCATCTGTTGTAAGTATCTTTCAAGGTGAGTTGAAAGGTGGTTGATTGGAAATGGGCTAAAGGTAAGATACTATGTTGTTAGGATTTACTCTATAAGTTTGGTGCTGACCAACTCTTATGACTCACCTGGTTTGTTCTAAGCTTGTCTGATTTGCAGTAAGGTTGCTTAAGCTTTCTAGCATGATTGATTGTAAATCAAGATTGTGTACTTTAAAACGCATGCACAGGTGACAACTTAGAAGATGAGGTATTTTTTGCTCATGATGTTATATCCTTTGTGATATGTATGGTGAGTGGGGGTTAGATTTGAGTACTCTAACTTGTTATGTTAAGTTTTTCTTGGCATGTGAGTTGAACTTCTTGATGCATGTGTGATGTTACTATGGTTCGCATTGATAGAATTCATTTGCTAGAATGATCATAAGTTGTTAACTTCACATGCATGTTGTTAATTGAGATAAAGATGTATACGTGTCTCTAAGCCAAGAGACAAGTACAAGATAATGTGATAAGCAGAATGGTTCTAGGAAGTATGCCGATGAACTAATAAAGGTACGCATTAATCTCATTATTGTGATGTAGAGAAAGTGTTTTGGTAAATTATATTTATCATGTCTAAGCCAGAGTTGTTTTCATGATTTGGCCTTGATGTTTGATTCAAATGTGCTAATGTTTTGCAATTTAAATGATGAACAAACTATTCTTGACGTGTAGTGGTTTTGTTGTAAACTATATTGTTCATTCTGTTTGTCAAGAGAGAATTACTCAATTATTGTTTGAGTTTCAGATAGTACAGGGATGAAGGTTAATGTGAGAAAGTTTCTCAAGTACCTATCCAGTAAATTCTAAAAGAGACAATGATTGAATGAACAACGATGATTAGTTGAACCTCTTCAGTGTATGATTTTTACATGATGAAGGGTGGTGCTCTATTTCGAGTGAGCTGCAAAACAAATTGTTGTACACTATCCATTATGAAGCAAAGGTTCATTAGATTGGATGACGTGTGTCAAGAAGATGATTGTTGCAAAAGTTAATCTCTGGAAGTTTGTCCATTGTGGGGGTAAGTTGATCCTCATGTTCTCTTCATTATTTTTCACAAGTGTCTATGTATGTTGTCAGGAACTACAGATGTAGTGACAAAGTTAGACAGATCTTGTGGAGGTGATACTCATATTAGAGTACGTGAAAGCAAAGAAGAATCAAGCAGGTCCTTATACCAGGATGAAGCACAGGTAAGTGCTTGATTGTCTAAGAGAATATATTTAAGATCCTGTGGGGTATTTTAAATTATTCTAGTGACGAAGTTTAAAAATTGAGTCTACATCCTGAAGTGATCTGGCTTAATAACCCTCTAATTTATATGGTTATGAGATGCTTTGGTAGACTTGTTGCTTGATGCTTGCAGGTTGAGCTTTAAGTGCTCTTAATATGTCCATAACCCAGATTGGGTGGTCAATTGTGACAGCTTACATGGACACACCGAAATGTTTCAATTTGTTGAACTTTTGTTCTGAATGGGTCTGGAGCCTTGTTTTGGTTGACTCATTGTTGGATTTACACCATTTATGTTTATTGAATCTATAACCTTTTTCAGTGGTTTGTTGATCAGGTGGATTCAGTAAGGTTGAGCGTGTCTCTTAATGTCATTTGTCCAGTTATTCTTTGAGCAGGGATTGATAATGGCTCTTAAGTGGATTTAAGACCATTATCCCAGTGGCTCTTAGAGTAGGATTGATAATGACACCGAAAGTGGAAGGTTGAGCATTGCTTGCTCTTAATACTACTAGCCTAGTTGCTTGAGAGGTGGGAACGATAGTGATTCTTAAATAAATTAGAATCACTAGCCCTGATACTTCTCGAGTAGGGAACGATAGTGGTACCGAATGACTGAGGTTGGGAGTGTCCCTTAATGCATCTAGCCTAAGAGCTCATTGAACAATGGATTGATAGATGCACCGTCGAGTTGATAGGGTTGAACTTTTCGTTCTTAATGTTCTTATTCCATTGCACAGAAAAATCTTGGGTTTGCAAGGTGCTTGAATGTGTTTTAAGCCTGCAAGGAAAGACCCTATATGTGCTGGGAATATGTGTTTTATGCACAGACGGAACACCTATGTGAGTACGAGGGGTGGCCTCCTTCAAGGGAAAATTGTGGTGTAGTTTTCCTGAAGTACTCATGAGAGCCCAAGGTGTAGGCCAAGATTGGCGGAGTTGCTTAAGCTCTAAAGTCAAGGTATGTGCATTCAAGGTCCCTTCCTCGCTCCTAGGAGTTCAAATCTTAGGATACTCACTAGGGAAGTGTTGAAAACCTTGTGCACTAATGTGTTAGTTCAAACCTTTGGATACTAGCATTTAAGTACTAAGACTTTCATTTACTGTTGAGATTTCATGTTGAAGATCCGCTCGCATTAGTGGGGGATTGTTGGAAAAAGTAATGCAAACGGATGACTCGCGCCCGATCGGGCGGAGGTGGTCAAGGAAAAATAGATATCTCTCGCGCCCGATCAGGCGGGCTTTGCCCGACCGGGCGGCGGACTCAAGTTTTGACGAGCCCGATTGGGCGGTTTCGCCCGATGGCTCGCCCGGAATGGGGATTTCAGATCGCCCGACCGAGCGGTGTCCGCCCGACCGGGCGCGACACTACGTCTGGAAAAACTTGATCTCGCGCCCGATCGGGCGGCAGCTTGCCCGATCGGGCCCGCCTTTTTCCTAGGTCGGTTTGTTTACGTGTTTCCTTTTTCCAAGACTCATATAAATACGAGTATACCTTTTCATGAGATTTATTCACTTTCTAGCCGAAAACACAAACCTACCTTTTGAGATCTGAACAGTTCTTGAGCAATTCCACTCTTCGAGTTCGGGTGCACGGATTACGGAGAGAGTTGCGTTAAACTTGGGGGGCGTGCGTCATCAGGAAACCTGTACCGGTGGTGGTGTATTTCGCTTTTAAGGCAGTGGATTTTGTTCCACGGCGCGACTATGAGTTTGAGATCTTCAATCAAGTATTTTCCCTTCATCTTCTCTTTTTTGTTATTGGAATCAACAGGTATTTTACCAACAATAAAACCCCAATTGTGCTGCTGTTCCAATTCATCAGAAAATCAATTTTCTGTAAGTATATATAGACTCTATTACTATGTCCTTTTATCCTTTCATATTTCTGATTCTATTTTTCTGATAGTATATATATACTTGTAAAGTTGTAATCTCTGCTTTCTGATTTCCATAATAATTCTTTTTTCTACACGCAGAGAATTGACAATGGCCGAGGTTGAACAGGTAGACAGGATTAGCAATTTGCCGGATGCCCTCCTCTTGGAAATCTTATCGTTTTTGTCGACCAAAGAAGCTGTTGCTACTAGCATATTGTCTAAAAGATGGAAATTTTTTTGGACTCAAGTGCCTGTACTAAACTTTTCGATGTATGGTTCTGTTTCTGTCAACTGTTTCAACGCGTTTGTGGATAGAGTCTTGATCTGTAATGATACAAAATCATTACGGCTGTGTCAGTTTAAATGCACCTGTCGGAGAATTGTCAATGCCCTCCAATATTATAAATGGATTAGGAATATAATGCGACGGGATGTTGTTGAGATAGATCTTAATTTAAAGAGGGGAAAACTACCATCAGGGATTTTTTCGAATGAGAAACTTATGGTGCTAAAGTTGACAGATTTCTATTCCCCTCTTCGGAATTCAATTCATCTACCAAATCTGTTAACCCTACACTTGACAAGAATCAAATTTTCAGAAAAATTTTCATTGGATGATATCTTGATGAGGTTGCCTCGACTCGAAGAATTAATTATTCTGAATTGCTTCATATTGCAAAATATGTGTATTCGTTCTTCTTCTCTAAAGAGATTGAATCTCTTTGACCTATATCGTATGGAAGAAGATAAAATAGATACAATAGTAGCTGTTCCAAGTCTTGAATATCTTTGTATCGACGATTTTATATTAGACTGCAAGTTTGACATCATGCCCTCTTTAACTGAAGCTAGACTTCACATCCGATTCCGTGATTCTTTCCGTGAACAAGTGTTTAAATTCCTTCAACAAGTTTCTAATAACTTGATGACTTTAGAATTACAAGTTGATATAACAAAGGTATGAGCTAATATTACTACTTCTTATGGGGATGCCCCAATTTCTCATACATTTTCGTAAATAAACAAATAGCTTTATTCAATTGTGGAGCTCACAATAATGAAAAAGTTATTGATTTATTCACGAAAATACTCCATGAGAAATAAATTTCGTTTCTCAGTATGAGCTACAGGGAATTTCCCTTTATTTTTTTAAAACTTTTTTCTCTGTCAATATATAATGACATTTCTACCTTTAACTTTAGGTATCTCTTGGAGGTGATGAGCATGATCAAATGTCGTTGTTTCCACACTTGAAACATTTGGTCGTAAAAGGTCGCAACTGTCGTTTAATCAAATGCTCAAAATTATCATGGCGGTATCTTGTGTTATGGATTTTGCAGCGTGCTCCTAATCTCGTGTCTCTTGATTACTCAGTAAAATCTAATGTATGCTATTGTAGTCCAGTACTTGCTACTTATTTGCCAAAATGTCGAATACCAACACTTGAAGTTGTCAACATCAGCTTGTTTGAATGGGGAAAGTATTGAGATATTATCGTATATTAGGAAGATTTGATAGAATATTTCCATATATTTATCTCCTATATTTTAGTTAATTTCCTAAGATCCTATGATATCTTTTGATACGAGGACTAGGACTTTGTAACTTTATATATTCCCAATTATTATCAATGAGAAGGCAAGCAATTCTGTTCCAATTTAATTCTAATTCTCTCATAAATATTTTGTCATGGTATCAGAGCTGATAAGAGAGTGCTGGAATATCTGTTAAAAAATGCCGTAAACTTGAAGGTGTTGACAATCAATTTAAAGGATACGGTTTATGGAAAAACAATTGCCGCACTTACAAGACTATTCAATGTTCCGAGGGCCTCATCTGTATGTAAGCTTGTAATTTCACATCAAAGATAATGTCTTACTTTTTAATAAGAAACTAGTAGGCTATCATGTTTTCAAGTTTAATTTCTCAGATGCCTTAAAACATATAGGTTTTATTTTCAAAATTATTATGAACTTAAGGCAATTTGTTACCTGCATTTAGTACTTGGTGTCCAAATTTTGGACTACCCAAAGCATACATATTTTCTAAAAATTGCCTTTATTTATTTATTATTATTATAATTACATATTGGCTCTTTGTAATCCCAATTATAGCCAATGTATGTGATATACGATCTAATGTATTTGCTGGACATGTTCACTTCAAGATATAATAGAGAATTGGTTAAATAATTTAAGTTTAATAGACTTTTTTTTTTTTTTTAGAAAACGTTAGAACGGACTTAAATTAAATCATTTTTCACCAAAGTTAACGCACTTTTGGGGAAAAGTACTCATACCATCTAGCTATTAAATGGGCCACCGTATTCCCTATGCGTTTTACATGCGAAACATCAAAGATATCAAAAGACAAAGAAAGCTTATAAATGTCATTGATCAATAAGCAAAATAGTTTAGATATCCATAAACAAAGTTTCTAATTTGACGACTTTAGGATTACAAGTTGAGACAATAGAGGTATGAGCTAATATTACTGCTTCTTACTTATAATTTTTCACTGTTTTTCTGTTAATACCTTTGTTTTGCATCTCATTAACTTTAAGGCTACTCTTGGAGGAACTGAGCATGATCAACTGCCGTTGTTTCCACACTTGATCCATTTGATCGTAAGGGGTTACCACTGTTTAATCAAATGCTCAAACTTTTCATGGCGGTATCTTGTATTATGGATTTTGCAGCGTGCCCCTAATCTCTGTCTCCCTTGATTACTCGGTAAGACATCGTCGTTTTAATACTGTTAGAATATATGTTAATATATTCTTGTATATATCTTAATTAGTTAAGTGTATATTTTAGTATTTATCCTTTTCTAGTTTGTTAGCATTAGGATAATTAGTTAGCACAATTGTAGCCGAAAGATTGCTACCATACTTTGTATATATTGATTGCACAGTTAATGCAAATTGAATTGGCTTTAACTAATCCCGACTATAGCCAATGTATTTGCTTACAAGTTTCAATATTAATAAAATTATCTATGTTTTATCGATAAAGGTAGGACTTCACTTAACATTTACAAAATATTAAGTTTAGTTTTTTAATGGAAAAAAATTAGTTTATTAAAACTATAACAATAAGTCCAGTTATGTAAAAATTATTTTAGTAGGAATGGAAGAAGAAAGGATTTTTTAGTTAGACGCATGGAATTAGCTGAGAATTTTATTCGAACAAATATAGAACCAGAATGGATGATTTTGTGTCTATTGCCGGTTCTTCCTCCCAAATTGAGACCGATCATTCAGCTAGATGGAGGTAAATTAATGAGTTTGGTTTTTTAACAATTATACTTTAGCATTGACCGAGTAATTTAAAAATGAAAGATAAACGTCACCCTTGAAAATCTAATTAACGCACTTTTAAGTAGCTACAATATAATTAAGGAAAATGTTATACATAGCCCTTAGGGCTAAATATAAACATTAAATTTACACTTAAAAATCGTAAAAAGTTAAGAAATCATAAAAATATAAACACTAATTACACTGATTTACGCGTGTTTTTGTCATGAATTCCTAATTTTATACAATTTTCGAGAGTGTATTTAATGCTTATATATATATATATATATAGCGCTTAGGATACATATAGCATTACCCTATAATTAAATCTAATCACAAACATTTGTTATGTTGCCTAAAATAAATTGTTAATATAGATTAATTTTTATTTTTTCAAAAAATATTGATGAAAAAAAAAAGGTTCACGATATACAGTTTCTTTTGTTTACAGTAGGTTTGCTCCTAGATCATATTCGAATTATTCCAATTTATCTCAAATCAATTAAGGCTAAAACCTCTTAGTTCCCCAACCATTATGATGAAAGCTATTATGCAGGTGTATGTTAAGGCTAAAACCATTCAGTTCCTCAAGCTTTACAATGTAAGCTATTGTGCAGGTGTATGTAATCTGAATCTTTACGAATGGACTATACCACTGCACATTCGATTCTGAAATATTCCCATAATTAACATTTAACAACACCTGATTCAACCCCAATTCTTCAACAATGAGTTTCTCATCAATTCTAATTTCATTAACCCATTATTCTTACATTCCTCAACAATTACCTCATTTTGAGACTCCATTAAAACAACTCCAAAAGCTTACAAAAATGATTTATTTTTTTTTTTAATAAAGGGGGAACCGTCCAGTTTTTTCGAACCACATAAACTAAAGTGCCTAGTTTTTTCGCCCAAAATTTTCGAAAAACCAAACGGTAGTTCGAAAATACTAGGCGTTAAAGCCTAGGTTGTTCGAATATTTTGAGTGGTTCAACCCAATTCCAGAAAATAAAATTAAAAAAACCTCGTCTTTGTCTTAGTCATTTCCGCGGTTACTATATAGATCGAGAAACCGAAGGTGGTGGTAGATGGTTAAAAGAGGAGGTGGAGGTGGTGGTGGGTGGTAAAAGGAGGAGGTGGCGGTGGTTTAGAGATAAGAGAGAGAAGAGGGATTGAGGGTTTGGGGATAAATTATCTTTGGGAGGGTAATTTTTTTTAATATTTGAGGGTAAATTTGTAAAATATATTTATTTTGTGGGTGTTAATTGGAGATTCGAAGACGGTATTTAACAATTTTTTTTTTTTTTTTTGAAACAACCCATTATTATCTTATGTATGTACGATTATCTTAATTAATATAAGAATTTGTGTTTGGGAAAAGATATATTGTATCTTTTATTTAATTATATATTTTATGCATTGCCGGGTGAGGTTTGTAATTAGATAAATTTAAGATATTTTGTAGGAATTTATTGATTTTTCTTATAAACAAGGTCTCTTTTACCAGTTCTATTTCATATTTTGTGCAACAGTTGGTATAAAAAATTCAATTATTGAATATAAAATAAAAACAGAGACAGTATTATCGGATTTTGCTACTTATTTTATTTTTTTTATAACACTATTAGTTTTTCCAGTATATAAAACCCCAATTGTGCTCCTGTTCCAATTCATCAGAAAATCAATTTTCCGTAAGTATAGACTCTACTATTATGTCCTTTTATCCTTTCATATTTCTGTTTTTATTTTTCTGATAGTATATATATACTTGTAAAGTTGTAATCTCTGCTTTCTGATTTCCATAATAATTCTTTTCTCTACACGCAGAGAATTGACAATGGCCGAGGTTGAACAGGTAGACAGGATTAGCGATTTGCCGGATGCCCTCCTCTTGGAAATCTTATCGTTTTTGTCGACCAAAGAAGCTGTTGCTACTAGCATATTGTCTAAAAGATGGAAATTTGTTTGGACTCAAGTCCCTGTGCTAAACTTTTCGACTTCTGGTTCTGTTTCTGTCTACTGTTTCAACGCGTTTATGGATAGAGTCTTGATCTGTAATGATACACAATCATTACGGCTGTTTCAGCTTAAATGCACCTGTCGGAGAACTGTCAATGCCCTCCAATATTATTCATGGATTAGGAATATAATGCGACGGGATGTTGTTGAGATAGATCTTAATTTAAGGAGGGGAAACCTACCATCAGGGATTTTTTCGAATGAGAAACTTATGGTGCTAAAATTGACAGATTTCGATTCCCCTTTTCGGAATTCAATTCATCTACCAAATCTGTTAACCCTACACTTGACAAGAATCAAATTTTCAGATGATTTTTCATTTGATGATATCTTGATGAGGTTGCCTCGACTCGAAGAATTAATTATTCGGGATTGCTTCGGAGTGCAAAATATATGTATTCGTTCTTCTTCTATAAAGAGATTGAATCTCTTTGACCTAGAAGATGAAATAGATACAACAGTAGCTGCTCCAAGTCTTGAATATCTTTGTATCGACCAATTTTTATTAGACTGCAAGTTTGACAACATGCCCTCTTTAGTTGAAGCTAGACTTCACATATACCGCAGTGTTTATTTCCGTGAACAAGTGTTTAAATTCCTTCAACAAGTTTCTAATAACTTGATGACTTTAGAATTACAAGTTGATATAACAGAGGTATGAGCTAATATTACTACTTATGGGGATGCCCCAATTACTCATACATTTTCGTAAATAAATAAACAACTTTATTTAATTGTGGAGCTCACAATAATGAAAAAGTTGTTGATTTATTCACGAAAATACTCCATGGGAAATAAATTTCGTTTCTTAGTATGAGCTACAAGGAATTTCCCTTTATTTTTTAAACTTTTTTCTCTGTCAATATATAATGACATTTCTATCTTTAACTTTAGGTATCTCTTGGAGGTGATGAGCATGATCAAATGCCGTTGTTTCCACACTTGAAACATTTGGTCGTAAAAGGTCGCAACTGTCGTTTAATCAAATGCTCAAAATTATCATGGCGGTATCTTGTGTTATGGATTTTGCAGCGTGCTCCTAATCTCGTGTCTCTTGATTACTCAGTAAAATCTAATGTATGCTATTGTAGTCCAGTACTTGCTACTTATTTGCCAAAATGTCGAATACCAACACTTGAAGTTGTCAACATCAGCTTGTTTGAATGGGGAAATGCTGATAAGAGAGTGCTGGAATATCTGTTAAAAAATGCCGTAAACTTGAAGGTGTTGACAATCAATCCTACAAACTAGTTCATTGTTTTCACCAGTGTCTCATATTGCATCTAGCTATTAAATGGACCACCGTATTCCCTATACATTTCACATGAACCGAAACATCAAAAATATCATATCAAATGACAAAGAAAGCTTATAAATGTCATCGATCAATAAGCAAAATAGCTTAGAGAACGGCCTTTTGTACTGTTGTTGATCCTTTTTGTGACATTGAGAGAGTCACTTTCAACCCAAACTTTGCCATACCCCAGCCTCCTTACAACTTGCAGTCCATATCGCAAAGCTGCTGCTTCAGCAAGGTCGACTTCCCATTCCCCTATGAATTTACGAACTGCAGCAACCAGAAGTTCTCCCTGAATGTTTATCAAAAACAATTAAAGTTTGTTAAAATAATTGTCTTTCAACAAAAAAAAGGGTGGAATGAACGTAGCGTAACCTAAGTTAAAATCAACCATAACAATATTATATATATATAGTTGGAACAATATTATTCTTATAAAAATTATCTTATGGTATATTTACACTATTTAAAGTTTAATAGTTTTTTAAAAAAATTTAAAGTTAAAAAGTTATCCCAAATTAATTGAAAATTATCCTTAAATTGCTTGATGTTAAAAGTTGTTGCTTGTATAGTTGTATGTAAAAGGTTAAATCCTCGTTAAAAAAAAAAAAAAAAAAAAGGTTGAATCAATCTCATAGATGTTATAAAATAAGGGGGAAAGATGAGAGATTGAGAGAGAATTAATCTGTTCATATTATTCCATATGATAGGGGTATATATATACATAGAATAGAATATTATAAGTAGGGTTTGCTTAAATAAAATAAACCCTAGATCTAGAATATTCTGGAAGCATACAAAGAGGATAATGGATATCCACACAATATTTTCATAACACTCCGAGATGCTGCCTCATTAAAAACCTTACCAGGAAAACCCAATTTGGGACAAAACCATGGTCAAGGGAAAAAGAGTGCAGCGCGTATTTTCTCCCCCTGATGAATACATAACTTGAGATCTTCTAGTGTCGCAACAATGAATCCAATATGTTGGATATCTTCTAATAAGTTGGTAAAATATCACTTGTTGATCTTCGACTCTCCTAAGCTGAAGTTGCATCTTCAATTCTTCAAGTCTTCACGTGAACATGTGAAGTGTCTTCATTTCACCATACATGTGTTTATCTCTAATATCATTATTTCAAATCTTTGTTTAATAGTTGATTTATTAATTAAACTTATGTGATTATGACTTCTTGTGGAAGTTGTTAATAATAGAAATTGATGATCATTATTTGATCAAACATTTATTAATAATCATTTGATCACAAAACTTGACATTATTAATGTCATTCTTCAATCTCATATGAATTATAACATATGTAAGTATATACATTGATCATGGTTCTTCTGGACCATAAGAAAACAGTCTCACGCATAAGTATCCCGTTTCTTTAGAAGTTTCGTAATTAACTACACGATAATTTTTCTGCGAATACAAATTGTAAATCTGATCACTAACTCTTATATTCTCAAACTTCAGGTTGAGATGTCACTGATGTATTTACATAGACTTTTCAAGAGTTTGATAGTAATTGCATTATTCTAGAGACAAAATTTGTAGGGCTAGATATATAAATACGTCGTATATAAGTTCTTCAGGAACTCTTCTTACATGATTCATAACGTGCAATTAAATAGGTGTCATCAATAATTTCATTACAATTATAAGCCCATTGGAATATAATATCTCTTTCTAATTTTTCATCAAAGTTGTAAATATGTCTTACTATACTTTGAATGAACATTCACATACACCACAACCATTGTAAGAAATTAATCCATGCAATATGAGATATATAAAACATGATAACATATTAAACAAATTATACAATGAGTAATGCATCTAACTTCCTACATATGCAATAAACAATTAACCTATGACTCACATGCACATGAATATAAGACTCAAAATGATGCAAGACACTGTACAGTGTGGATTTAAAAATCCATATTTCATTGGACTTCGGGTCCATGATAAACTTATGATCATTATCATTATGTCGACATCAAAATGTACATATATTTCAGATCACTTACTCATTAGTCCATTCCATTATGCATATGCATATTATTCATCGGTTCCATTATGTATCGGTATTAAAAAATTCCTTTAACTTACATTCCGCATGCTATTTTACTATGATATCTGAATACATTTCTCATTGGTACCATCATAACTTTTCTTACATCATAGGCCATCTATTATAATAATTCAGATATCTATACCACTTTTAGGGTATTTCATACACAATGGTACTTATATACTATTACACTATAAGTGTCAACTGCACTATCTTGCTAAATATCATATCTATTAAACAAATCTTTATTTTGGAACCGGTCATATACAACCTACACTTCAGGTGTAGTGATTCAAGTACAATTGGCAAGATTTTATCTCAATGTATAAACATAATTAATATGACCAAAATGTATTTTCAATGTTATGCAACATGAGTCATAACTGAATACAAATCAAATCATAAATGTAGAACATATCTTGATAATATATATACAAAAGTTGGCATATATATAACTTTTCAAATTATCATTATAGGGATCATAAATATTCTTTATTTTTTTTTTTTTTTTTTGATTTTTCCAACTTTTGCTATTTCTTCTCCCCCAAAGTTGGTAAAATTTTTCTTTTATAGGGACGTCTAATTCTATACCAACTTAGTATATAAATTTGCATTAAAATCCATTTCATTGGGAGGATCACAATCAAAATTCATCTCTTCCGGAGAACAATTTCGATGAAGAATCATTTATTCATTAACTTTATATTTCATGTGTATTTATTATTAAATTTTCAATAATATTTTCTCTTCTGGAGATCAATGTCAATGGGGAGACATATGTTGTGCAGTTGTACGTTTTTCTTTCTTCTCCAATTTAATATGTGCTGACATATAATAGCCCCAATCAAAAAAATTGTTATACAAGCATAAATCACTTGCTCGTAATTCTAGTAGGTGATGATCTTCTGGATCGTTAAAGACTTAAATAATGTATTCGGTGAGCTTCTGATAACTTGATAGTTGACAATAATATATAAGTTATTTTGGTAAACTTCTGGTCAGCCATTACTCCTTTATCAGCCATTACTCCTTTATATAAAAAAATCAAAACATATTAAATCTTGAAATTTTCATCAATACAAATTATTATAACTCACAATCCAAATATAACTCAATCTCAATATTACGTCTTGTCATTCAATTCATTTTATATATTTAACATTGAGAAAGCATCAGCACATTATCAAATGAAACTTCAGGTTTCCATTACGGGTAATTATTATTAAACCCGGATGGCCTAATTTAATTATCACATCCAATCACTTCTCTAAATTTGAACTCTAGTCAGTTTTCAACACTAGTGATCACTTTATTAAACTTACTATATGCATGGCCATGAATGTCATGTGATTTTAGAACACCAACATGTGTTTCTTTATACAATTGGCAAGACAATCAATTAATACTTTATCCAATAATTACTCATATTCTACTGGAGTTTAAACTATAAACTTGTCAATAGTGACTCCTTTCCTTTTCAAAAATACTTAGTTATCTTTAGAACCAATTAATTTATCGACATTAGCGCATTTACAACTAGTATATGATAAATGTCATTTGTTTATATCCATCTTCAGAATGGTATCATTTCAAAATATTTAATGAACATGTGGTCACTTTTATTAAATAAATCGTTGATATTTAAGTTATTGTATGTATCAAACTGACCATCCAACAACCTTTAAAATCCTTGCAACTTTTAAGCCATAAATTCTTTTGGCAATGTCATGTATCATGTATCAAGTAACATGTTCCTTTTAGCAAAAACATGCTTATATAAAATTATACTTATCATGTTCCTCATGCCCAATTACATTCATCTTAAAAAAAAACAAAACCTCTTATATTTATGGGCATAATAAAACGTTGATTATGTATAGTTTCTCACAATGTCATGTTTAATTACTTGAACAACACACTTTTTGCTATATATTTAATTAATTAAGGAACTTCAAGTCCATATGTACGAGAATATACACCAATCCATCTACATTTTTCAGAAAGAGAAGGTAAAAATAAGACATGACATAATCAGTTCGAGCTTTAATCAAAACATACCTTGTTCGATCCACTCAACTATACTAGCCAAATTAAAATTAATCTTTGGAAACATAAGTAAACATGACATTATGTTTATAGAATCACGTTAGTATGTAGTGGAAATCTAAGCAATATGCTTTAGTTTTGTAGATCATGCACATTTATTTGTATTATCCTTAAGGGTTTTGAGCCATTTATATGTTCAAGCTAGTGTGAATACTTTTATTAATATAAGGAACTTCAGGTCCGCACATCATATTCAATTTACATTCATTCCAATAATCAAACTTCAAGTAGGTACATAATACTATAATTGAATGAAAAGGTAAAAATATGAAAACCTACTACTTCACGCTTTAATAAAAACATATTTGAATCGATTGAATCAACTATACTGTCAGATCGATCAATTATATCAATATATTGCCTGATATGGCTTAATTAGAAAATAGAAACAAGCACATAAGCAACCAATATTAACACGTTCACGTTAGTGGAAAACCACATGGTTCATATCATACTTGAAATATAAAAACATAATTCAATACATAAATTATACATAGTTTCACATGTGCCTTAGGCTTACTTCGACATTCAAGACATTAAACATGGGTAAATAATTGCTAAATCAAACCATTCATATTTGCTATCAAGTATAGAGAAATAACCAAACTCATTTACGGATAGGAAAAGTAATACCAAAATCTAGCAAATATATGTACTACAAGTTCATGAAAACCATACGTTCATAAAATTAACCCCAATAATAATTTTAAATACCTTTTAGATTCAAACTAAACAAAACTCATAGTCAAAACAAAACTACTAATTAGTTATTCTGCATCAAATCCAACTATTCCCAAATTGCTCATTGAACTCCAGGAATAATAAAAATACGAAAATTTGGGAAACAATATAAACATATTATGTAAAGGCTTAAAATTAACAATAACAGGATAGTTGAGAATGAACTTTCCTGATATCAAAATCTTTCCCATTATATAAACCAGCCTTATCATCAAATTCATGTTGTCAACGTCATCTGCTAGCATGTAACTCATGAAAACGTCAAAGAAAAGAAAATAAAGTATAGCAATAATTCAAGATAAACAAACCAATGCAACCAAAAAATAATACGATAGTTTTTTGTAATTAAATAAAGCGGCACTACCATTAACATTCCAAATTATTAATACCGTGAGACTACTTGTACTAGTCCCAAATTAATTAATTGGGAATGATATGACATTCTTGAAACGTGTGATTTCATTATTAAAAGATCAAAACCCATGATCAAAATTAATCTCATACTAATTTCTTCCCAAGATGCGACATAACAAGATAATAATTAGAGCTTTGGTGCTGATAACGTGTTATAAAATAAGGGGGAAAGATGAGAGATTGAGAGAGAATTAATCTGTTCATATTATTCCATATGATAGGGGTATATGTATACATAGAATATAATAAGTAGGGTTTGCTTAGATAAAATAAACCCTAGATCTAGAATATTCTGGAAGCATACAAAGAGGATAATGGATATCCACACAATATTTTCATGACAATAGATCAATTATAATAATATTATTTCAAAAAAAATTATTATTTCTAAAAATTTCCTAATTATAAAAAAAAAAAAAAAACCGACCTGACTAGTACACCTTCTAATCTTCTATAGAAAACCCAAATAATCATAAAATCATGGGGTGTAATTAGTTTCAAAACTTCGTGTATTAGGATTTAAGGTTGTCCTTTATTTATTAGATTCCCTGCGGTGCACGATTTTAACAAAAAAAAAATTGCAGTATAGAACTACAAATACAAATAATCTTTTCAAATTTGTTACTATATAAATTCATGAAGGTGAAAATCCTAATATAATATTTTTATACTCGTATTTCATAAGTATGTATAAATAAATAGCTTTAATTTCTTGTTAAAAATGATCAAACATTTATAATAAATTGATAGATAAAATCATAAGCCTATGTAGTTAATGATCAAACATCTATAATAAATTGATAGATAAAATCATAAGCCTATGTAGTTAATGAAATACTTATAATAATACAACAATGCTTTCTATGTAGCCAACTTTAAATTAATTAACACAACATCCAAATTGATGAATAACCAAAACCCTTTGATGTAGGAGCTGTAAAGACTCAGTAAAATCAAAATACTGAGTCAAAATTTCATAACTATCAATCATAATTTTTTTAATGCATAATTTAGAAGAAAATATGTATCACTAAAAATAAATTATATTTAAATATTATCATGCAAAGACAAATTAGATAATTAAAAATAGATAGTTGAAAATTGAATTGAAGAGTTGTATTCCAAATTTCTAGAGTAAAATTGTTGAAAGATTATACTTAGCTTCTTATGAAATATCAAAAATTAAAAAAAATAAAAAAAAATTACATCATCAAAGCTTTTAAGCGGGGGAAAAATTTAATAGAAAAGTAACACGTGTACAATTTTGAAGAGAGATGATGTCAATTGTGATGTCAGCGGTTGCTACTTTAGTATTAGTTATAGAAGATAGATAGATAGATTGTTTTTTATTTTATTTTTTCAAAGACAGGTTTCTTATTTGGCAATTCCTCCATCTAATGCTGGAGCTTTGATATTAATTTACAGGTACGTATTTTATATAATACCCGATTATTTTGATTCTTTGATTAATTGCCCCCATAACTTCGATTACCTTTTTTCTGTTGAATTTCTGTAATTTCACTCTATTATTTTGTTTATAAAAATATATTGCTAACTTGTTAGGGTAAATAGATACAAAGTATATGCTTCTTCCAGCATTTGAACTCACAATTTACATCATACACCATCAAATCGAACAAACTCGTCGTCTCGTCATGAATTCACATATTAAACAACACGCTCATGTTGTTATGATTTGTTAAGACTTGTATCATGTATAACTAATGGGCCGGTGTTAAGCCCTAATCTCTACTCTTAGGTTGAATAAATGTATTGTGCATGCATACTGTAATACAATACACAGAAAATCATTCTCTCTAATTATCCTCTCTAATTTGACAAGATTGTATTATAGTTTAACTATTCTTTTTTTTTTTAGGGTAAATCATAGAGAAGTAACAATGGCGGAGATTGATGAACATTTAGATAGGATTAGTAATTTACCGGATCCAATTCTATCCTTAATATTATCGTTTTTGCCAACCAAACAAGCTGTTGCATCTATCGTGTTGTCTAAGAGATGGCAAGGTATTTGGACTGAAGTCCCAGCACTCGACTTGGATGTCATTAATCTGAGCAACGAATCCAATTCGACGTTTGTTGATAGAGTCTTGATTCTTAATGTTGCACCTTTTTTACACCAGTTTAAGCTAAGTTGCTGCTTAACCAAGACGATCAAAGAGTTCCATATTTGTTCATGGATTATGAATGCAATAAGACGTGATATATTTGAGATGGATCTATCGTTTGATATAGCTTATAGTGGGAGGCCTATGCTACTACCGGCAATGATTTTGGTGTGCGAAAAGCTTAAGGTGTTAAAGCTGAAATCTTGGACCCTTCCTTTAACACCTTTAGTTCATCTACCAAGTCTTGTAGCACTCCACCTTGATCATATAAGCTTTGTAGACGAGTCAACGTTGGAGTATCTCTTGTCGCGGTTACCTTGTCTTGAAGAAGTAACTAGTTGTGATTAAGTATAGTAGAACAATGCCAACTTTACGCGTCTGTTCTTCTTCTCTTAAGCGTCTAAAGAGATTTGAGTATCATCAAAGTCGTACACGACCCATTTCTACAAGACATCCAAAGGAAGATCATCTTAGCTACTCCAAGTCTTAAATATCTTTGTATGAATGATGATATTTCGGACTATGAATTTGAGTCCATGCCCTCTTTAGTTGAAGCAAGATTTGAGATCGGACCCTCTTATGATATGCACGAAGAAGTGATGAGTGTGTCTAAAGTGGTTAGCTTACTTTCGCAAATTTCCAATGTAAAGAGACTGAATATTGATGCTTCGACAAGGATGGAGATGTCCTCAATAAGCTTTGATCAACCCCTCTTCTTTCCAAACTTGACTCATTTAATTGTGAGCCGGTGTTTCAACTTCACGAATTACCCAAACTTTTGGTGGTATCTAGTGTTATGGATTCTGCAACATGCTCCAAATATCACCTCTTTCGATTATTGGGTAAGTAATTAATGGGAATGCCTCAGTTTTTCATAGTAAAATAAACCAATAACTTTATTCAATCGTGGAACCCACAATAATGAAAAAGTTGTTGATTTATTCACTAAAATGCCCTCATGAGAAACAAATCAGGGAATTTCCCGTAATTAAGTACCAATTCTTATGAAAGGTTATGATGCTGACAGTATAATTTTTTTATTATGCATGACTTACATGTTATTTTTCTTGAATTTTAGTGCACAGGTTGTGTATTTTACGAGCAGAATGACAAACACCTACCCGTAATTCCAACTTCTGTGAACAAGAATGATCTGATACCAACCCTGAAAGAGGTAGGTTGCCATTCACTTGTTTGATGGGGCGAAATCTGATACCTTACTGATTGAATATCTGTTAAAAAACGCGACTCTTTTGCAGGCGCCCAGAATCACTTTGAGAAGTCCGGTTAGTGCACGAGCAACGGATGCTATTACTAGGCTAAACTTGTTTACTGTGTCAAATGTAGACAACCAACTTTAAGCTTAGCTTACTGTCAAATGTAGGCAACAAGCTTTTGTGCTAGCTACTGAAATGCTTAGTTTTATTTTATACTGTGTCAAAAAGAGGCTTCAGGATTATACTTCTACTAAAATAATCGTGTTTTATTGAACATGTTATCAGGATTTGCTTCCGGCTGTTATTCTTCATTTCTGTTCCCCCTTGAACTCGTGTCTATAACTATTACGGAGTAGTTTGTGCTATGAATCTTTCATCATTCAACGAATGAACTCTGAACATGTATTCATGTAAAATTACGATGTTTGTACGACTCTTCAGTTTGCTTGCACTAAGTTGGAATCTTTGTACTGTTGTGTATGTAAGCTTCTGGTTTTGGTTGAATGATCAAGCTTAAGCATATTAAATGAAAGAATAAATTGCTAATTAGTTTTTACATGTTTGTTTCATTTTAAAATAATTGCAATGAACAGAGGAATTAGTAGCTTTTGACTATGCAATTTAAGGAATAGATTAAAGAAAGTAATCAGAGCTAGGTTCCTATTTAATCAAACAAACTTGTGTAATCCGATAGATAAACTTAGGGCATGTTCTCATACGTTGAAATTCAATTCAGTTCAGCTCAGTTCAGTTCAGCTTCTAATTTCCTTCTCTTATAAAATATTCAATTCAGTTAAGTTCAGTTAAGCTCAGTTCAGTTCAGCTGAGTTCAGTCAATGAGAATAGACCCTTAGGGCTTGTTCACTTCAGCTTAATTTCAGTTCAGTTCAGCTCTAATCAATTCAATTCTGTTTCTAATTTCCTTCTCTCATAAAATATTCATTTCAGCTCAATTCAGTTTAGTTCAATTCAGCTCCAATCAGTTCATTTCAGTTCAGTAAATGTGAACAGGCTCTTAAACACTGGAATCTTGCTACAAGTGGTTTAATTATTTGGTTTTTATTACATGTTTGGTTATCATGGTTTTAGAAATTTTTAGTCTCTAGTATCTTGAGTTTTTATATGCCCTCCATTCCATTCATCTTATTATGTTTGGAATATTATAATAGAACAAATTTTATATTATTTAAACATGTTTTATATGAGTTTTTTTTTTTTTTTTTTTTTTTTTTTTTTTTTTTTTTTTTTTTTTTTTTTTTTTTTTAAGGATAAACTTATTATGTTAGTTTTAGCTAGGCGCTATGTTCAGGAGTTTTTTCTTACTTCTAAAGATCTTGTGGTTGATTTAAGTTCATCCTTTTTACTTGCTAAAGAGAAGCTTGTTGTCTTAAATCTAGAAGGCTATATAAAGCTTTCCTTACCGTCTTCAGTCCATCTTCCCTGCCTTCAGTGCCTTTCTCTTACGAACATCATTTTTGTAGATGAGCATGATCCTTTGACTAGCCTCTTATCCGGTTGTCCTGTCCTTGAAACGCTGAATATTGATCATTGTGAGGGACCTGAAAAGTTTTCAGTGTCATCTTCTTCAGTCAAAACACTCAGAATTTTATCACTGAATCACAAAAAAGAAGCAATCCTCATTAAAGCACCAAATCTGGAAGTCCTTCACCTATCGATTGGGATCAAGCAATCTGTGATGGATGATCTACCATCGCTGGTTGAAGCAAGACTTGACATTTGGACTTCAAGTGTCAGATGGATTAAGCTTCTACAGAGCATTTGTTACACAAATACTTTGGTTCTATATCGGATCATTCTAGATGTAAGTGCTTTTGATTAAGTGTATTGTTTGGATTCGTATATTCTTGTATATATTCTGATGCAGGGTAATTCCAGGACTCCTAGGTAATTTCTGCCTGCATGCTTAGATCAGGATTAGTGTCTGACTCTTTTGATTATTGAATAAAGATTGTTAGTTGCTACAAAAACAAGGCCAATAACATAATATTCTCTGCTTTTATGTATTTGCAATTTTTGCCTCTGATTCTCATTTCATAAAATGGCCTGAAACCTTTGGAGATTCTTCTAATATTATAGGCTTGAGTTTGCAGGGATCTAGTGCTCTTATCAAGATGCCGACTTTCCAAAATCTGACATGCTTGGAAGTAGGACTTACTGCCTGGTCGATTGTGCTACAAATTCTTAGACATGCTCCTAATCTTGCATCTTTCATTATACACAAGGTATATTAGCTGACCTCATACAAATCCTCTGTGTTGCATGCTTATGATTTCTTTGCTGAATTAGTTATTTCTGATAATATTTTTTCATTTTTTAAATTGATTATTCCTGATTGTTGAAATGGCTGTTATGTTGTTGGCAGTTGATGTTTGATTGGCCTGATATCAAGCCAGAAAAAAAGGGGCTACGCCTTGAACGAATTGAATATTATGGTTTTGATGTGGATGAAGGTTTTAAAGTGGTAACATATTTCTTACGCAGCAGCATGCTACTCAAGGAGTTCAAAATCTATACAAGGAAATCACTAGATTCAGTGACAGAGAATGACATTCTGAAAATGCTGTTGAAGGTCCCTAGGGCCTCAAATCAATGTGAAATCACTGTTGTCAATGAAGATTATAACCGTCAGCCTGAGGACAGTGACACTGAATTGGAGTCAGACAGCGAATCAGAGTACGCAGACTCAAGGTAAAGGATGTACAGATTTAATTGTCTCCTTTTTTTTCCTCTACTTTAATCATAAATTTATAATAATGTACCACCATATGACAATGCCATGTAATTTCTTGAAATTACAGTTCTGATGATTAAGGTGTCTAATGAGGATTCATACATGTGACATTTATGCATTGTCACAACTCACAAGGGTATAAAACTTCAGCTGACCAATGAAAGCTGCTGAATTTGCAAATTTTATCAGTATTTGAAGACAGTCCTTTCCAGAAGTTCATTCGATATTCATCTAATTATTAATCAGCAGATTTTCCTTTCTGCAAATTCGGGATTCTGCCTTCCTGTTGCATTGGAGCTGAAGATCACTGGTAGTGTCTGTCAAAACATTAGTAATAATGTAACATGGTTTTACTCTTGTCTGGTGTTTTCTTCTTCTCTGGCCTAAAAGGTTAGAACTTATAATTACTACTATATGTCAGATCGGATTTTATTGATAATTGGTAATAATATCTCAAATGGCCCCAACATGATTAAGATAATTTTTTTGACACCTTATTAAGTTATTAGACTCTTGCATAACTTTTTACTCAATAGTTTTAGCCATTGATTTATTAAAATTGATCTTAATTTAACTTGCTATCAACCAGAGTATCATTCAATCTGATAACAATTTAAATACCAGTAAAATGAAAATAATGTTTATTTTCCATTTTTCTGTACCTTGAAAAATCAAATTTATTACTCCGTATTGTTAATCATTCACCGGAATAGCAAAGGGTGTCAATAATATCCCCTCAGTCTATACATTTATTTATTATTAATACATATACACCACAACACCAGTGAAAGTCAGAATGCACCAATATTAAGCTTTTCATATGTCTGCAAGTTCAATGAACTTAACCTCAGAAGTCCTATCAAATAATCTCTTCAAATGGTTCAAAGTACTACGATTTCCAATGCTCTCATTTATCAAGAACAATGAGTCCAGTTACATAATTGCACTACAAGTTGTCGTCATTGGCAAAGCTCGGTTAGTTTATAAGGAAACAGTGACGAGTAACTCGAATGATAATTTGAAATAGTCTGCCTATTCTCAGCATTATTATACCAACCTCCATGTAATAGTGGAGCTTTAGATATTAAGAATATCAACCACCATACTAATAGAGGTGTACTTCATTACTGTACAGTACACCCCCCCAATTTGAATGAATATGTTTTTCTTATGTTATATTGAATTATTTTTGTATGTAAAGATTGCCATGCTTATGTAAATGTTAAATATGAATATTTCATTATCCGAGAATTTGGCTACTTATAATACCTCTTTATAGAAGTATATTCTTTGGTGTAATCTTTTCTTCTTTTTTTTCTTATTACCCTGCTGTCTCATTATTGTTTTGAAGATCTAGTGCATTATTGTAGATGTCGTATGTATAATTTTTCATCATTTACAAATGATACTTTCTCCGCTCTTTGTTATTTGCAATGTTTCTGAAATTTTCCTTTATGTCGTGAATTGTAGATGGGTTTTATCAGTGTTATATTAACGATTGTGATATAATTATATTGCTATTAATGTAAATACTTCACTAACAGTGTGTTCTTGCATCAAAGTGTTAGTGCAGACATGGCGCTTGAGCCAAAGCGCGGCAATAAACCATTGGACCCAGCAGCAATAGATCAGATCAGTAATTTACCTAGAAAACTTCTCTGTCGAATTTTGGAATTTCTCCCAACAAGATGTGCTGTAGCTACTACCATATTATCAAAGGAATGGATTTATGTTTGGACTGAGATTCCTGTCCTCGATTTCACTGATCTACCATCTTCTATGATTAGTACAGAGACTGTCTTTAACCAAGAGCAGTATGTTAACTTCAGAAACTTTATAAACAGGACCCTTCTCCTTAATCGTACCCCATGTTTAGAACGCGTCCATTTAGAGTCCTATAAGGGGTTTTCCGTAGTTCATTTTGTTGAATGGATTTCAGTTATAACTAGGCTCTTTGTTCAAGAGCTTAGTCTTACTAATAAGCATTTCCCGATCATTATGTCCTTAGCCCGTTTTACGAATATTGAAAAGCTTGTTGTCTTAGACCTAAAAGGCTTTGCTCTTACCTTGCCGACTTCACTCAATCTTGCCTGCCTTCAGCGCCTTTCTCTTATCAAAGTTACATTTCCAAAAGAGGATGATCCTTTAACTAGCCTCTTATCTAGTTGTCCTGTGCTCGATGTGCTGAATATTGATAACTGCAAGGGGATTGAAAATTTTTCTGTGTGTTCCTCTTCAGTCAAGACACTAAGTCTTTCTGCAGTGGATTATGAGAAGAAAGCAATCGCTCTCAATACACCAAATCTCAAAGTCCTTCACCTATCAATTGGGATCAAGCATTCTTTCGTGACTGATCTATCATCTCTGGTTGAAGTTAGGCTAAATATTCGGACTTCAAGTGTTAGATGGATTAACCTTCTTCAGAAATTCTGTTACACACAGACCCTTGTCCTCTACCAGATTATATTAGATGTAAGTGTTGTCAGATGGATCAACATTTATTTAGACAATCTCTTTATGGTTGTAAGTTCTTTAAACAAAGCAAAGAAGTTTGATAGTTCATTCTATGCTACATTTTATTTTCGCCTTTTTGATATGTATCTAACACTACCTTTTATTTTCAGGGTTCAATTGCTCTGTATAGGATTCCAATTTTTGAGAATTTAACACACTTGGAAGTTGGATTTACTGCTTGGTCAACTGTACTGCAAATCCTAAGACGTGCTCCAAATCTTGCATCTTTTATCATACACAAGGTATAATATGTAGCTTCTTGCTCTACACTTGTCATAGACAATTGCTTTTTTTTATTTTTTTTTTATTCTATATTGATTCTTGAATGATTGTACTCTGACCTTGTTATATATGTTGTCTGCAGCTGATGTTTGATTGGCCTGATATTAAACTAGAAACAAAAGGATTGCCCCTTAAGAAAATCGAGTATTATGGATTTGATGTGGATGAAGGTTTTGAAGTTATTAAATATTTCTTAGGCAGCAGCATGCTGCTTAAGGAGCTTAAAATTTATACGCGCAGATCACAAGATTCAGTGACAGAGGTTAACATTCTGAAAACGCTGTTAATGATCCCTAGGGCGTCAAATCAATGTGAAATAACTGTTATCACTGAAGATTATAACTGTGAGTCTGAGGATAGTGATACTGAAATGGAAGAGTTGGACAGTGATTCAGACGACGTGACAAGGTAAAGGATGTACAGATTTATCTGACACTTGCTTTTTAAAATCTTATTGATTTCACTTATATATCAAATTTATATGATAATAACACCCAATGTTGAAATTGCTGCAGTCTTGAAGATGAAAATTTTGACTATTTGACTAGTCAGAATTCCAGAATTTTTAGCTCTGTGAAGTGGTGATGATTTGAAGACTGAAGAAGATTATATTTCTGCAAGACTTTTATGTGGATTCAGTAATCTCTCAAATGGTTTTCCTCCTACTCGGGTTTTTTGGAACAATTAATGAAAGCATGAATATATTTGGTAATTTGTGTTTGGTATTTGTATTTTGTAGTAGTGGTCCGTTGTTGGGATCCTTTTAACAGATCCAAGAAAAGTACAACTGAAATTTGTAGTACATTTGGTGATGACCTTATTATCAGAAAAAGTTTCTATTTTCAGATGTTATTATACTCCATATGTTATATGTAAGGATGAAATTTCTTCAATAAGAAATACGGAATATCAAATTAAGTTTTGAATGCATTAGCAAGACCCTTATTATGTAATCAGTGATCTGCATCTTGCATAGCTGTATGGATCTTTATCTATCACCCTAAAACTGCAGCAGTTCTCAAGATATATTCCGCTATTTTCACTTGCTCTTTACACCCACAAAACTCATAAGAGTTTGATAACCTCAAGATTGCACAATATGCACTTTGGTGTAGAATTTGGGAATATGGATTCCTGGAACTCATGCAGCAATTTAGCAGATTAGAAATTTATAAGAGGGCTAATATATACATAGCACTAAAAATATTCATCCTTAATAGTTATTATTACATTCAAACACAAGCAAACATTATCGAGCCCAAAGACTTATTGGGTAGTTGTGTTTGTGCAACACCAAGCCACCAACCATGCCAAGTTCGGAGTATGATACAGCATATGCAGAGCAAACAGGTCAAGTTGTGTAATACTGGCAACTGATAAGGGCACACATATTCAAGGGACTGTGGCAAAGATATAAAAGTATAATGTATGGAGCAAAAATTTACAATAGTTACGACGTACAAAGTAAACTTTTATGATTGTTTTACTACTATATAATTGCAAAATCTTCAAGCCCAAAATTTGCTGAAGAAGCTCGAGAATTCCAGCTCCAGACTTATCACCTTTCACTTGTTTGCTAGCATAAATGTCAGATTTGTTCAATGACTTAATATCCTTGATTCTACAGACTGAGAGTTCATTTGTTGAAGATGTTTGGTGCTTGGATGAATATATCTTACTCCTCTGACGTCTGTCTTGGATGGAATACTAAGTTATTGAGTTCCTGACCAATTATGGAGTACTAATTTCTAAGCCTTTGCGGTCCGATTACAGAATTACGAAGCACAGGGCAAAGTTACACCTAATTGTAGAGAGGCCTATAATTCTTTCTGAAATAGTAATGGCTGATCATTTTTGCTGTTTCTCTAAATTAATTCGTGAGGGATGACCAGGTGGTATAACTCTGATTTTAAGTTATCATGGTGTTGTTTGATTGAATTAACGATATTAAGCTTGAAGAAAAGAGCTATCTCATGAGGGATGATCATTGTCAATAAGATAACTATGATTTTGATAATAGTGACGGCGAAATCAGAGGATGCAAACAGATTTGACAGACTTAAATACCCTGGCTAACGATTGTTCATTAGTATTCTAAATAAATGCATCATACTGAACATGATATTACAGAATTTGATTTCAGCTGTTTTCCTTAATTGTTGGCTATTTAAAAGATTGCTGCCTAGTAGAAACTTGAAATGCATAATAAAGACTTAAAACTGATTTTTTCCCTGGGATGCATATAGTGAATTCACACATGCTCGAGACCCTTGGAACCTTGAATAGCCTTAGCAAGGCGCTCATTTCATCCTCTGCATCTCGATGAACTGTATGAATCTTCATCACCCTCAACCTTCCTGCTGTTTTCAAGAAATATTCACCCATAGTCACTTGTCCTTGAGCCCCACAAAAGTCGTAAAGTTTGATAACCTTCAGAGTGCTCGATAGACACTTAGGTGTTAAATATGGGTATGGGTTCCAGTACTCCGTCCAATCATCCTGCAAAATCCATAGTCCATACTACATTCAAGCATATGGAAAATAGACAAATAGTCTGACACGAAACTTGAAGAGAAACGAAACTCACAGAGTAATTGTGCCCGTGCACGGTCAGAGATGTTAGATTTGGAGTATGATCGAGTATATGCAGAACAAAAGACAATGTACCGTCTGCTAGTACTAAACAGGTCAAGTTGTGAAACACTGGCAGCTGGTGAGGGTACACATTTACAAGGGCCTGCTGCAAAGTCGATAATAGATCGTATCAGATTTTAATTCCAACAAAACATAATGAAGTACGCACAAGAACACTAAGACTTACATAAATTGTTGTTATAGACAATACCAATGTCTTCACGCCTGCAATATCCAAGAAAAGCTCAAGCATTCCACAATTTTGTTTGCAAACATTAATCTTAGCTTCAACCAATGAGGAAACATCCTTGATGTCATAGAATGAAACATTATCAGAAAGAGATAGGTATTCGAGATTAGGTGCTTCAATGACTATATCCTGCATTCCTGTTGTTAGCCTGAAATACATGATTTTTAACACCTTCAAAGAAGCTGAATGAATGTTTAGGATCTTCATTCTTGACCAGTTACGAAGTATAAGTTCTCTAAGACGAGGAAAGACTGAATATATATCCAACAAACTATCCTCAAGTATGACCCCCGAAAGGTGGAGGATCTCAAGATTTGGAAGCATAAAATACAGAACACTAACAGGAAGAACATATTTTCCAGTTAGCTTCAAAACCCTGAGTTTCTGACTCACAAACAGCCCTTCAGCGAGCTTAGTCTCTCTGTTGATAGAACAAAGATCGACCTCCAACACATTGCGTCTCAACATAGACCAAATCCATGAATCAACATGATATTCTTCGACTACACCAACATTACTCAAGTGAAAGAGTTTTAGCTCAGGTGCATCATTGAGGACCAAGGCCTTGTACACAAAAGTTATGAAAGATGACTTGTTCGATGAATCTACGAGAGAAAAATCGAGGACAGGGACTTTAGTCCAAACATATCTCCATCTCTTGGACAATACACTGGTTCTAACAGACGCGTATATATGTAGAAAAGAGAGAATAATACAAAGAAGTGTATCTGAGAGTGCACTAATCCTATCTTTCCCTTCAATCTGCACCATAGTTTCTTAGATTCAGACTCATCAAAAATTCTTGAGACAATTATTTATAGCCTAGTAACTGAAAAATTGATGATTTAGAATGCTCTTCATTTCCAATAATCCGATTGTTTGACTTCATGATGCAGTGCATCTGCATAAAGTATGCCTAGGAAATAATGTTATCAACTGAAATCTTGAAAGCCCACCTCATTTATGGTAGTTAATCTGCTGCTATACCCAAAAACGCTTAGTATTCCCCCCCAAAAAATATAGCCCTTATCAGTGGAGATTAGATGTGGCTACATAAGCCCAAGTGATAATGAATGGTTTAATTATCTTTGGTGACTCCCCGGCTCGCGGCCTGCTAGATACAAGTTCTGTAGTGAGTTTTAGAACAACAGCTATTTGTTGCAAGTAAAGCAATAAAAGTTCATCTGGATGTGATTGTAATGTAATCGAGAATTGTCAAGATGTGGAGATGAACCATTGTCCTAAAAGACGAGTAAGATTGGCATGGCTTTGTTAATTGTGAGCGCTCACAGTTGACGGATGGAAATCATATGCTTAGATATATATTGAAGTAATTACTAAGTGAACAACTAATTTTCGTTAGTATTTGTTGAGTAATGGTTTCGGTTTTATGGCTTAGCAAGGAAACGAACTTGGTTCAATATCAGATTAAGGGAGCAAATCAAGGAATCAAATTGATTTCCGGAGAAAAGTAAGGTGTCAAATTGTCAATCAAGACAGTAACTGATTTGGAAGGACCAGGTGATCTCGCTAACTTCATCAAGTTAAATACTACCTCCGTTATTAAATGTTATGTGTAACTTTGGAATATTTTATGTTTCACAAATAATACTCTAAAGTTGCACATAATATTTAACGGAAGTAGTATTCCAGTACGTAACTAATGGAGAACAAAAGGATAGATCTGATCCTACAAAAGTACACAAACTCACCAAACAAGGCCTTAATCTATCTCTTCCCATTTCACCACTCTCTTCCACAGCAACCCACCATGATCACTACCCTTACCCTTCCATAACAAATCATATTTTTTAAAAATTTGCTCCAGACAAAACTTAAGGGGCTCAAAGAACAAAACACAAGATATTTCAAAAAATTCTAACCTTATATCCTGATTTCATGATATTCTAGTTGAAATGATACCATCACAATTATCTATCCAAAAAAAAAAAAAAACTAAATCTAAAAATATTGATACAATAGTAATTTCAAAAAAAAAAAAAATCAAAGATTAACATCAGCATACGCGTCTAGAAGAAATGAAACAAGTATTTAAAAACGAAGATAGTACATAACAATCCTGCATTTACACTTACTCGCAACTCTACATTGCAATTGCAATTGCAATTGGTTAATATGAATTACCCTGCTTTATGCCTCTCAATAAAATGCACTGAACCAACCCATAATATACAAATACGACAACAACAAATTAATAATACTAAACCCATTTGTTATTGTATAAAAGATATGAGATACATCATAAATATGAAAATTAAATACCTATTTGTCAATTAACTAACTTTATCCAACCTAAAGCTATAGAAGGAAGACAAAAACCTAACCAAACATGAATTCAAACAGCCTAAAATCAACACAATTATTTGCGTTAGTTACTCACTTACATAAAAATTTAAAATAATATCCTATCTATTTAAATAATTAAAAACATTTTTATTTAAGTATACTGTACTTTGTAATACTGGTATAATGAATGAAACATTTAAGCGTGTTTACCTCATGCATGTTTGAAATGTCTATATATATACGTCGTTTTTCAAGTATCTGAAGAACGTTGTACCGAACACACAGTTCGGTGGATAAACTAAAAAATGGCAGGCTGGCAATGACACTAATTCCACGAACTACACTTTCAAAGTCTCAATCAATTGACTCAGTCAATATTGCCTCATTTCACCCAAATTGGTAACCCGTGATCATTATATAAATAGTTCTCCTCTCTAGCTTACTGAAAATCTAGCTAAACTTCTTAAGTTTTTAAATTCATGTCGATGGCAACCGAGAAGCGTATAAGAAGCTCACATGAGATGATCAAATTCTGTCATTCTTCTACTACTGGAATTGCAGCGGCAACATCAGTCACAATCATGATTCTTTTGCTTTTACTTCATATAGCTTCGGCAAATCCCTCAGGTTAGAATCATCACAATCTTCTTGTATTCTATTAATCGAGTTTTGCACAGCAGGAACACCCATATGGCCATGCTGGTTTACATCCCTATCTAAGAATGTCTCGAGTACATACTATGCTAACATATACTCCGTACTGAATACCACTGTCTATTACTTCTGAACAGATGAATTACAGCAGCCTCGATTTTCTGTAGGCCGACATCTTCTTCAAGCTACAAAAGGTCAACCTCATCAGCATACTCATGAACCTGTCTTTTTCACTTGTTACTAGTATTTGCATAATTGAAATTGAAAGTAAAATACAGAATTACAGAGTGATCCAATTAGGACAAACAAAACGGAACGGGTTAAGTATTGATTTTTCCAAATTCAGCAAAACTATTCTTACTAATACTAGAAAAAGTCATACCCGTACTAGAAGCATTAAAAAATATTGACTTCATCTTTTGCGGCTATTGCCAGCTCTTGTCCAGTGTACCACTTGACTAAGAATCCTACACTCTTCGTCATAAACAGTCGGTTGACTTTAATTCATTTGTAAAATCTGTTGATCATTAATCAAGAAAAACCTACAAACAATGCCAAAACTCAAAATGACACCAAAAATTAACCTTGATATTTGTTGCAGATTGCCCACTAGATGTTCAGCACTTGAACTACACGATCATAATAAGCAGATGCAAAGGACCCAGATATCCAGCCAACATATGTTGCGGGGCTTTCAAGGAATTGGCATGCCCTTACGCTCCAACCCTAAACGACGTAACCAACAATTGTGCAACCACCTTATTCAGTTACATCAATCTCTATGGCAAATACCCACCTGGCCTTTTTGCCAACATTTGCCGTGACAGTAAGCGTGGCCTTGAGTGCACTGATGCTCAGATGTCCATGTCCAAGCCCAAGTCCTCTTGCCACACTGCCACAATAAGTATCTTCTTTCTTTCAATTTTCTACTGGATGCTTCTATGATTTCTTGGTTTTTTTTTCCTTTGACTTTGTAATTAATTTTCTTCTAATCTATAGCCTTGATATGTAATATTATGTATACTAATACAGTAACCAATTGGCAAAGATCAAAGTATAAATAGTACAAGTTATACCATGTGCCCTATATGGTACAACCAAGGCTATTCTTGCTTATTTACACATTTGGGAATCTCCAACTTGAGTAACTGAGCCAAGAAATAACAATTAATGATGTAGTTCTTATTGTACATGAACTGCATGCACGCCAAACAGCTACAAAATTCAATGTCTTGATCCTGACTGTTGCTCAAGTTATTTAAACTAAAATTCAGGCGAATTTGGGAGCTTGGGTGGATTGTTACGCAATACATGAGAGTATTAGCTAGCACAAGCTCAACTCACAGAATTCAGTGCATACAAAGTCTTGAATGAACGAAAATATAAGCCAGTCCAACTTTTCAAGTTTTGAGCAAACACAAGTTCGCAGCAAATAATCTCATTATGAAAATCAACATAACTAAAGCTTTAGAAACTTCACACCTAAGAAGAGTTCAAATAAGCATAAATGCAACAAACAATGAAATCCTAATGTTCCTTCAGTTTGGGCTTTACATATATTCTATGAAATCTGAAATGCACCAGCTTTGAGAAGGTGATCAAAAATAGCTTTGGTGCAGCCACGAGTCACGACTCCTCAAATGACTCCCATCAATATCTAATTTGTCCTAGCTAATCCCAAGTGATATCACTTGACTAAGAGTCCTATACTCTTAAATAGCTATTACATCAAAAAGTTTGATGCAGTAGCTATTGCTGGAAAATATAGATGCAAAACAGCTGCTACTTTGACACACAAACTCTTGCCCAACTCACTTTAATTGCGCCAAGCAGCCACACAAATCCATAGTTCAAAGTTCACACCACCAAGTCCACCATAAACTCATTCCATAAAACCCCTCAACTCTACTATTACCTAATAAATTCCCTAGTTTCGAAGCATGCCCTCGAGTAAGATTACTGTCCAAAATTTTGCTCAAAAGTCAAAACTTTGCAAACCTAAACTGAATGTCCACTCTATATTGAAAAAACTATTAATTGTAAATTCACAAATGTTTTTGGAAGATAATCTCCTAGTGCGTGCCAAGCAACAAAGTGTTGTAAATGAGATTGAAAGTTTGATTTCTACTAAAACTATAAGTTCAATGTATTTAATTGCTTTGGGTTAGAGCTTCCTTGTAAGTTTATTTCCACTTAAATTCCCTTTGACTCCTTACAAGCATTACAATCTCCATTCTAGATATGAATGTAGGAATATTCTATGGAGTACTCACATTCTAGAAGAGGATACCATACAATCTCTTCATTGCATATTATTTGACCACTTAACTAACTTTTTTCTAACTCACATTATTTTTCTTGTTATATTATCAATATATTATTATTTGTTCATTCAAAATATCAATGCACTATTACTTATCAGTTTTGAATACCAAAGCATTAACTAACTTTTTCCTAAAATGCATTCATACCTAAGAAAATACTTTTCCAACGATTAAATATAAAATTTTAAAAATAAAAAAATAAAAAAAATCTTAAATTTCTACTTGAGAATAGAGTTTGATGTAATAGCTATTTTGTAAATTTACTAAAGTAGACTTTGAAACTTTTTTTGCTAAAGATAGGTGCAAGCAAGAGCTAGACAGCAAAAGTAAGGTCAAAGACAAATTTTCAAAACATGTTAGTCGATGTATAAGTAGTTAAAAACTAACAAGTAATAATACATTGATATTTTAAACAAATAAATGATAATGTATCAATATTCTATACATCACAAATGATATGAAATGAGAAAAGTTAGTTAAGTGGTCAAATAATATAAATAGAATAAAGAGGTGTACTTTTAGTTTCAAATTCTTTGCTAATAGGAAGTTTAGCAAGACGTGTTTGTTAGGTATTTGTTTGATTTGACTAATATAAAAGATTGGGAAAAAAAAAATCAATTAGTAGAATTTCATAGGAAGTGAGAGAATCCAAAGTTGTTTGGTTGGAGAAACATAGGAGGTTCTACTTTCCATAAAAAGAAAGATGTTGCTTAACTAGGTCTCCCTAGGTAAGTAAAACTTTCCATAGAAAATCTTTCTTCCAATTATCAAACAAACAACAGTTCATGCTTCCTATAAAATTAAAGTACATGGGAGATACAATTTCCAAGGCATCTTAGGAATTATATATTTTATATTTAACCAAAGAAGTACTTAAACCCACCCTAGGAACACAGTTACAGTAGATGGAGCAGCAGCAAGAGGGATCGCATTTTGATTCAATTGGTAGTGTTTGTGGTCGAGACCACACCCAATGGATTCAACAAGCTCCTCATGCTATGATAGTAGAATGTATAAAAAAAATGAATGGAGTATATAACTAAGAAAAGAGCCGTAGAAAACAGGGTGCTAGAACAACAAACAAAAAACCTTAAATGAAAAGAAGTTTACCATTGCAATCAACGTCAGCTAGTTTTGAAAATCACAGGCTAAAGGTAACCACATCAACACGCACCAAAACCTTCATATCACATTATAATTGGTGGAGTGATGGATTGATTCTCCAGAAGCTGACACAATAATCCAAGGACTGTTCAGTTAAATTGTCCATCAAAAACAGAACTAAAAGCAAAACTTTCAAGTGCCAAAATAATCAAAAAGTTGTCATCGTTAGTGTCACAATGCAAAAAAAAAAAAAAAAAAAAAAAAAAAAAAAAAAAAAAAAAAAAAAACAAAACAAAACAGAAGTGTAGATGCAAAAAATATAAACAACAGCAATTGTAAGGGAAAATAGTGGAATCACCAAATCAGGGTTTTTAATTGGGTGAAAATATATAGGTTCGTCTCAAAATCATGTTAGCTATTCTAATTGGACAAAGATTTTAAAGTTCTAAGTACTTGTTCTTAAAAACCAAATATTAATTGCACAGATGCCCAGTCGATATTCAGAAATACTCAGATACTACACAATTATAACAAAATAAATGCAAACGACCCACATAACCTCTCAACCTATACAGTGAAGTTTTCAAGGATTTGGCATGTCCTTACATCAGAGACTTGAACACTATACCAGAATTTGTGCAAACATCATGTTTAGCTACATCAACTTCTGCAGTAACTACTTGGCTATCCTGTATGCCAACACTTGATGCGACATCTAGTGAGTTCTCTACACTTGGCATGCCATTTGTAATCAAAATTTACTCTTAATTTAACTATCATGACATGTAAAACCTAACATTGGGTAATACTCTTTTTTTTTTTTTTTACAAAATCGACTCTGTTGATGTTGACACAAGGTTTAGCTTGGTGATAAGGACTGTAAGCATTCTTTTATAAGAAATAATTCCAAGAGTAACAGTTTGAAGGCCTGCTTTTATCGTACATGAGCTGTACAAAGATAAACCAGTGAATATCCCACATGAAACACAGATGTAGCTATCTCTAAGGAAAAAAGCAGTACATGCTAATCTCATATACTGGGGTAGAAGTATTGCAAGTTCCCAACACCAAGAATTAGTTTGCATACACAAGTTTTCAGATTTGAGAAGCATTTAGAGTAGATAAAACTAACCAAGTAACATATTACATCAAACATTCAAATCTGTGTGTCTTCCCTGACTCCCTCCAAAACCAGGTACTGAAGCGCTATAGAGTATCTAGCACTCCTTTTTCCTATGCTCCTTCCTTGCGTTTGCACACTATGTTTAAGAAGAAATGAGCCACATCCATCACCTTCACCTTTGACCAAAAACAAGAATTATTATATCAAACTCATTGACTGCATCTCTCTCTCGGCCTAAAATTCAATGAACCCACCTACCTTGGATTGTGAAAATAGACGAAATCCATCTTTTGTAGATGAATTGTCTAGGAAAGTCTCCGTGATACGTATCAGAGAGCAAAAGCTGGCAAGCTGTTGTTTTACTGGTGACAGAATTCCAATAACAGAGGGACTAATGTCATATAGGTGGTAAATCAGTACTTGCAAAGGCAAGCAAAAGAAGCAAAGGAATTTGCAATTAAGCTTATTTAGTTGTAAAAGGGCTCTAACTCACCTGGCATGGATGATTGCACTATGACAAAGGGCTAAAACTCGAACCATGGCTAAGTCCCTTCCACGAGGATTATTATACTTCATTTGACACTTGCTTTATCCAGTATAAAGGAAAATTAGTGAAATTCATTATTAACATGTAATTCATCAGGCAGCCAAAGTTAAAGCATCATATGGCCATTCTTTTTTAAAATGTGTAATCAAATGAAAGATGCAAGCTCTGACTTTCAGCAAGAGTAAATTAAGTTCGAGAAAGAGGGAGGGATTATACCTTTCAAGAAAGAAGTCACCAAAATCATCAATAATAACAGCAAGGGGCAAAGGATGAAGAAGATGGAAGGCAGCAAAAAATTTCTTGATGCCTTCATCATCATAATCATCCATATACCTGGGAACAGGGAACCGCAAAAGCCAGACATTAAAAATTAAAAAAAAAAATCATGGATTAAGAAATGCAAGTCAACCAAAGCAAAACTATCATTAGTATTGAAGCAGTAGTAACTAACTTGATATGAATTCGCTGAAAGATGTGTGAAGAAGCATCAACTCCCTGTAATTGGATAGACACTTTTACTACTCCGTAATCAATTATATAACTCAGCAAGTCAGCATGTGCAGGAGAACAGGGGTTTGAGGAGAGGAGAAGAGACCTGAGAGAGGAAAGGAGGTTTGGTTTCAAAACGGCGACGATTGCAGATAAAGACAATGTATCCCTGTGACGTGGACTGACAGTGAGCTGCCATGTTCAAAGCGAACTGAAATAGAAGTGATGTCTTCCCACTGAAAAGAAACATTGAACATAAATTTCTAAACATTTGTTGAGTTCTAGACACATAATTAGGAACTTGCATTAGTTAAGACTAAGAGTGTGAGTACCAGGATGGAGGGCCAGTGAGCAGCGTAATTGGATCAGATGTAAAGCAACAGCCTCCTTGAGGTTGTACAGCAACAGTGGTAACAGAGTTGGTGCTACTGCCATCAAAGAATCGCTCCACCATTGTTCTTTCACAAAATCAACTTGCAGTAGCACACTCCACTTACTGAGGAATCTTCACTCTCTTTTTCTTGTCTATTGTCTTTCAGTAAGACTAACACTGCATTCTACACTTGACCAAAAATAAGATTAATAGTAAGTTCAAGTCAGCCTATGAGCCAAAGAATGAAAAAACGCACTGTAGCCAAATTGATGCTAAACTTGATCATCCACCTATATGTCCCAAAACATGAGATAATACATCACGACCCATATATATTGCTAATCTTGGTGATCAACCAATGAGCCAACCAATAGTAAACATGCAGCACTGTTTGATTCATGCCATACACTAAAAAACAAAAGTGATCAGAAATTTCAACATCTGCCAAGAAAAGAAAAAAGATCGTACGAGTAATCATTAATTTCTATATATCTATCTCTCTTATTACTAATCAACAACAAAATAAGTAAATCCTATGCCAAAAGGCCTTGCTTCTAATTCAAAGATACTCTTAACAGATCACTTAAGATAAATCACTATCTTACCAATAAGTTCAAAGAAAATCAATAATCTATTGCATCCTCACTCCAAACTGACTCATTCTTGTAATTTCCATAGAATTGAAAACAATACACAAGTAAGCATTCACGTCCAAAATGACATTAAACTTTCAAAATAGTCTCAAATCAAGGATGGTCCAAAATTTACTCCTAAATCCAGTAGATAAAACTTGAGGGGTATCCAGAGACCAGAGTTCTAGACCATTGATCATATACAATCAAATAAGGAATAGAATATTTTTAAGAACAACATATGCATTCTTTTTAGAAAAAGAACCAACTTTAGCAATCACACTAACGGTGTGTTTGGATTGAAGGAAATGGAGGGAAAGGAAGGGAAGAGAAATGGAAAGATGGAGTATCTTTCATTTGGATAGAAAATGAGGAAGGGAGGGAATTGAAGGGGAGGAAAATGGAAGGATTAAATTGTAGGAAATTGGTCCCTCCAACAATGGAGAGATTTGAAAGGAAAACTCATCCTTTTTCTCTCCCCTCCCTTTCCCTCCCCTCCTCTTCTCCTCCCTTCCCTTCTTTTCCTTCCCTTTCTTTATCCAAACAATCTGTAAAGGAATTTCAAGAGATTAGATCAAATTGAAAAAGAAGAGAACAACAAAACATTTATCGCACTTCATCAAAATATATATAAAAGGGATATCTACAAGGGACTGGTAATAATGGATTTGCAAAGTGACTAAGTAGACTCGTGGACAGCTACGCTAACCATTGATGATCTTGTTAATAGACTAACCCACAGAACATTTTAATAAAAAAAAAGGTCAAAATGAATTTGTAATGTTCTTCCTATCCAAACAAAGTGTTAATGAATTTGGACAAAAACAGAACAGAACAGAACATATATTCATTCTCAGTAAAGCACAGGTAATTACTTGTTGCTAAAATTTGTAGCACCATACATTGATTTTATGGGAGCAAATAATAGCATTCTTGCTGCTTCCACTATGATCTTCTTCTTCAACGTTTCACCATTAAGCCATTAATTTCATTTAGCGAAAACTCGCTTTTCTTTAATTTTTTACTCACTATATTAGCACTTGCGATAGTGAAACTCTTATGTTTGCTAGATTGTTTAAAATAGATAAGTAATTCAAAAATGTATTCATCTCAATCTCCAAAAACCCTATTTTCCTATAACCCTCCCTTGCCAAAAGCATTCACATCAGGCTCCAAAAATCACATACAATTCCTCTCGCTTAAGAATATCAACAAAATTGCTCGTTATAACATTTCATAATTTCAGTAATTATAATCAAAGTTCAATAATTCACCTTAGAAGAACCCTTAATTGACTGTACTGACGATTAATTTAACAATAAACCCTAGACTATGAAATTAATTGATATTCGACGAATAAAAATAAAACAAAAAATAAAAAAAACTTCCTACCTCAGAATCTGCTCCAATGGAGGAGGGAAAGCTCAGAAGTAGCTTTAATGGAGTATTAGAGTAAGCTTCAATGGAGGTGGGAGAGGGGAAAGGGAAGAGTGTGCCGTGCAGCGTGAAAAGTGAACGCTCCAAAAAAAAAAAAAAAAGGAAAAATAAAGAGGAATATAACTGACACGTGGTATGTACAGGTGTCAAAACATTGACTTGAATTTACCCGAATTTGAGTCGGAGCTGAATTTGGTTTGACCCGTAAACTGTGGATCCAAACCCTTTATCTAACCCACATTTTAATAATAAGGTCTACCTCTACACGTCTAGTTGTTTAGTTGATCATTAAAATGTGGGTAAGATAAAAGGTTTTATGGGTCAATGAATGAGTCAGTTTACGGGTCAAAACAATACACAAGTATATATTCACATCCTAAATGAAAGTAAACTTTCAAAATATGGTGTATAAAACTAATGTAAATGAAATTTGTGGGAGGGTACTCTTACGAATTTAACAGGTGCATATGAAAAAATTATCTAGAGTAGCATAGTCTTATGAATTTTACAGGTGCAATAAATTCGCAATTGATTAGAAATTAGTGGGGAAAAAAATGTATTTTACGCTTCTCCACTAGCACCTTGCAGCCTTGCTCTCATTCATTAATGTCGTAAGGTTTTTTGTAAACTAAGGGTCTGTTCTCATCAGATTATTTTCAGTTCATTTCAGCTTTAATAAGTTCAAATTGCTAATCAAGTAATCAAAATTGAAAATACAATAAAATATTTATCCAAACTACCTTGAGTAGTTAATAGTTTAGTCCACTGCCACTAATTTGCTCAACACTTTTCTAGAGATCAGCTAACAACATACAACAGATATGAAGTAATAAACAATGAGCTATTGAGCTCCAAGCCTCCAACACAATAATCAACTAATTTTAATAATAACACTCCCTTCATTTATAAAACCATAATCTCTACATAATCCAATATACATAACAGTACACCAACTCCATATTACAAATTCCCAGTACTACACTACTACTATCATACTATGTCACTTTGGGCCAAGCTAAGGTCATTGACTCATAGCGAGCTATGTCACAGACCGGTGTTGCCAACGTGCTTTACCTCAATGAACTGGATGTTCCTATTCAAGCGATTATACAGTGCTTGCATACTTTCTTAAACAAAAGCCAAATCTTTCTAAGCTAAGAAATTTAAGTCAAGACCTTAAAGAAGATTGATCATAATCTTCACTCAACAATTATGGGGTTATCACTTGTGCCGTCATTTCCTAGTAAAATAGAAGGAAAGTCACCTCGAAGAACTTGAACCTTGAGCTTCAAAGCCTCACCACTAAGTTCAATGAGTTCAAAAATACAAACATCTCCAACCTTGAGATTGTTGTCAACAGCAAATTCTTTCCACGAGCTAAAATCAAATCTTTTATGGGTTGGATGACTGCCGAAATAAGTTGTTTTCCAACTCTTTTTGCCACGAGTGAGGGTAACTGTGGCTGTTTTATGGGGAAGTATATGAGCACTTTCTGCAGGAATTGTCTGAAGTCATGAATCAATCAGAAATTATAGTCAGTGTGTCATCCTTGGTAAGGGTTGCACACAATGTATGCAAGCTAACTATGCCTACGCTGTTTGACAACAAGAGATTTCATTTAGACTCGAGAGGGAAAGCCCACAAAGAAGAACTGATGTAATGTTTAGAGCTTTAAGGCCTTTAACAATGTGTTTTGTGTATCATCAACGCTACCTCACAAAGACACTGATAGCCAAAAACATAAAAAGTTCATTTATGCACCAAATTTCTATGAGCTATCTGATGAATGAATCAAACCATCATCATGAAGATAACAATGAAACAACAAATCGCTATATTTCTCTTTAAATCCACAATTCCATACACTAATGAAACATAAGAGAGTAAGAAGAAAATCCTACCAATTGATATGGACTACTGACGTGTGATTTGTAAAGAGTTACATGAAACATGGGATATCCCGAAAGTGGCTCAATTTCTTCATCCTCTTCGGTATCTATAGATACAGGATCAAGTTGCTGTTCCTCCTCGTTCATATCTCTTCATAATACAAAAGGTTCCATACATATCAAGAATCAAAACATTCATATAAGAGATACCTATTATATCAGAGCAATACTAAACATTAGCAGAGTAGCTGCTGGACTACTTCAGTAAAAGAGATCACTTCTTACTCAAGGAAAGATTAACAGATTAAAAAAGCAAAGTTGTGTAAAGTTACTAGTTTGCACTATGTAGTATTGAAATGAAGCAAACAAATCACAAACCCCTCTTTCTTCCTACCTGTAGTTCAAGACACTCTTAAATCTAGACTCTCTAGAGTCAAGCTCCCTCGAATGAACAATCAATTTGACCCATTCTGACAAATTACACATTAAGTCGAGCTTGGGAAAATGATCATCAATTTAGTCAATTTTACGGTAATAGATTAACTAGAATAGAAATCAAGCAATCTTCAAAGTCTGAATGTGACCAATTCAAGAGTTAGAGCGAAGGGGTGCAAATAAGATAAAACAAGTACTCAAATCAACAATTCGGACTACAACATGAAATCTAGTATAAGATTAAAACTATGCTTAATGTGAGTCCATAATTAAAAAGCATTTCAAATCAATTATCATAGCTAACTTGCAAGAAAAGATCGTTCACAATTAGAGTAACCAATTTATCATCCAATCGCGCATACTATATTACAACTTGCTCTTCACATAAACCATCACAATATGTGTCACTAACTTGCAAGAAAAGATCAATTTCAATTGGAGTAAACAATTCATCATTCAATATTATTTGATTGCCCACTACTATTGCAACTTGCTCTTTCTTTCCACACTTGTAATAGCCAAAGACAGTATCAAAGATCAATACTTGTCTTTGAAGCAAGTAGACTAGCTAAATATTTATTAATTTATCACAATTAGCAAAACCAAATTACAAATTACAACAAATTGATCTAATATCACTTTCAAAAAGGGAAATATTCTACATTATTACCACTCTCAACTCAAACCCCTTTTAGGAATTATTGTTTTTTACTTTACAAAAATTCTCATTTGTCTGTGCAATTAAACAAAATTCTCTTTAATTTAACCATAAACAACAAGATTGAACAAAAACTGCATAAATGTAACAAAGATACAGTTCAAATTTGGATTGACAATAATTGAATATTAAAAAGTAAAAAGAAAATTGAACTAACCCTTGAATAGGAGGAAGAAGAATCAAGAAGAGGGGTTGTATGCTAACGCCGACGGAAGACGGCCGGTGATCGGAGTTGAGTCCGGTGAGAAGAAGGGAATGTTTTGAAGTTTGAACTCCGTATTTGTTGAATTAAATTCCTTGGTGTCTAATTATGTTATGATATTGACGTTTCATGACTTTGATGTATTGTCAATTTTACTTCGTAGTCCGCATTTGAGATGAAGTGAACTGAACTGAACTGATTTGAGTTGAACTGAACTGAACTGAGCTGATTGAAGTTGAACTGAAGTGATTGAACTGATTGAAGCTGAACTGAACTGTACTGAACTGAAATTAAGTAAATTTTCGGCTACACAGCTACACTTACCAAAATAGAGGACTACAATTACAAAGTTTACAATTTTCGGTTAAGTCTGAGACTCAAATTTGAGTATTGAATACAAAATGAGTTGTTTTTTTATCTTTAATGGTGATATAACCCACTTCTCAATTTAGAGTCTGTTCACATTTACTGAACTGATTTGAGGTGAGCTGAACTTAACTGAACTGATTTAAGTTGAACTTAACTGAACTGAACTAAACTGAACTGTACTGAACTGAAATTAAGTAAATGTGAACAGGCCCTTAGTATCTCATGTGAAGTCTAATTTGAGACTCTCTAAAAATATACAAATGTCACTTTCTATTTATGGCCCACCAATTCCATTTCTTTTTTAATATTAAATATTATAAGATTAAAAAAATAATAAAACTTAAATATATTACAAAATATATTAGAATATTGACAAGGGTCCTACATTTTTTGTCAAATGAGACTCAAAGTTTGACCATCTCCAATGGTAAGACTCGTATTTGAGTATTAAAATACAAAATGAGTTGTTTTTTTACCTTTAATGGTGATACCAAACTCACTTCTCAATTTAGTAACTTATGTGAAGCCTAATTTTCCAATGGTGAGATTCTCCAAAATATACAAATGTCACTTTCAATTTGGCTCACCAAATCCATTTATTTTTAATATCAAATATTGTAAGATTAAAAAAAGGTAAAACTTAAATAAATTACAAAATAATTAGAATATTAACATGGGGCCCACACTTTTTGTCAAATGAGACTCAAAGTTGAGTATCTAAACTTAGCAACTTTTTTTTGGAATTGCTAAGTTTAGATACCAATTTATTGGTATACATTGCAAAAAATACTCTCTCTCTCTCTCTCTTAAAGATACTCACTTGAGTCTCACCATTAGAGAGGGTTTTAGTACTCCGTGTTAAACTTAGCAACTTTATTTTGGAGTTGCTACGTTTAATTATCAACGTGTACATTGCAAAAAATTCTCTCTCTCTCTCCTAAAAATATCTACTTAAGTCTCACCATTGTAGAGGGTCTAACAAAAGTAATACTCTACTATTTAAAGAATAAAAAAGAAAAGTAAAAATAAAACTGTAAAAAAAAAATTTGAACGAAGGGAGTAGTATCAATTTTGCAATTCAAGTAATTGCAATATTAGTGTATACACACAGTTTTAGGGTCTGTTCTCATACGTTTATTTTCAGGCCTATTCTCATACGTTTATTTTCAGGCCTGTTCAGTTCAGCTCCTAATTTCCTTCTCTTATTAATTATTCAGTTCAGTTCAGTTCAGTCTATGAGAACATACCCTTAGAATAGTACAATACTACGTATACGAAGTATATTTTATAATACTTCATATAAATTTATTTGTCAAATTGATAGGGTGTAATGTGTAAATAAGTCGAGTCGAGCCGAGCCGAGCCGAGCCGAGCCGAGTACTACCTTGTTCATGTTCAGTTCACTTAACTTAGGCGAGTCCGACTGTCCGAGCACGATCTTGAGCTTTCAAGCAAGCTCAAAAATCTGTTCAAGCTCAGCTCATTTAGTACAATATATGTTCATGAACAACTCGTTTATTAAACGAGTTGATAAATGAGTGATTCATGAACAAGCTCAATAATAAACAAGCTTTTATAATAAACGACCTTTTTACTTTTGACATTTGAAAATCTCAAAAGTAGCATAATAATTAAATCTTAATCACACCATATAAACTTAAGAATTAAATTAACAAATTATGAATAAATCAACAATTCATGAACATAAATAAGTTCGTGAAAATAAATAAACGAGTTGTTCATGAACATATCTGAACGAGCATATTTATGTTCGTGTCCAAGCTCATTTATTAAACGAGTTTCAAAATTTGTTCAACCTCGGCTCATTTATTAAATAAACGAACATGAACGAGAGTCAACCGAGCTCGAACCCGAGTAGTTTATGGCTCGGTTCATATACACCCCTACAAATTGGGGTTGATGAGAGAGTAAAAATAGAATAATAATATTTCCTTACCAAATAGAAAGTATTGCCTTTAAGGGGAAAAAAAAAACTTTATGATTATTATAAAATGGAGGAAAAGCTTGAAATATATATCAAAACTAATTCGATAACAATAATACAGATATACAAAGTAATTTCAAGAACATAGACAACCACCCAATAAGCTATCACTTGAACTAGTGCGAGTTATTACATACGAAGTATCAAAAAGACGGGGCTATAAATGCTAACACAGGAAATGACCCGGCGTAATTTTGTTAAATTGAGCCCTAAAATCATTTTTTTAGCGAAATATTTTATGAAATCATAAATTTTGTGATAAAATTAAATAATAGATGATTGATTAACAAGTTTTCAACTTACTTTGTACAAGTAAATTTCAAAAACAAGAGCCCTTCTATAGTAGTTTTATTGAGCCAGTTCTCTTCAGCTTAATTTCAGTTCAGCTCCAATCAATTCATTTCAGCAAATGAGAACAGGCTCTTAGAGACACTGTGCAATCGACCACCCTACACATACTCGAAACCACATCTATGAAGTATGCTCCATTAACGGTAAATCTTGGACCAACATACAGAGACCTAGGGGGTCAAGCTTATAACATTTGATTTAAAAAAAAAAAAAGATATAGAACACTTAAGTGAATTAGCTATACATTTTTCAGTAACATACTACGTAATTAATGTTAAATTTAAGCTCACTAGTCTTATTTAAAGATGGCACCAAGTTGACATTGTTAGTATATATGAAGTATAAATTAACATGACTTTGACAGTACATGAAATTTGACTTAGGCATACGACATACAAGGTGTCAAGCAAATTATCCTATATTATTGGTACCAAGCTAAGTTTGGTTTAGTGGGAAAAATTTCACCTTTTAATCTTTAGGTTGGGGGTTCAATTTTTTTTAATTAGAGGCACTTCGTGGGTGGGATACTGGAATCCCTTACCCAATTACCCTTCCCCTTAGTTTCAAAGTGTCTGACTCACAAATATTAGACCAAAAAACCTGTAATGGTTGAGGTTCGACTAGGGTCCTTACCCTTACCATAAAAAAAAAAGTACTCTAAAAATAAACATTTTCCTGCCAACACACGTTCATATCAAATGTATACGCAGTACAAGAATTTAAAATGATGTGCCTAAAATTTGGGCCACACCCAATAAGAAATTATGCTTTGCTTGTCATAAACCCGCAAATAATAAGCTGCACCATGGTGCACCTAGAAATAGGTGCACCACGCCTATACTTTTGAACATTTAGTAAAAAAAATCTGAACAATTGTAAATTTTGAACATGTTGTAAAAATATCTGAACATCGCAAATTTTGAACATTTAGTTAAAAAATCTGAACAATCGCAATGCATCACACCTATACTTTTGAATAATTAGTAAAAAAATCTGAACAATCGCGAATTTCGAACATTTAGTAAAAAAAATCTGAACATCGCAAATTTCGAACATTTAGTAAAAAAAAATATGAACAATCGCAATGCACCACACATATACTTTTGAACATTTAGTAAAAAAAATATGAATAATAACAAATTTTGAACATTTAGTAAAAAAATATGAACAATCACAAATTTTGAATTATTGCAAGTCAAACAAATTTTGAAAGAAGTTTGTCTAACTCGTAATAATTCAATAGTTTTGTAATATAACCTGAACATTTACTGTATACAAAATGAACATTTCTTTATAAAATATGAACATAAAAATTGCACGTTTATGTTCATTTTTTGTGACGTGTTCATATTTTTTTTACTAGATGTTCATATTTTTGTAAAACGTTCAAAAAAATTTCACTAAATGTTCAAAAGTATATGTGTGGTTTTAAGTTTTTACACACTTTTCGCCATTTTACTATGTTAATTTTACTGATAGTTTGCGTACATTTTTCATATTCCGGCTAACAAAAAATTAATGACAACTAGCAAAAGGGTATATCCTATGCAACAATTTGGCAAATGAATGGAAAAAATTTCACAAGTGTGGCAGCGACGGAAACACCGCTTCCCTTCATGGTGTGCAACCCTATATGTTTAATAAGAAAATGCTGAAAAGCAAGTTGCCTTCGCGGATTTTTAAGTTGAAGTATGAGATTCACGATCTGTGTTATTTTATCAACAAACTTGATTTCGGTAACTTGAAGTCCGATGAATTTGTATGAGAGCAATATGAAAAACATGGATGGAAGGTTTCTAAGTTTTCATCCCTTTAAGACTACGCACAGTTTACGATACATGCTTTTCGTAATCTGAATCTCAACCCATTCTTAATCAAATTCGTGATTTCGATAATTATTTTTATAAATTTGTAAATACATAATTAATTAGGGTCCGACTTAAATTGTTTTTTCATAATAAAAAAAGTATACTATTTGGTTTTTTCCCCCTCAATTTTAGTTAATAATTTTGACATTAATTTCCTTGTAGCCGAAACTAAATTTGGGTCAATTAACCCCACTTATTAATAATAAAAAATATATTTTAAAAATATTTATAAAATAAAGATATAATTATTTATCAAGCGTTGAATTATTGATTATAAGAAAAATAAAATACAAAATTTTAAAAATGTATCAAGACACATTATTAGATGAAATAACTATGTGATTATGTGAAATATAATATTTACATTGCTACATGTAATTTGTTATTTTATAAATAATTTCATGTAATTTGTTTATTCATGTAATTGCATGTAATATTTGTTTATGAATAAATATTTAAATGAATTTATTTCAATATTTTGAATCCACTTATTAAATAGGTTAGATTCTCTACTGCGGCTACAACTGGTTTACTATTTTGGGAAGTGATTTGCTCGGTCGCTTGTAGGAGGTTTACCAATTTACTACAACGCGGATTGTTTTCAAGAAGCATTGAACATGAGATTTATCTATTCTGTATTTACTTCGTATATGCAAGTAAGAACGTATATTGATGTATTCTTCAATTTACAAATTTAAAGATCAATTTACAAATTTAAAGAACAATTACATACTCGTTATATTTTTAAAATCATATGAAAACACAAAATAATTTGTGATAACTGGTATAACATTAGTGATGATGAGGAGATGACTTTTGAAACATCTCTACAACTTGTAGAAAAACAGTATGGTATACACGGCTGGAAAATCCATCAGGTGGCTACTCCTCTCGAATACGTTGGACTTACCTTGCAACTCTTTCATATATTTAATGTGAAGCAGCACCTTACAGTTATCCCTAAGTTTCCTTTTATTTTCAATTTTTTTACAGAAATTTGTAATACAATACAGGTTAATAAAATGAAATGCAATGATAATATATTAATACAAATATATTAAAAATACTTTATGACATAGAAACAGGCCCGTCCCTAGGGCAGTGGAAAATGTAGAGCTATGTTACGAACCAGTCCAACAGAGAAAAGAAAATAGATGAGAGAGCAGGGGTTTTTAAGTAGGGGATTTGGAGGGGAGAGGGTGTAGTTAGCAAAAGTAAGGGTCATGTGACAAGCACACTGTGGTCAATGTCGGAAATTAGAGGGCCAATATGGAAAATTAGGTTTGGTGGTTTTTGACAAAAAAAAAAAAAACAGAAATCAGGTCTAAAGTAATAACTGATACAGTTTTAAAAAAAAAAATTGTCTTTAACAAAAAAAATTTATAATCTTAACTCATTCGAAAGTGGAAACCTTCAAAAATTGGTCAACATCCTTGGGGAATAGTGATATGAGTTTAAAGTCCATGTAGTTTACTGTACATTTGGCCAAAATTTGCTTCTTTTGTCTTTGAGTTTCAATTTCATTTAATTTGAGTTTCAATTTCATTTGGTTGGAATTTTGGTTTCATTTTGTTAGTCATTATTTGAGTTTCAATTTCATTTGGTTGAAATTTTGGTTTCATTTATGGCTCTTTATATACGGGATTGGATTGAAAGGAGGTTTGTCAATTATGTTGTAATTGTGTTTTAATTTAATTCCTAATTGTTTTATGTTGTAATTGTGTTTTTATATAATTCCTAATTGTTTTATCAGACTATTGGTTCTAATACTAACTTCATTATGTGAGTAATTTAATTGAGTTAATGTAGTGTTTTGTTGCTTTGTTTGGTCTGCTTTAATCGTATTATATGTGGTGATCGTAGGTATGTTGTTGGACATTGTTTGGTAAGTAACTTTGTTTGAGTTAGTTTTAATTCTGAATAAATTGTGCTTAGCTATTACTGTGAATAATTTAGGTGTGTTTTAGTTGGTTTTGACATTGTGTTAACTGTGTGCATAATTTTTTTTAAGTGTTAAATTCTTTATAACGACGATGACAAATGTACAGTAAAGCAGAATTGTTGATTTTATTTTAGCTAGAGTTATTTTTAAATGCTTGGATTATTATCTGATTGCTTAATTTTTTTTTCAGGGTTTTTTTTTTTTAATTTTTTAATAAAGGGGATTATAGGTTATGGTTGGTTTTAAGATATTTGTTCACTTAAGATATTATTTTAGTTTAGTTTATCTTGAAAAATGGAGATAATTAAGTAAAGTCTATGGATGGTACACTTATAGGGTGGCTTGCCCATACTGCTACTGTTTAATACAGTGTGTGGCTGTATTTTTTTCCTGATTTTGGTGCGTCTTGTTTTGCTTGGCAATTCTTGTGTGTGTATTTTATTTTTGTGTCCTTTTCACATTTTTTTTCTTGATGGTAGTCAGCTCTTTTTTCCTTGTCTATATATACTTTGCTTTGGGTTAGAAGATTTTATTGTGCTGGGTGTTATTTACCTTTTCTATAGGTATTGTTATTCTTTGTTTTTTTTTAATCAATTAATTTAATTATATTCAATTTATGTTGTTTCTGATTCATTGTTTATGCAATATATAATGTGTGGAATGATACTGAATTTAAATACTGGACTTAATTAGCCTGGACTTTATGATTCTGAACCAAAATTAGTGGACAGTAATAAAGGGTTGAACCATGTAATGGAGATATGGAATGCAGTCTGAATATGGATTCTAATACAATTATTAAAATTGGATGAGTGTTTTATGAATAGTTTGATAATTATGTTGGGTTTTAAATGATGTTTGAACTATAGATGATGCTATTGATACTAATTAGTTTGTGTATTATTAGATTCAAATTCAGATTTCTGTGGTCATGAGTAGTTTGATAATTATGTTGGGTTTTAAATGATCTTTGAACTATAGATCATGCTATTACTACTAATTTGTTTGTGTATTATCAGATTTAAATTAAGATTTATGTATTAATTTCTTGTTCAGTTGTTTTAGATCATGCTATTACTACTAATTTGTTTGTGTTAGGGGTGTCCATAATTCGGATAAAAACCGAAATCCAATCCAATCCAAACCGAATTATCAATTCGGATCGGATCCGAACTTTAAAAATCGGATCGGATCGGATTGAGATTTTTTGGAAATTCGGATTTTCGGATTGGATCGGATTAACCCTAATTGGATCCAATCCAAACCGAAAACCGAATTGTAAAATTAAGCTTGTATAAATATGGATTTCTGTATATTTTGAAGTTTAACTCAAATACTTAATACTACATAAAATAAATTAGAGAGACTTTGTATTAATTAATTAATGACTTGACGTTGAACTATGTATTTTAATCATGATTTTGAAGACTTTTATTTATAGTAAAGCTTTATTTTTATAATTGTATTAGGCGCTAAAAAAATAAAGTATTATAATTCGGATTTTCGGATCGGATCCAAATAACCGAATTGTAATTCAGATTGGATCGGATTGGATCAAGAGAGAAATTCGGATCGGATCGGATTGGAAAATTGAAAACCGAATTATATTTCGGATTGGATCGGATTTGGACTAAATCCAAACCGAAAACCGAACGGACACCCTTAGTTTGTGTATTATCAGATTTAAATTCAGATTTCTGTATTAATTTCTTGTTCAGTTGTTTTGCTTATTTTGATAGTTGTATGATTTCCATGTTATTTTTGGTTCAGGTTATTGCTTTGGTATTTCTATTTTATTGTTTTAGTTATGTTTATTGTGGAACAATCTTAGATAATTGTAGATTTGTTCCATGATTTATTGCTCGTACAGTTAAGGAGAATGGTCAAGAATGATTTATTAGAAGTAGTTTTGCTTCTAATTGTGGATTTAATAATTTTTTAAAAAAATTAAATGTTGTGTAGGAGTTCTTTGGTGATTATTGATTGCTTTTTACAAGAACAATTCATCCGTCGAAAATCGCAGTTTGTTGGTGAGTTATCTTGGTTTATTTCTTAATTTCTTCTTAATAATTAATAGTTAATTAATCATTTCTTAAGAGCTATGTGGTTTCAAACAAAGTGTGCATAGTTTAATATGTGTTTATCCTAACTTGTTTAATATATGTATTAGCCAATGTTCTGATTAATTAAGAAGGTTTCAGTTTTTTAAAAAAAATGTGTAAGCTTTGTATTTGTTGTATGCTTTCTTTATTGAGCGAAAGACATGACATTTCCCTTCTAAGCAGGGTTGTGTGCTTTCCTTGGTGTATTTGGTATAGTTGTTTATCCTTTATTTAGTTTAGGATTGTATTAGAGATTATTTTGGTTAGTATAGAATGGTAGTGGTATACCAGTCCTTATAGATAGTTAACAGATCATCAAAACTGGAATTTATTATATAAGAACTACAATCAGAGTTGTCGATGCATTGGAAACATTGGTCTTTCATATAGCTGCTGCTTTATGTAATTCATTGACTTACACAGGTCATGGCGGAAGTGATGTACCTTATTGCAGTTCCATTTCAGCCATTATTGGAACAGATTACTGACTGTGTTGGACTTGGAAAACCAGTTTATCAGATTACTGATTTTCTTGGAAATAAGGTATCTGTTAAGATTCAGTCAAAGAGTGGTAATGAGGATTATGTTTATGATGGTGGTGAGTGTGGAAAACTAAAGAGATCTGCTGAAAAAGCTGCTGAACTGGCAATACATGGCCTCATGGATTTGTATGATGTGGCTGTTGAAGATTTTACTGTTGAACAAATTCGGTCTTACAAAAGATGTGCTACTTTGCTCCGAATGAAGAGACGTCCACTGGGAATTAGTGATGGTAATGAAGCCCTTGGGGCAAATCAGAGTCTCCTTGCTACTGGATCTGGTTTGCCTATGCATAGTGTTACTTTGGAATACAAGCTATTTCTGAAAACTATTCTCAGGCGTACCAGTGCTGCCATTTCACCAATTATGACTCTTGAGTTCAGTGGTGAGCATTATTTTTCATGGACTATGGTCACTTTTCCACCAAGTGAAGAACTTCCTGAGTGTATCTTTGGAGATACCCGTCCTGAATGTGAAGCTGCTGAGTAGAATCTGGCTAGAAATATTATTTATTTCTTGCTTTACAACTTTAATTTTTATATTGTTGATGCCAATTATGGTCGAAGTGCCCTGCAAACTACTTTGTCTATGCTTAACAATGAAAGGGACCTAATTGAGAAGGGTATCAAAAGTCGTGCTGAAAAATTTGGTGAAGTGGTGTCTTCCTCTGTGACTCCTAAAGGCAAGGAATCATAAATTCCTTCTCAGATTGCTGTTCCGCCTCCTCCGAAAAAACGTCATTCTAGGCCATCATTTGGAGCTGTTTCATCATCTGGAGAATCTTCTGCCAGGGTTCTGCGTAGTGTACCTGGGGAGCTAGAACTTGTATTTAAGCGCAGGAAAACTGAGTAGGACTATGGCATTGTTGCTTATCTTCCCTGATTTTGTGAAGAGATAGTGGGCTATGGATATCTTTTGTATTTTGGTTCTTGTGAAGAAGTATTGGGAAGAAGGCATCTGATCTTTAGACTACTGAGTAATATTAGTCTTTGTTTATGTGTAGTAGGATATGTTTGCCACTCTCTTCCATGTTTCTGGTTTAAAGAGAGTTGGCCATTGGATTAAAGGATGGCTTTGGAATTGTAATTTTGAATTCCTGTTGGGATTTTAAATATAATGTAGGTATTCTAAGTGTGGGTCTAGGATTGTAAACTAAGCTGTTTTGTAATGCAGTATGTGCTCAGTATTATGAACTAAGCACTTTAGTAATGTAAGGCTTTTGAAATATGCTAAAGATTATTGCAATCAAAGTGTTGTTTATGTACTGAATCTGCATTTTGCAATGAATAATATTTTATTTAATGTGTTATTTATAGTTGCTTTTTTTGTAACATAGTTATTTTTGCTATATTTTATGCTCATATATTTGTATTGTTATTACCTATAGAATTGAAAAGCATTATAATTTTCGCATTAATGATTTCTTTCAACTGTAAAATTTACAGGTTTGATGTCAACATTGTATTACGAAGAAGGCGTATGGTGAAAGAAGATCTACATCTGTTGCATAAAAAATGGGTTTTGATTCTTTATTTATATTTAAATCTTTTATTAAAAAATATCTATGAAAAATAGTTTTTCTGTTGTGAAAGTAAAATAGAATCCATTGGTTACTTTTCTATTTTTATGGTTGTGATTAAAAACCTAAAAATACAATCAATAAGCTATACTTTGTGATATAAAAATATAAAATGGCTAATACTTCTAAGTATTTGATTACATTTTTTATAAAATGGCTATGCTTCTAAGTATTTGGTTATATTTAGGATGCTGAAAGTGTGTATAGCATGTCTTTATAGTTTATTAGTCTATGATTGATTTCAAATAGCCTATATCATGTGTTTTTTTTTTTTTTTTTTTTGTTCAAGAATCTTTAAACCAGCAACGGAGAAGAGGAAAGCGCAAGTTAAATGATGAGGAATTTAAAACAGAAAGGCTATCTATTACAGTAGTTCAGAGTCTTCCATGTATAACATCCATGAATCAACCATGGAAACTAAGAGGATATAGAACAAAGCGAGATCAGGCTTTCATAGATAATCTTCCTGTTGAGTCAGGACAGTGTCTTCCAAATCGTAGACAATGTTCTTCTAAACGAGTGTTGGTTATGGACAATGCAAATAGTTCCATTGTAGATGATGTTGGCACTATTGGATCTAATAAAAGTATGCTACATAAGAAAATAGAACGAAAAAAGAAAGCAGAGAAAGGCCAAGGTAACCATTTAATTATGGATATAATTATCTAAGTCTTTGATTTTTGTTATTCTATATCACTTAAGTTGTTTCAAATATTTTTGCTAACGATCTAGCTTAGGCACTTTAGAAATATTTTGTATGTAATATGTGGAATAATCTTTTTATTATATTTCAAATGTAGAAACAATGCTCAAGGAAAAGATGAGAGTTAAGATTCTTAAAAGTAAATCAGATAAAAAGATAAGCAGTAGAAGTGGGAAAAAAAAGGGACAAGGTATTGGTTCTGGTTTTTAAAAATTTGGAATAGTATCCAAGAATACTATCAAGTGCAGCTTTGCTAACAGACTTAAATATTGTATCAGTTGAAATTGCACTAATATCTGGGGGAAAGATTCCTACTGAAGCACTTAAGTTACCAGCTCCTGGTGTATGTCCTAAATGTTTTGCTACAAAATTTGCTTATGAAACATTGTTCTTCTGCTGTCGAAATGGTGGTGTCCGGTTGGTTGAAAATGCTTGGCCGACAGAATTGATTAATCTTTTTACCTCTGATGGTGAACAAGTGATCATTTTAGAGCATACTCTCGAATGTATAATAATCTTTTTGCATTTACTTCATTGGGTGGAAGTATTGAAGCATCAAGTGAAAAAGGAATATTCGTCTTTAAACTGCATGGCCAAATATATCACAATATTCCTGATTTGTTACTGGATAATACGAAACCTAAGTATTTGCAGATGTATTTTTATGATGCTGAACACGAGATTAGGAACCGTACAACTACTTTTCCACAAGTACGAGAAGACATTGTTCGAGTTCTCATGGAAGTGATGGAGTCTAATCCATATGCACGTTTTTTTCGTTCATTGAGAGAAATTCCTGTTGTGGAGAGCACAGAAATTCATTTGAATAACAATCCTGTTCTAGACCAACGAGTGTATAATGCTCCTACTGCAAATGAAGTGGTGGTAATATGGTCTGAAGACACATTTGCTAGCCAGTATAGTAGCCCTCATATTATTGTTTATGGGAAGTCAAATACGTCTCATAAAATTATGCATTATTTTGGGTGCTATGATCCACTTCAGTATCCACTCTTATTTCCACATGGAGATTGTGGATGGCACACAGGCCTTGAAAAATTAGAAGTTATTACTGATCAAGTCACAGATTTGGAGCAACAAGTTTGTCACTTAGAGTCTATTAATAGTGTTGAGGATTTATTTGCTGAGGAAACTGCAAGTAAGTACTGACCATCCATATTTTTTTAATACATCTGATTTTAAAAATTAGAAATGAGAGTCTATTATAGGAAGATATTTATAAATATGGAGAATATTTTGGATTTTTTTTTATCGCTAATCAATAGTTATGCTATAGTTCTGTTAAAACTTTTGCTTATGTTAATTACTGATCACATGTACAATAATAATGGTAAATGTTATAGTTGGATATTCGCATTGTTGGTTGTTGCTGACTTTATGATTTTAAATTTGGCTAAATCAGATGCAGAAACTAGCAACAAAAGGAAGGTAAAGCGGATTTCCTGTAGAGAATACTATGCCTATAAGTTGCAGATCAGGGAGACTAATTATTTACTCAGAGCTTGTATTTTATTGCAGCAATATATTGTTGATATGTATGTTAAGCTTGAAAACACTAGGTTGGATTTCTTTCGCAAAAATCAGGCTGCTATTCGGGCTGATCTTTACCAGGGTCTTATTGATAGTTATGAGGCCGGGGAAACCAATTCTGGAAATGTTGGTCATTATGTCATACTACCACCCTCCTTTCTTGGTGGCCCAAGGGATCTACGAAGTAGATATCTCAATGCAATCACTCTTGTACAAAGGTATGGAAAGCCGGATTTATTCATAACAATGACGTGCAATGCAAATTGGCCAGAAATCAAAGAACAATTAGCTTCTGGTGAGCTAGCACAAAATAGGCCTGATTTAGTTGCCAAAATTTTTCATGCAAAGTTGATTGCTCTTAAGAAACAGATAATGGAAGAGAAAATTTTTGGAGAGGTTGCAGCATTGATATATGTAGTTGAATTTCAAAAACGTGGCCTTCCTCATGCTCATATTTTGTTGGAGAGGAAACATTAAATTTAGTTCTTTTTGGTTTTGATACATTCTATCTGCTATTTCAAATAATGTTGGAGAGGAAACATTAAATCCGACGGATGTATTAATGGAACAAGTGATTATTCTTTGTTAAAAATAGCAGATAGAATTTTTTGCATTCAATGTAGTTCTGTAAGAGATACTTTTTGCAATAAATTGTTATCTATCATTATGTATAGTACATGCAACACATATTTATGGTAGATTCTTAGCTCAAAATATATTTTTTGTTGGTTTCTCTCGTGGTATATCTGTTCCAAAACATTCCAAATGATATTAAAGTCAGTATACATCATGTACAATATTGATCCTTAGAAGTTTGCTTTGCATATATTCTGTAACATCATGTACAATATTGAATTATTTAACTAAATTTATTATGAATTATTTATAGAGTAACATGAAACAAGAAAAAGAGTCAAGTTCCAGCCAAGGAAAAGGCTCGGGTTCTGGTCACATATTCTTGAAAGATTTAAAACCAACTTCTAAGAACTACATGGTTAAGGTCAAGGTTGCTAAAAAATCTCGTGTCCTCATCTCGCCGCAAAAGAAAACCAAATTTATGGTTGTTACTTTTAAAGATGACCCGGTATTCTGTAATTATCATGTATACAATAATGTATGTTTATATATTTATAGAGTATTATTTTAAAAGAACTTTTAGAGCCTTATATGAAGTATTATTATTGTATAGTTAACTAAGAAGCTCATTGATTATTAGAATTGGTAGTAACATTGTCTACAAATATACTTTAATGAAAATGGTCTTGATACCTACTGGTTGTTCAATATCTGTAATCTGGAACCTCTGAAATGGTCTTATTTCTCAGTAGCAACATCTTTATCATAGGATCTCTTTTAGTGTCTTTTGTCACGTAAATTTCTCTACATGTCTGTTTTATCATTTATAACTTTGCATCTAGGAGAATGGAAAATTATTATAATTAACAACTAATAATATAATGTTATTTTTGATATACATGTGTATAAGGAACAAAGGTAAAAGGAACTCTTTTTGAAAACCAAATTCAGGAATATGGCAAAATATTTGAGAAAGATAACACTCATGAGATCGCAAATGCACCACTTCAAGCTGTAAATGAAAAAATTGCTACATTTGAAGATGAATGCCAAATTAAGTTTGGTGGAAGGAGAATTGTGCAGCCTACAGCCGAAATAATTCCCCATAAGCCAAACTATATACCCTTGGCTTCGATTCCATACAACAGTGACAAAGATGATCGTTTTGGTAACATGTTATAATACTCAGTTCTGCTTCGGTACTTATACCCTTTATAAATTAATAATAAACTTATGTGCAATTTATAGATATTCTTGGTTTGGTGCTCTTCATTAGTGAAATAAGGATAATAACAAATGAGCAGGACATCGATCATCCAGTACGTGATATCAACATAATAGACCACAGGTCCATTTAAATTACTTTATAAGATATGCTAAATAATACTTGTTTCAAGTAAACATCTATCATATTCTCATAATACTTAAATTGATCTTGCAGCACAACACAACCAATGACTGTTTCTGTATGGGATGACCTTACAGAAATGAAAGATGCTAAGTTACTTGGATGGGCAGAAGAACCAACTATTATTGGTATACTGAATCTAAGGGTGGCCACAAGCAGAGGTATATATGCATCAAAGGTTAAACTATATAAAATTTGACTTTATATTATGCTAACTATAATCATTATTATTCCTACTATTAGCTTATAATGTAAGATAGCATTTATAATCATCAATACTTGACTTTGTGACCTTGCAAGATTTAATCTCACAAGTAGCCTTTCTACAACCTTTGAGACCAATCCCATTGGAGATGAATTCAAGGCTTTTAGTGTCTGGTAACATGTGTTATTAAACATGTGCCTTTTAGTTTATGAACATAGATGTATCGTTAATTGTTTTTTTTTACTTAACAACGCACAGGGTTCAATCAAATAAAGATAATCTTGGAGATATTATGGCACGCCTGCTAGACACCAAGAACCCTTCTAAAGAAAGACAGATAGTAACAATTCAACAGATCATGCTTAAAAAGGTTGGAAAAATAACTTACATATCAATTTAAACCCCAGATTTGCTATTATACTTGTTGAAACTCTTTTAGAAAGCCTACTATGTAATATACCTATTTTCAAGAGTCCTTACTTAGATGCTTTTTATGAATTAGGCTACAAATACCCTGCAAGAGGAGAAATACTGGTTGAAAGTAAAGATTCCTGAACCAGATCAAGCAAGCTTGATTGCTTATATTGGTTGTAACAAGTGTGGCAAGAAATTGGATGAACCACTAGATACAATCTTAACTTGTCCACAATGCTTTAAGCTTAATTGTGTTGTTGTGCCTAGGTAATCAATATAACCTTAATATGCATTGAATTCTTCAGCCAATATTTTGTATGCTTACTATGACATGAATACATGATATGTATGCTGTTTTGAAAAAAAAAAATTACAGGTGTACTTTCAAATTTGACGCAACAGATGAAAGCGATACAATGACTTTTACCGCTTTTGTTGAAGATTGTGAGAAATTATTTAGGCTACCTGCTGCTGAAATATATGAACAAACAATCTTTGTAAGTGAATCATACATTGACATTTTAACCTCAATATTTTTAACTAATCAATACTGATATTTACTTCCAATATTATATAGGGAATACTGGATTTTGGTGCCATTGCTCGTGACCTAAGCTCTAATGATATTTTCATTCAAATCGGTCCATCACAGGCCCTCAAAAAATACCAAAGTTTATCATGGGTATTAAAAGGAGTAAGCTGGACTTAAGCTAGCAGCACTGTAATTTCTTACTACTAAAGACTCCAACGAACAACTTTTCCATTGCAATGTTATGCATTTTGAAGGCTTTCTTATAGTAGCATTCAGTTCCAATGAATCATGTGTGTAGATTCTAAACCAGTAAATAAATGCTACCTTATTTTGTAATGCAAACTCTACTAAAAACATCAGTATCATCTTAAGTAAATTCTTGTTATTAAGTAGGCTATATTATTATTCGTAAAACTCACATAAATCTTATGATCTTTTGATGTATATATATGTTATAATTATATAATATATTTTATAATATCTTAGAATATCCAAAATCCGTTTTTAGTGCTTAATAAGTAAACTTCATGTTCATATCTTAATCAATAGCATTAATTTGAATAAGCAGAAAATAACCGAGGACAGCTGAAGAACATAAATTATATGATCAATATATGCTGGTTTAATTTGCTTATGTTGTTTTTAAGGGATTAGAGGTGACATTCGTGGAGTTTGTGTAGAATTCTTTCTTTTTTAATTCTTGAATGACACAGGTGTATGCTTAGATAATAAATATGGGTAACTTAAATTCATTGATTGATGTCATGTTTTCTGTCTCATGTTATTAGAATTTGCTTGTAGAAGTAGAACAATTTCTAAGAAACAAAAACCTATAAAGGTTTAGTGCCTTGGTTAACCTTTCATGGAATATAATGATCCATGCATCACTATCTATTAGAATTATTAGTTGTGAAGTGAGATTATGGAAGAAAAAAAGAGTTTAAGGGAAAAGGAGGAACCAAGATCAGTCAAGCTCTAGACTTATTCTAAAAAAAGATTCTCAGTGGCTTAATACTTAAAGTCCATGTCGTTAATTTTAGCCTTTAACTAGCTCATTCCCTTGAACAGATTAGGAATTAGATCTAGCATACTTGATAAAGAAAATATGACAGAAGAGCCACATATTAATGCTTCCTGGGAATGCTTTCATAACAGCTAATTTGTTGATTTCCTGGGAATGCTTTCATAATAACTATGCAACATAACAACTAATTTGTTGATTTCCTATTGAAATTTTTGAGGTTGAAAAGGAATGCTTTCATGCTTATTCCTTCAGTTATAAGTACTAGGCCTTTTATGTAACAATCCTCACATTAATTTGTCCAAAGATACTTCTTATTGTTATCATTTAACCAAACATTTGGCCAAAATTTGCTTCTATTGTCTGGTTATAAATGTGGATATTTGAATTTGAGTTTCAATTTCATTTAATTTGAGTTTCAATTTCATTTGGTTGGAATTTTGGTTTCATTTTGTTAGTCATTATTTGAGTTTCAATTTCATTTGGTTGAAATTTTGGTTTCATTTGGTTAGTCATGGTCATTTGGGATGGCACTTTATATATTGATGCTATTGAAAATTTACAATTAACAATTACAATTAAAAAATAATCCATTTTGGACAATGAACTATTGTATACAAATTTTAATAAGACTATACACAAAATAATCCTTGCATCTAATTTATTCATACAAATATTACTACATATAATTTCCTTAGTTTTATCAACTCTACAACGAAAACATAACTTGAACTAAAAAGTTTACAAGCTTTGACTACATTAAGCAGTTGCAATTACCAGCATTACAGATATCTTCCTCATTTAATGACATCACCTGCGTTAAGAGCACAATTTAGACCATAGAATAAAAATTAAAAAAAAGGACAAAAAAAAATGCAGCCTTAAAAAATATATGGAAAAAAAAATATACACACTCAGCTTATAAAAGAACTCTACCAACCATATCATAACCATATTAAGAGGAAACAAAGAGAGAAGAAGAATAAATAAACCCATATTCAGAGGAAAAAAAGAGAGAAGAAGAATAAATCAACATTAAAGAGCTACTAAGTGGCAATGTTGTATTTCAGCCTACGAATTTTGTATGGACTTTAAGAATACTATCTTAAAGTCCATACAAATTCATAGGCTTAAACCAACAGTCGATCATCCATGCAATTTCCCAATAAGGTATGGAGATAGTTTTATTTCAATTCAATCAATACACAAATAAGAATTTACTATAAAGTAGTAGTGCAGAATACTTACCAGCATTTCTTCCCAGAAAAAGAAGAACTGAGATTTTAAAAATGTTGTGAAAGATGTTGAAGCATTGGAAAAAAAAATGTTATTTTGTTCAAACTACCAAAGATAGAACTTCACCAAAATAGAATGAAAATGGAAATTTAAAAAATCCATTTTCAATTAGAACAACACAAACTCCCCTTGTAAAAACAAACAAGTGGAGTTATCAAATATAGAACCCAATTTAAGTATCACAACCACCACTTTAAAATCATGAAAACTGGATGAAAATTGGGACTATAATATGATAGTGGACTACGAATTTTGTATGAATTCTGCTTAATGATGTATCGCAAGAGTTGTAATGATAACAAACTCTATAAAGAAATTTCTTTTTTGCTTGCAATGAATGGAATGCAGCTAGCCTACCTCAAGAAACATTATCACAACTACTAAGTTAGAGAATTACTAAAAAGTAAAAAAGTAAAACTTTTTTCACTTTGAGACCTATGATATAAATGCCTACAAAGAACTCCCTTTTATAGAAAAAACTACAGAACATTAATATTTAACATAGAAAATCATTATCAAATAATGCAACAGTAAATTTGCAGTTTATTACTCATTACCAATAATATTAGTTACAAATAAATCATTCAAGTCTAACAACAAAGTCTTTTTACTCTACAACATGTTCTCCTTATTACTTACAAGCCAGATTATATGGCCTAATTTTATCTTATAGGTTTTTTAAATATCCATAATCTACTTTTTAGATTTCAATAATCTACTTTTACAAACCTAAACTTACATACTATCACTTAATTAGCCTTCTCTTAAAACTTACATACTATCAATTAATTAGCCTTCTCTTAGGGACTCTATTATTGTACTTTATTACCAGAAAAAGGTTAAAAAAATCTTCAAAGTCATATTTCATAAGATTTTGGACAGAGATATAGACAATTTACTCCACTATTGTAGATTCTACAAACTTGATACATAACCACTCATTTTATTAAAATATATATATATATATATATATATATATATATATATATATATATATATATATATATGAATCTTAGACATCATTATCCTAACAACTTTTACCATCCATAATGATTCTGCAGATTTAAATGAGCAACACAACTCACAAAAATAATTTACATGTAGACATTGAATATAATCCTACAAAAAAAATAATTTAAGCAGTAGACATTGAATATCTATCTACAAATTAATTAACAACAAGGTCCAGAGTTTATTATTCAATACTTTATTCATTTACATGTATAGCAGAGAATCATTAATTTTTACTAATTTTATTTACATAAATATATATGTGACTACATATTCTCACACTGTGAAAAAAGCAACTAAGCAAAATCTTCACACTATTTAAGATTCTCAACAGAAATCCTCACTTATCTATATTTTTAATAACCTACTCATTTTTTCAAATACTTATATCCAGAATAAGAAAAAAGTAAGATAAATCCAAAGTAAGAAAAAAGTGAGCAGAAATAAAATTGATAATTTTAAGATTCACTGAGTACAATAGAATAAAACTTGATTAAAAAACAAAGTAAAAAGTTTTAGGTATATACAAACAAAGAAAAGAGCACACACTATAATCACTTATCTGATTTTGCATAGCAAAACTTATACATAACATGTTCAACTGTGACCTTGTTAATCACATATTTGATACAACATAGCAAAGCTTATCCATAACATGTACAACAACTGTAACCTTGTCAAACTAGAACAAACAAAAGCATCTCACAAACAATAATATTATCTCACAAACTAGACCTAAACTTACATACTATTAATAAGTTATTTTGGCAAAAAAAAAAAAAATGATCTAACAGGTTAATTAAGCAAAATCTGATTAAGTCCTTCCAAAGATTCCAAATTCAGATCAAGTCATCAATGTCTTTGAATTACTCATCAACCTGTTTATCATCGCAGTGTCCACGTATTCCACTACTATAACATAAATTAAAACAATGGTCAATCAGACTCGAAAATAACTGACCAAATCTACAAAATCTTGCAAACAATCTTAGAACACTGAAAAAAAAAATCCAAACACAGTATTATCTTTTAACAGGATTCACAATAATATATTAACATATAGTATATACATATTCTCGCTATATATACACAACTTGATATCTACCTTATCCAACTACAGAACCAATATACATCTACTTCTCATTACCTAACTTAGAAAATGTCTCAAAAACCTACTCACAGAAACAATAGTTTCCATCTTCCACTTATCAACCAAAGGTCATTTTCAGCTTACCTCAAAATACCATTGCGTATAAACTATGAATCTACAATTAGCATCAAAGTCATTGCTAATATGGGACATTAGCATCAAAGTTTTTGCTAATGTGACCCTTATAAAGAAACTCTAGAACAAGTTTGTAGCCACCGATAAAACTTACTAGGTGAGCAACATTCTTGTATTAGAGTTTCACGATAGTTATTTAGATGTATTGTCAATAAAAAGTACCATATAATTATTGACAATTAAACATCAAAATAACACCCAAGTCCAAGATTTAAAGAAACAGAGCTGGTGTCTACATGATACAAATGGTCGTCTTCTACAAATGGCATCGGACTCCCCCAAAGGACTTGGGAAAACACAAAATATTGTAGTCTGCCAAGGACCTAAAAACCATGGCAGATGACATTGCCAGTGGTGATTATGCACCACTATAATTTGATTAAAAATTATGGTTGATTAAATATGTATTGCAAAGCTAGCAATGATAAATGCAGCAACATCAATTAAATTTAGTTTATTGTTACAATCTTTTCATGGATCACGACAATTTGTACTATTTATATTAAAGTTTTATCCAATTAATTATCATAATAGAGAAAAGCATAAATTTTCAATATCAAGTACTTGCTTATTTGTAAACAAGGAAGACAAATAGTACTTCCATAATCCTATAAACAAAGTTATTGTTGACCTATTTAAAAGTCCAAGCATTCACTGTACAATTGAGCACACTTTTGCCAAATAAATTTTAAAAATCCGCTTACAAACAAGATGAATTCCACAATAATTGAACAAATTTTTTCCAAAATAACTTAATGAATAATTTGTACATTCTAATCACACCAATTAAGAAATGGTAAAAACAAAACTCACAAACTTTCTACTGTGTTTCTTCCTTGATTGAGTCTGGACAAGCCTGCAAAAACATAATCGTAGAATCGAAAATCTAATTAGTAACTTGCTTAATTGCAAAAAATAAAAGCAAAATGAAATAAGAAACCTAAAACCAATTATCACACATTAAAAACCTCAATCATTCAATTAAAAAAAAATACAGTAAAATACCAAAGAGAAAAGCACAAAAAATAAGAGCATTACATCATACTAAGGAGAATTCGAAAAAAAACCCAGATGAAATTAGGCCGAAAGAATTGAAGAATGAATACCAAAAAGAAAAATGAAAACGACATCGTACAACCGACCTAAACAAAACAATTGGACATATGGTAATATTTATTAAACACTTGTATCAGCCCATTACTGTATTATGTCTTCCATCAGGCCCAAACATTCAAATAATAACCTTATTTTAAAATAAAAAATTCTAATTTATAATAAATTTCAACAATTTGAAATAATTTATTAAAATCAAATAAAATAACACGAATCATATTCATATTTACTTATGATTCATTTTTAGCATATAATCATAACAATAAATTTCAACTAAATGAATAATGTAAAATTAAGCGCATTATCAACAATTAACCATAAAAACGCTGAACTATCGCGCGCATCGCGCGCGATAGGGCAACTAGTCAAGTATAAAGTATAAAAAGAAAAAAAGTAAATTAAAGGTTGTTTTTGACAATTTTCCTTTAAAAAATGGCCCATAATCGAAAGCAATTAGAGATGATATGGATGTTGATTTGCAATTGGTTTTACTTGATTCGGTGAGGATCTCTTCTGGGGGTGGAGTGGCTTCTACAAGCCAACCCCCTAAAGAGATATGAAGATCGTGGCATGGAATTGTAGGGGTCTTAATGATCCACACTCCCTTACAATTCCCTACATAGTGTGGCTATTTCAATCAAAACTACCTATGTTTTTGTTTTTATCGGAAACTAAAATGGACTTTGTTAGTGCGGCTAGTAAGTTAAATGTTTTGCACTCTACTTCAGTTTTTGGTTGGAACTCGGAAGGAAGTAGTGGAGGTCTTTTAGTCTTAAGTTGGTCTAATGATGTAGTAGAATGTATTTACTCTTCTAAAAACCTAATCTTTTGTAAGATCTTTGAATCTAATGGTAATTTTAAGTATGTAATGTTCCTTTATGGTGAGCCTCAAGTAGAAAATAGAAGGTTAATTTGGGAGAAACTGCAATGGTTTGTGGAAGAATTTAAGAATGTGCTAATAATAGGGGACTTCAACTAAGTAGAAAGTGGGAGTGATAAGTTGGGTGGCTCTCCTACTATTAGAGGAATTGATGCTTTCTTGGATTGGAGGTTTAGTAGTAATGCAACGGAAGTTCCTTTCTCGGGTCCAAGATTCACTTGGAGTAATAAAAGAGAGGGGAATGAGCTTATCCTTGAAAGGCTTGATAGAGCCTACGTGACGGAAGATTGGTTCTATCACTCACCGGATGGAAAGATTGTTCATGAACCGATTATCTGCTCAGATCATGCGGTAATTACCTATCATTCTAGTTTGAGTGCTTCTCCGTCTAACAGGCCCTACCAAGTTGAAAATTGGTGTCTCAAATTCCCGGAAATTAGAGAAATGGTGGAAACAACTTGGAAGAATGAGTTTAATGGCTCTTATATGTTCCAACTTTCTAAGAAGTTAAGAATGGTTAGAACAAAACTCCAATACTGGTGTCTGGAAAACAAGAAGACTTGGGGAATTAATTGGAGGAAAACGACGAAAGAGCTGCGGAGTTTGGGGTTAAGTATTGGCTCAGTTCAAGAAGGGGATGGCTATATTCACCTGGTAAATCATCGGATTTCTGAAGATCAAATCAGTTTTGATTTTTGGAAACAAAGAATGAAAGCAAATTGGGTAAGGTTTGGGGATTGTCCGACTCCGCTCATGTATAGGAAAGTAAAGCAGAGGCAGCTAAGAAATGAGATTCTAACTCTGAAAGATGAAAACAATAATTGGGTGGAAGGTCAAAAAGAGGTGGAGGATGTGGTATTATCTTCCATTAAGGAAATATATAACCCAATTATTTCTGAGAATCATGGGGAAGAGGTAGATCTACTGCTAAGACAACTGGATATCCCTTCGATATCCGCGGAAGACAGTATTGGGCTCGACAAGCCTTTTACTAATCAAGAAATAAAGAAAGCCATGTTGGATATGCACAAGGCTAAGTCTCCAGGCAGATTTCTTTCATTTATTCTGGAAAGAAGTTGGGAAATTGGTGACAGATAGTGTCCACCAATTTTTGGAGACAGGACACATGCTGAAAGAATGGAATCAGTCTCTTCTGGTTTTAATTCCCAAGGTAAAAATCCCAGAAGAGGCTAGCCATTTCAGACCAATTATCAGTTTATGCAACACAATTTATAAATGTATATCAAAATGCTTGGTCAACAGAATTAATTTAAGGTAATCCTTCCAACCCTTATATCGGAGAATCAACATGCTTTTATTCCAGGAAGATACATGGAGGACAATGTCCTTCTAAGCCATGAACTTATGCACCTGATAAACTTAAGGAAGGGCTCTAACTATTCTGCAATAAAGATTGATATGTCAAAATCATACGACAAAGTAGATTGGACATTCCTCTTGAAGGTTCTACGGTCTTATGGTTTTTCTAACCACTGGATAAGGATGGTTTCTCAATGTATTTCAACAGTAAGTTTCAAGGCTGTCATCAATAGGAAGACCACAGAGCACTTTGTCCCAAATTGTGGTCTTAGACAAGGGGACCCTTTATCCCCTTATCTCTTCATCTTTTGCATGGACATCCTCTCAAGAATGCTGTCTTTGGCAGAGGATATAAATCTGTTAAAAGGGTTAAGGGTCTCTAGAAGATCGCCTTCGATCTCACATCTATTCTTTGCCGATGATGCTATGATTTTCTTTAAAGCATCTGAGGAATCTTGTAATTGCATTAGAGACATCCTCCACAGGTTTGGTACTGCCTCTGGACAGAAGCTTAATCTCCAGAAATCTTTTGTCAGATTTTCCCCAAGTCTTGACATAAGTGTTAAGGCCTCGCTAAAAGGGATTCTGTCTATGCCTGAGACGGATAATATGGGAACTCATCTAGGAGCTCCAATTGATGTTCAGGGAAAGAAGAGTGACTCCTTTCAATATCTGGTGGACAAGGTTTCAAAAAAGGTTGTTTCTTAGGCCTCGTTGCGGATTTCACAAGCAGCGAAGCCAATCCTAATAAATACTGTTTTGGTAAGCATTTCAGCTCATGTTATGAAATGCCTGAAATTACCACAAGGGGTGTCAAACAAAATTGACTCCCTTATTACAAGGTTTTGGTGTTCAAATAATGGTAATAAGGGTATACACTGGGTGAGAAAGGCAATTATTCAAATGCCTAAAAGTATGGGAGGCCTAGGAATTAGAGGTATGTCAACTCTTAATGAAGCCCTCTTGTTCAAACAGGCAACAAGATTGCATCTAAATCCACAACTGGTAATCTCAAAGGTTTATAAAGGGTTTCAACCTTGTGGAGTTTATAACATTTTCAGACCTTATGAGAGAGTTGGAAGGCCGTCAATGGGAAGATCAAGTCTGCAAAAGGTGACAAGGTCTTTCAAAGAAGGTTTTGGGAATAGGGAAAGCATTAAGGCAATTAGCATGGCTTGGGTCAATGGAGAAATTCCAATTGCAAATTCTAACCGAACGTTAGGAGAATCTTTGAATTGGAAGGTAAGTGATTTTATTGACAAAGACTTAGCTATGTGGAAGGCCGGGAAAGTTAGGGAATGATTTGAGTGGAATAGTGCAAGAGCTATTCTGGCAATGGAGCTACCCCGTTCTATGGAGGACGATTTCCTCTACTGGAAATACCATCCGTCGGGCAAATTCACTGTTAAAACTGGTTACTACTTCTTGACAAAGAGGCAGAGAGCCGAACACTTGGATCTTTCTTTAGAGGAACATAGTTTTGTGAAGCTCATCTGGAAACTGAAGATTCTTCCAAAGTGGAAGATTTTTCTGTGGAAACTTTTTCACGATAGGATTGTAGTAAAAAGAAATTTGGCTAAGAGAGGCATTCAAGTCGAGGAGACTTGTGTTTTCTGTGGGGAGGATGAGGAAGATAGCCAACACTTGTTTAGGCTATGTAATCTAGCAAAGGAGGTTTGGGAGAATGGCTCCCTGGCAATTTGCTCTGACTCTACAGGGTTCGACTCTTTAAGGGAGTGGATCCAGTACTATATCCTGCTGTTTTATAGCGAGGATGGTAAGTATGGTACCCGTAGCACTAAGTTTATAGCTACCTTATGGGGTCTTTGGAAAATGAGAAATGCGAGAAGCTTCAACGGAGCCAATGGGGGAATTGACCTTGCCTTGGAATTTGTCAATTTGGCAATGAGAGAGCAGGAAACCTTTTGCCAAAATATTAGGGAGAGTATGGAGAATAGGGACAACTCGAGGGAAGACTCTTATCCCCCCCCCCCGGGTTTCAATTCTGTGCAGTTGGGAAAAGATCGAAGTGGTTTTGATGACTTCATTGTGGGAGTGGATGGCTCATGGGATAAGAGAACGACAAGAGCTGGCATCGGTTGGGTGGCAATGGGAGGAAATAATGAAAACGAGGTTAGTGAGGGGGGTAAATATGGGGTGGCGACCTCAGCTTTACATTGCGAAGCATGGGCATGTTTAGAAGCAATGAAATGGGCCAAAGAGAAAGGTAGGCAAGGGATTCTTATCCTTTTAGACTCCATTATGCTTATTAACAACCTCCATGACCAATCAGGTAAGGATATTTTGATTTCTTGGATAGCCAAAGAAATTAGGGAAGTGGGTGCACTGTTTCAATGGTGCACAATTCTTAAAGTCCAAAGGGATCAGATACAAAGGGCGGATGAGATCGCTAGGAAATGTCGTACTTCTCTTTCGAACTATATGTAACCTAGGTGTTTGTTTTGATATTGTCAAAAAAAAAAAAAGTTCAAAAGTATAGGAGTGGTGCACCTATTTCTAGGTGCACCATGGTGCACATAGGTCATAAACCCAGTTACCGGTGAGTCCATGAGTGGGTCCAACTTCCAAAACCGTGGAGCTAGATATATAGGCCGAGTTCTTTAGAGTTTATATCTAGGCTTGATAGTTACCTGTCTATTAATAATGTTACTACTATTTATAATAATCAACTAGCTCTAATAATAGTAATAACACTGACCTGTTTTTGAATTCAATAATCTCATCTTAAATCGAAATACATAGTACATACTTTAGTGCTCCCTAAAAACATCGAAATTATTCTACTAACTACATTTTAAAACTAAACCTTATAATTTAATACTGGTTGAACCTATAATAGTTTTCTCACTCAACAACTATAGGATTATAGCTTGTATCTCCTCCTCCTCCTCCTCCTCCTCCTCCTCCTCCTTCTTCTTCTTCTTCTTCTTCTTCTTCTTCTTCTTCTTCTTCTTCTTCTTCTTCTTCTTCTTCTTCTTCTTCTTCTTCTTCTTCTTCTTCTTCTTGTTTTTCTTCTTCTTCTACGCCGCTTTTGAGTAGAGCAGCCGGAAAGTCACCTCGAAGAACTTGAACCTTCAACCTCATTGGATCTTTCGACATGAGCTCGAAAGTACAAACATCTCCTACCTTAAGTTTGTTGTCAACAACAAACTGTTTCCATCTCTTATCCAACCTTTTATGTACTACGTTTTTAACAATGTAATTCATCGTCCAACTCTCAGTGCCTCGAGTCAAGATCACCGGGGTTTCGATGTTAGGAAGGATTCGAGCACCTTCAGTCGGTATTGTCTAATATAGATGTAATCAAACAAACTTTTTAATAATGTAATAAAATGTATATATCATTATATTTTTTTTTATCTACCTATAGATTCTTATAAATTGAAAAAGATGAAAGAAAAAACATATCAAAAGATAGAGAGGAGAAATATTCGTCTTAGTAATATTGACATGGAAGAATGGTGCTCCTGTCTTCGGTTCGATATCAATATCCTCACAACTATCCACTCTACGTTTCATTTCTCTAAAACACAATAACAATCCATACAATATTATGATAAACATAAACTACAAGACTAATTTGTTGATTAAAAACTCTGTATGTAATTATTAAAATTAAATACGGTGTAAAGTTGTAAACTTAGTACTTACGACATAGCTCGGTTCGACATAGTCACGGCTCACAAGTGTGCCTGTCTTGGCCGCCTTAGCTAGTTACCTCACTTGGGCGAGAAGCCAATCTCTGGAACAAGCCCGTAATATGTCTCACTGCTCAAGGACTCGCATATTTTTATGTACTCGTGTTTGTTTTGCCTAATACTAGTAACCTCTTTTATATAGGAGAGTGAGAGAGATTGCAAGTTTTGCTACAAAGTACTATTTGCCAGATATTTGGGAGCATAGGTTTCGAGTTATGATTGGTCACGAACATTGAGGAGTGTATAAGAAGCATGAAGTAAGTAACGTAAGAAAATGCATTAATACTTGACACATTAATGCAAAAGTAGTGGATCAATTACAACCTATAAGTCTGTAACATGACATCTAGAATTGGAAAATGTTCAGATTAGTCTTTTGATGCAATTGACAATAATGAATTTGTGGAATTGAAAGATACAAGAAAGTATCGAGGGATCATAGAATGAGGCAACAACCTTAAGTTTGTTGTCTTGAATAAATTGTTTCCATCCTTTTTTTTTTTTTTTTTTTTTGGACAAAGGTTACAAGTAATGAGCTATATTATTACAAAACATTATGTAGTGAGCTAGGTCTCAATAACAACACATTATGTAGTGAGCCTTTTATGCACTATATTATTACAACACATTATGTAGTGAGCTAGGGCTCAATAACAACATATTTTTCCTCAAAAAATAATATTAGGACTCAATTTAACAAAATTGCAGCGCGCCACTTTCAGTGTTAGCATTTATAGCTCCGTCTCTAATTGATGTCATGGATAAAACACAACACAAGCATGGGTAAACTATATACATGACACAACACACTATGTCGTAGTGAGCCAAAAAATAAAAATAAAAAATAAAAAACCATTACCAGCGAAATAGTAACATAAAATTAATTGGAATTTGAGTTAGGTACGGTTTATTCCACCTTAAAAAAATTTAGTGAAATAATTTTAGTTCTGTAAAATTAATTTTAATTCAGCTAAAATAATTCCAGTTCGGTAAAAATAAGTTTAGTCATTAAAAATAATCTCAATTTAATAAAAATCAATAACTTTAAAAAAGAAATATCATAGAGAATCAGTAAAAATAATTTCAATTCAACAAAAATAATTTTAATTTAATAAAATTAATTTTTTGGGAAATTCTCAATGGTGCTCATTAACTTTTTATTTTTCTCAATGGTAAACAACAAAAATTCTAATTATTGGTAATCATGACTTGTTAATATATATTAATAATAACATTAATGATATAATTTGGTTAAAATCTTTAACTATGGTTATTTTTTTTTAATAATTAAATAGTTTTAAAAATAATTTTTAAGAAAAAAAAAGAAAGAAAAACCCAGCTCGCCACCCTCCTGCCCCCACCACGCCCATCCCCGTTCCCTCTACTTCCGGCCCAGCACCGGCTGCATCCTGCTCAAGACCACCTCCCCAGTGACGCACTTAACCCCCCTCCCCGTCGCAACCTTCTGAACCACCCAACTCCCCTTCCCCAAAACCCCTTCCACTAGTAGAAAATATCAATTGGCCATCGGTTTAAAACCCCCCTATGCCACCGGTTTTGAACAGGTGGGAATTTGGGGGGTGGAAATAAACTGAAGCAAGGCCACCGGTTCAAAACCGGTGACAAAAACTGTTATTGCCACCGGTTAACCAGTGGCAATACACACGTCCCGCTTTATATATATATATATATATATATATATATATATATATATATATATATATATATATATATTAAATTAATGCCACCGGTTAACCGGTGGCAATAGTCCATTAATTTTTTTTTTGTTTGTTTGTTTTGTTTTATTCACTTTAAATATAATAAAAGTGTGGATATTGAGTGCTCGCTTTTCCTCAAAAAAAAAAGTGAATAAATTAAATAATCAAACAATTGGAAACGCAACATCATAATTTTATTACTGAACAGTTTTCTAATCTACTAATTGCTCGATATAGATCACAATTACGGACATCAAAATTACAATATAAATCAATATAATCTAACAATTACAACATACAAATAAAAAAAATAAAAATATAAATCAAAAAATAAAAGTTACAACATTAAAATAAAAAAAACCCATATAACAGCTATATCAATATTCCTGCATCTTGATTCTTCAATTTAAGATATAAATCATTATACCTGCATCAATTAAAACAAAAAAAATAAATTGATTAATATAAATAAGCTGCGAAAAAAATAAAGAAAAAAACAAACAAAAATCTAGAAAAAAAAAACAAAAAAAACCCAGAAATTAAATTATTAAAACTCAAAAAAATAAAAAAAAACCCAGATATCATGCATGTAAATATAAAACTTCGAAAATCAATCACACCCAGCAAAAAATTAAACCCAGAAATTACAAACAATATCGAACCAATCAATTTCGAAATTAAACCCAGAAATTTCGAAACTCAATTAAACGCATACAACTAATCAAAATCAATTAACCCCAGAAAATTCCAAAATCAATTAAACCCATCAATTTCAAACAATATTACAACAATCAAACACAAAAAAAAATCAAGGCATGTAAAATAAATAATTAAACCCAGAAACCTTAACCCCGAATAATTAAACCCAACTACATGCACTAAGCCACTAACCTCGAATTTTACCTGAAAATAACCTCGAATTTTACAAGTTGTGGTTGATTTCGGACTTGGTGGCGACGGTGGTTAGTGGCGCTGGTGGTGGTGTGCAGAAGACAGATGAGGGAGGTCAGAGAGATCGAGAGGGGAAAGAAGAGGGATAGAGGGGAGAGAAGAGGGAGAAAGGGAGGTCGGAGAGATTGAGAGGGGAAAGAAGTCGACGGCGGCGGTGGTGGTGAGAAGAGAGAGCAGGAAAGATAAGAAGAGGGACGGCAGCGGTGGTGGTGAGATGAGAGAGCAGGAAAGAGGAGATGAGATTGGAGAGGAGATGAGATCTGGAGAGGAGAGGAGATGAGATGAGATCAGGAGAGAGAGGAGAGGGGAGAGAGAATGAGGGAGGTTGAGTGATTTGAGAGTAGGGTTTGGGTTTTTATAAGGGGCGTTTTTTTTTTAAAAGGAAAAGCCACCGGTTCAAACCGGTGAAAATAATGTTTTTTGCCACCGGTTTAGTTTGAACCGGTGGCAAAAACCTCCCCTCAAAATCCCACCTATTTTACCCCATATTTTCCCCACCGATTTTTAAAATCCAGTGGCCTTAGGGCGGTGCAAATTTTTTTTTATCACCTAGTGTTCCTTCCCCCATGATAAACCCCTAAAATAACCCATATTGAACTTCGGCGAATTCGCCGGCAGAAGGGATACACTCCGGCGGTTTATCTCTCCTCAAACGAGTCGGAATCAGCGTCGATTGTGAATGAGTTGACTTAGAACTTACCATCGGGACATCCAGGTCAGTGAGTTGTTATCCGGGTCGGATTTCGTAGATCAATGGTTTATGGTTCAACGACTTATGTTTCAAGACAAGTCAGATTTCGTCGCCGGATTCTGGATTGTTTGATTTGTAATGGCGGCAGAGCAGGTGGTGTTAAGGGATGGAAGGAGGGTTTTGGAAATTATTGTTTGGCGCTAGTGAAGAAGGGGGATTTGATGGTTTGATCGCGACGATAAGGGGGAGGTGGTTCAGCCCAAGGAAGGGATCTAGGGGTTTCGGTGAGAATGAGGGAGTTTCGGGGATGGGTGGTGGTTTAGGGGGCGAGGCGGCAGCTGGGAAGGTCGGCGCGTCGGCATGGTAGGGTCTGGGTGCCGACGGTTGTGGCGTCGGTGGTGGCAGGGCAAGGAAGTGGGTGGCAAGGAGGAAGGTTGGCAGTTGGTGGTTGCTGTTTTTTTTATTATTATTATTTTTATTTAATTGTTACAAAAAATCATTTACTAACCCTAGTTAAAGATTTTAACCAAATATATCATTAATGCTATTATTGATATATATTAATAAGTGATGATTACCAATGATAATTAAAAATTTTATTGTTTACCATTGAGAAAAATAAAAACTTCATGAGCACCATTGAGAATTTTCCAATTAATTTTAATTTAGCAAAAGTAATTTAAATTTAGCAAAAATAATTTTAGTTTGGCAAAAATATAATGAAGTTAACCGGGAATTATACACTCAAGCAAATTTAATGGCAATATAAACTTAGGACGTGCCCTTTTAAATAAGACAAACTTTTAATAAAACCGGGTTTTCACTATTTTACTGAAAATCACAGCAAACAAGTGCAAATTGGGCTGCCCAATTTGGGCTCACACGTGTAAATGTAAAAAGAACCAAAAAATTTCTTATTTTCTCTTTCTTCTTTATTTTGTTTCTCTTTCCTGTTTCTCGATTTTTTTCTCTCTCCTCTCCTTCTTTTCTTCTCTTGCTTTTGGCGTTGCTACTTGAATTTCTCTCTTTTCGATCTTTAATTTCTTCACTTTGAAGTTGATTGTTGCTAATTTCAGGTTTGTTTACTCAATTTTATTTCATTTTATTCAATTTTGAAGTGTTTCGATTTTTAGGGTTTCGTTGTTTTGGATTTTTGTAGTTTTTGCAATGGTGAAGAAGAAGGTTTTTGGTGATGATAATGTTGCTCTAGGTTAGTGTTTGTTCTCATTTTCGCATTTTTTTTGTACAATTTTTGCTATGTTTGTTTAGTTGTGCGTTTTAATCACTTGCTTTTGCTTAGATTAAGTTTATTTTGAGAATTGCCTGCTAGGTGTTTGTAAAAATGTCCAAATGAAAAATTGCATGTTCATAGTAGTACAATTGATGAAAGCATTTTGTGTATGAATTTTAGGTTTTTTGCTACTATTTTCGTTTACAGTTTGATATAAATTAAATGCTGCATTTGATTTTAGTGTGGCAAACATGGTGGATATGTTTATCTTTTTGTGTTGCCTGTATATATTTGGTACAATCTTACATCTTAACCAAATGAAGCTGCCATTCTCTGCCATTCTTGTCAAATTTTGTCAAAATTTCTGTTGCGATGTTTTTTTTAAATTAATTTGTAGGATCTATCAAAGGTTTTCGTTATAGTAGAGCTCAGAAAGCAGTAAATAAAATGGATGCAGGAGGAAAAAAGATGTTGAAAGGTGAAGGAAGTACATCCAAGGGAAATAAAAGGAAGAGGCATGAAAAAGAGGATGACGAGTAAGATTTTATGTTTTAGAATATTGTATATTTGCTATACTTTTGTGAATGGAATTGTGACTTTTGTAAGAGTATAGGTAACTTTGATTAATAGGACTGTTTTTATGTGATTTTTGTGTCAATATATTAAGTGTTACTTTTGTGAGTATATCTTTCACTTTTGTATGTATCAATGTCACTTTTTTGAGTGCAAGTATCATTTTGTGAAAATTTTGATAGTAATCACTTTTTTTTAGTATTATATCAATTTAATGAGTGTCATGACTCTCATGAGTATCATTTTTTGTGATTATGATTGTCACTTTTGTGAGAATAAGTATAAAAATTTGTATAAATGTTCATAATTCATGTTTAATTTTATATGATAATTAAAATTTCAGTATATAAGTATGTTATTATCATTTTTGAATGGTAAGCATCATTTTTTTTTGTTTTTTCAGGCCTGATAGGAAAATTACATGTCGTTGTAGACCTTCTTCATTAGTTAAGATTATAAGTGGGCTTTCTCCGACTCAAAAAAAACATGTAGAAGAGGTTGGATTTGGTGGTTTGTTGTCTTTACGTGTGGAGAGTATGGTTGGAGGTATACTTCCTTGGCTTGTTGAGAGTTTTAATGGATATACTTGTATGTTTTGTGTAGCTGATGGTAAGGAGTTTGTTGTGACTAAGGATGATGTGTGTGATGTTTTTGGTTTGCCTAAGGTAGAAGGTCGTGAGGTTCCTGAAATGAAGGGTAGTTACAAAGGTCAATCTCAAGATGATAGTGCATTGAAAAATAAATGGAGAGCTTCTTTTGATGTTTGTGTTGAGGAGTTGATACCTTTGGCTAGATTAGAAACTAGGATCAAGGAGTTGGTGGATGGAGGTGATGAATTTAAGAGGTTATTTGTTATGCATGCTCTTAGTAGTATGCTTGTTCCTACCGCTAATAGGACTGTTAATTTTAGGTTAGTTAATGCTGTGGATGATGTTGATCAGATTAAAAATCTTGATTGGTGTTCATTTGTTTTGAGAAAGTTGATGAATTCTGTTGTTAGTTACAAAAATTTTGAGGCTAAAGATAGTATTAGTGGATGTTTGTTGTTGCTTAAGATTATGTATTTTCATCGTTTGAATTTCCAAGGTGTAGTAGAGAACTCCACTATTCCTCTTATCCAACACTGGACAGATAAAAAAGTGAGAAACAGGGTATCCTTGGAGTTGAAGGCTGGTGGATTTGGTCAGGGGTTTTGAATGAATTGACTTATCCAGTTTCTGCTAAGCGTGTTGATTCGAATGTTAACAACTTAAGTAAGGGTGAAGTTGGGGCGGTTCCTATTGATGATGATAGAAGATGTGTGACTTTCGATTTGCCTGAAGGAGTATTAACTGATTCTGAGATCAAAAGTGCTGCAACTGATGTATGTTTCTTTTTTTTTTTCTTTAATAAAACATTTGTTCTGTTCTGATATAATTGTTTGTTAATGTGTAGGATTTGCATAAGGCGTTTCTTTTTATGAAAAGGAACATGGAGCTGTTTTCATCTGTGAATTCCAATTGTTTTAGTACTTTGCAACGGTTGGTGCATAGTCGTTTTGTTGAACATTCTGTTTCTTTGGATGCTGATTCTATTGAGTTGTCTCAAACACAACAACCTTTGTCTAACTCGCATTATCATAAGCTTATTGATGGCTTAATTGATGAGTTTATAAAAATGAAGTTAGTGGATGAGTTACTTAAAGTTGATGCAAGTACTTCATCAATGTCTACCCTACGAGATGGTGGAGATGGTGGAGGTGGTGGAGATGGTGGTGGCAGAGGTGGTTCAGTCATGAGAACGAATAAAAGTTTGTGTTCTTTGGACTGTGGTGAAATTGGTGATCAGAGTGTAGTGTTTGTTACGCCATTTATGAAAAGTAATTCTCGTGCTTTTAGTGAAAAATTACCTCGATTATATTTAGAAGCTCTTGATTATTGTCTGGTGGAACACTTATTTAATAATAAGTAAGTTCTTTTTTAATTGTCATATTTTTTGAAACTTTTTTTTTCTTTTTCTTTTTGTTTTGATATAAATAATATTGTTTGACCTTGCAGTGAGAATCTTGTTACTTATGGATTGCATTTTCTCATTCCAAGAGAGGATATAGTGTCTTTGGTGCATCCTAATTTGGTTCGTTGGTCAATAGTTGATTGCTACTGCATTTATCTAAATGAACCGTGTTTTTATGATACTTGTGGTCCTCAAAGATTCTTTTTTGGTGCGAGGCAAAGTGTAAGCAACTTTTTGTTTTGAGTTATTTGTCTTCTTACTTTTTTCAATTATTTATTTTTTCCTTTTAGTTTGCTGTTTTGCATGTATCAGAGGGGAACGAAGATAGTTCTGCTAGTTCTGCTGTCTCGGATTTGCACGAAATTTGGGATGAATGGGTTACATATGAAAATTCTGGTTGTGATGTTATTGGTGCAGACTTGGTATATATCTTAATTTTTTATATATATTAACTGTTTGATGGTTGTGCTTTATGCTTACTTTTGTTCTATTTTTTCAGGTTTATTTTCCTATTCTTGTTAATGAACATTATGTGCTGTTTGTGATTGATCATGGCAATGAATTGGTTCATTATGTTGATAATATCATTTGGAGTGATGAGATGATTACATATTTTCAAAATTTGACTTTTTATCTGGTATGTTATTGTCTGTTTTAAAGTATGTTTCTATTTTAATCTTATTTTTTTGTTGTTTTTAATATTCTGTTTTTTTTTCAGTGTTCTGAATTTGGTGATTTTCTAGCACGAAGAAATCATTCAAAGAGTGAAAAAGTCCCTTTTTACAAGTTCAAAATTGTTGATTTAGTGTGGCGGAAGAGTAAGGTTGATAATAATGACTGTGGTGTGTATATGATGTGTCATATGGAGCATTTTGTTGGTGATACATCGTTTTCTGTAGATGAACTTAGAACAGTGCGTGATCTTGAAACTGATCTGAATTAATTCATTTGTTATTGTTTATGCTAATGTTTTATACATATTAATGCGCCTTTTATTTTCTTGTTGTGAGGCTGCTGGGAGGAAATTTTTATGTGCTAAGATTTGTGCAAAACTCGTGTTGTCTGACATGAACGAATCAAGATCTGAAGTCTTATCAGAAGTTGAAAAATTTAATGAGAAGAAGAGCGATCTTTCATATGTTGCTGAAATTGAAGGAAGGAGGAAGGCTGCAGCAGCGGAGAAGAAAAAGAAGAAATCTGAAACTGCTCCTCCTGCTGTTGACACTGCTCTGAAAGCAAAATGGACTACAAAGGCTACACGGAAGTACACTCCTTCTAAATCTTAGCTAATTTTGGAAGTTGTTATTAGTTAACTACTTTTGGAAGTTGTAATTAGTTAAGTACTTTTGGAAGTTGAAACTAGTGATAAATATCGACACTTAAACTAGTGTTAATATTTTCAAAATGTTTGTACAAATTTTATTTTATATATATATATATATATATATATATATATATATATATATATGTATGTATGTATGTATATATATATATATATGTATGTATGTATATATATATATATGTATGTATGTATATATATATGTATGTATGTATATATATATGTATGTATGTATGTATGTATATATATATATATATATATATATATATATATATATATATATATATATATATATGATTAAATATTGGTAATCTATTGTTCTTATTTTTATTTATTTATATTTCTGATTATAATTTTATAAGTGTATCATATATCATCATACAGAAATATAGTTGATTTAAATGAAAATTTGAAGTTTATCATATATATTACCATGTTATTCATTTTAAAAACGGACACTTTTGTGATTATTATTGTCACTTTTGTGAATATAAATATCACTTTTGTGAGTGACATATTTCTATTGTGAGTATGCAATACTTTTGTGAGTAAAAAGTATCACTTTTGTGAGAAGATGCATCACTTTTGTGAGTATTATTGTTACTTTTGCGAGTATTAGTGTTACATTTCTGTAAATGCATCACTTTTGTAAGTGTTAGTGTCACTTTTGTTAGTAAATTCATCACTTTTTCCAGTATATGCATCACTTTTTCCAGTATATGCATTACTTTTTTAAGTATCAGTGTCATATTATATAAATGTTCATAATTCATGAGCAATTCCATATCACAATTCAAAATTCTGTATGAAAGTCAATAGTAGCATTAAACAAAAATAAACTCACTACAAAAAAGTTTGCAATTGTGTTTCATCCAAACTCACTACAAAAAAGTTTGTAGTTATGTTTCATCCAAACTCACTACAAGTTCAAAAAAGTCGCACAGTAGGTGTCTTCGATCCAAACTCTGAATTTGGATCTGGTAATGCTTTTTGCTTTGATTTCTTCCCTTTTTCAAGTGCTCCTTTTTCTCTCTTGCTTCTTCCCTTTGTTACAGCTCTCTTAGGGTCTAATATAGTGGGTATGGTTGTACTTGTTGATGAAGAAGCAGTATTATTGTTACTCTGAGCACTCTCTGCCACATTAGAATTGTCATCACTTGCAACAACCTCCTCTGTAAAAGCTTCAGCCGCAAGTAAGTCTTCCACCATTTTCATACAGCTTTTGAAGTTTTCCTCCATGAATGCTCTTGCCTTTTCATTTTCTTGACTCTTTAAGATTAAGTTATAATATTTTCTCATCATTGTATGTCTCCATGGTGTATATGGGAGTTTTGGATCCTTTTTTTCCATTCTATTCCATACTTCAGACTTTGCAAGCTTTGTCCATATTTTGCTAATTTACTTCTATGGAATTCTTGTAATAGAATGTAGATGTAAAATTCCGAGGCAGTGATAGCAGAGCCAACCAGAAGCTTCGAAATTCTTGCAAGTGCACCATATAGTTTGGCTCTCATGTATGTAACTTACCTGTTGGGAAGACCATGGCTTTTCTTCTAGAGATACTTTATAAAGAATAATGTTTTCTTCAGTTCTCCCTAGAATTTGTATTGTGGTCGCCATTGAGTAGCCAAATTCCTCTTCAAAGTCTCTAAACAGAGACAATGTGTAAACCTGTACATTAGAGCAATAACTTACTACCAGTCATGTTCCTTTGCATGTATCATTTTTATATTTGCTTATATTGTTTGTTTTCAGTTCTTAGATATATGTAATAAAGGAATATAGAAGTACCTGAGCAGCATGCTTTAGCATTCCGGATAGTGGCAATGAAGTAAAGGCTATTGATTTGCTGCAGGTAAACTCATTATACTTCTCATCACTTCTCCATCTTTTTATGGTTCTTACAAAGATGCCATAGAATTCTGTCAGTGTTGTTGATTTATTAGCTCTGAATCCTACTACATGGTTCGTACTTTCACTTCTTTGTGATGAAAGAATTCCTGTCGAGAAGAAATCTTTACTAAGTGCTGGACACCACTTTTCCTTTAGATTGTACACCCTTTGGTACCATGCATGATTAACCAAATCAAATTTTTGTATCATTTCTTTCCATCTTTTTTCAAATTCTGTTTCTGTCACACATCCCTTCTAGAATTTGTTAAATATTTTTTTGAACTCATTATCCCTTTTAAGGGCTCCAAATCGTGTTATTGCATTTTGTTCTAAGTGCCATATGCATAGCCTGTGCCTTGTGTCTGACAATACCTGCATTCAGAATGTGATATGTCACTAAACTTGAACACTTATTCTCACAACAGTAATATTTTTAATCACAAAAGTAACATTTATACTCACATAAGTGATACTTATATTCATAAAAGTTATGAACACAAAAATGACTTAAAATGAGACTGGAATCAGTGAATATGATATTGAAATAGAAAAAGTAGTACCTGCTCAATTGCAGTAGCCATAGCCTGGTCTTGGTCAGTGAATATGGAGGTTGGAATTCTATTCTCCATAGATTTTTTAAAGGTTTCAAGCAACCACACAAACGACTCTGTTTTTTCATTGCCTATGAATGCACATGCAAACATACAATTTTTCCAATGGTTATCTATTCCAACAAAAGGAGCACATATAAGGTTATACCGATTTGTTCTGTATGTTGTATCAAATACAAGAACATCTCCGTATATTTTGTAATCCTCTAACATCATTGCATCTCTCCAAAAAATGTTGGAAATTCTACCTTCTTTGTCGAATTTCACTCTAAAATAGAAGTTAGAATATTCTTTTTGTTCTTCGATCAGAATGTTCACTAATGTCTGAGCATCTCCAGCCTCTATTTGTTCCATTCTTAGTCTTGAGCAGAAATTGAGGTGATCTACAACACTATGCCCCAAGTTTTCTTCTCCATTAACTTCTGTACACATGTAATTATATGTGTCCATTGTTGAAAGTCCAGCAGATTTCATTGTTTTAATTGCTTCTGCCTTTTCTATTGTTACTTCTCTCTCAGATCGATGCAAATAATGCCACTGCTTTCTAGTTAGTTCATGATTATGCTGTAACACATGTGACACCACCTTAAATTTTCCATCATCATTCATTTTTTCTCTTAGGCTTGCCTTGCAGTTAGTTCTTGTAATGGAGACTTGTCGTGGTTTTCTTTGTTTTAAATCCTTGTTATCTTCATCAACCATTAGAACCATATTTGTCTTCTTTGCAGCAGTATGTCTTTTTCCTTCCGCAGAACACACATAGTATTTCTCTGTGACTATACGTGTGTGTAAGCGATACCTTGTTGTATGCTTTCTTATTGAAAATCCCACTGTAGAAGCATGTAGACTGTACAAGTCATAAATTTGTCATAAATTTCTTGATAAGTGTCTCTTTCCACTCCAACTAATGATCCTTCCATATCTAAACCAGTGGTATCTGTTGGTTTTGGATTTGTATCTGTGCATTAGTAGAATAAGAGATATTTAGCATTTTCTTGTAACAATTGTAACCAAAATCACAATTACAGCATGAACAAAATCACAAGCAAGTACCTAGAGGCATGAGAACATGGGAGCATAGGGTTATATATATAGGTTATTCAGTTAAGCATATGCATAAAGAATAAGTTATTTAGTACAGGGGTATATAATACAAGTAACTTCTGTATTAATAAAGGTAACATTTGTAATGATATTAGTAACTTTTGTACCAAGAGACATGCATAAATGCTTTTATAAATAAACATATAGTCAATGTAACTTTTGCCATAATATATGTAACTTTTGCCATAATATATGTCACATTTATAGAATTTTACCTTCGTCTTCATCTACTGGTTGTCCTTCTTCATCTAGTGTGTTCGGAATAACTTGATCTTCATCTTCTAATGTATTTGAAACACCTTGATTTTCAATATCTGCATTAATTATTGAAAATTAAATAAAAAATTTAAGCAAAAACAAACAATAGGTTAGTATTTGTTTAGATTATTACCTTGTATTTGAATTTCTGGAACTTTTGAGTTTTGAATGTTATCATCATTAAACTGATCGAGATCATCAACGAAATTCTCTGCTTCACCTTCTCTGAATGTTTGATTGAGGTCGAAACTCCATGTTTTCTCTGGATGTTGCGTTAATGGTGGTCGATTTTCTCTTTGTAATTGCAGAAATTCGCGCATTAGGTTTTCGTAATTGGACGATTTGGAGGTTTCCGGCATTGTTGATCGAAAATTGTAGATTTCTCTCTCCTCCATGGTTGCTTGGTGAAGCAGCTTTGAATCTGGAAAATTGGAGTTTTCTCTCTCCTCCATTGTTGCTTGCTGAAGGAGATGTTCGTTATTTTGGAAAAAAGGAAAAAAAAAATACTGTTCACACGTGCGAAAAGCCGTTGTTCAGTACTTTACTGCACACCGGTTGTATGTAAAACTTTTTGTTTAAATAATCATAATAATAGCTAATGAGCCGAGCCTAGTTAGACAAAAGGGCCCAACCTCCCAATGAACAATTGGACATCCCATTCAATTATCAACCCAAGACAATTATTTTAGCGGGAAAAAATGTTCCAGAAAGAAGACAAGTGTACATACATGACATCAGCAGTTATGTTTTTTTATTTTATTTATTACAGAAGACTCCATTACTATTCAAGCTGATCTCTTCTCTTTCTGCGTTGTAAAAAACTAAAAATACAGAAAAATCTGAAATTTAACCCGAAAAAAAAAAATGTCGGATCAAAAATTTCCAGGTGAATTTCCCAATGAAATAATCACAAAAATCTTAACTCTATTACCCGCAAAATCCGTTTGTCGATTCAAATGTGTTTCCAAAACTTGGAATTCCTTAATCTGTAACCCCCATTTCGTCACTTCCTACATTACTCACAACTCATCTTCATGGATTATCGTTGATCGATTTGTCACCGAGTCAAAAGAGAAGGTAACTCAGTTCAACCCAGCTCAAAACCCTAACATTTCATCACTTTCTGCTAATCATCATCGTTTAATTTACGAACCAGTTACTAGTGACTGGAAACCTACCAAAAACCCACCTGTAATTTTAGCTTCTAGCAATGGGTTGCTTCTGTTTTCGTTTGCTATCGAAAGAGATCCCTTTAAAGAACATGAGAAAAACCCTAATCAATTTTCTCTTCTCAAATCGGACTATGTTTTGGTTGTCATAAACCCAGTAACCGGTGAGTGGGTCCCACTTCCGAAACCCAATCACTCGATTAATAAGCTGAATTCTGTAGGGTTTATGTCTAGGCTTGATTGTTATTGTAATGGGGTTGTGGAGAAGTTTATTGTTGTCGAGTATCAACCTTTTATTGGGAGTGATTCTGGTTATTTGTTGTGCTTTTCGTCGGATACCGGAAAATGGGTTTATAAACCTGCTACTTATATGCTTGGGATGCATTTTTGGAGGGCTGAAGGGGTGTTTGTGTTTGCTGGACGTTTCTTTTGGGTTGATTTAAGTTGTGGGGTGATTACTTGGGATGATGATGACCCTTTTCGCCGTGTTGAGGAGGAGAAGGAAATGGCTCGATGTCAGTTTATTCCGCTTCCTAAGGGGTGTAGGAAGCCCTTTAATACTCTGAAATTGGAGGATGAACGAGACATTTTTGGGGCTGGAGGGTATATTCACTATATGGAGATGTTTAGAAAAGGAGATTATGTGTTGAAGTTGTGGAGGTTAAAGGATTTCGAATCTTCTGTGAATGAATGGAATTTGGTGTACAATTTGTCTCGTGTGGATGTTGAGAGTGTGCTGTGTTGTGGTGTGAAGTCACTGCCCCGGCCTTGTTTCACCCACCCTTTTGATGTTGATATAGTCTTCTTTAACACGAAAGATTGAATCTTTTCCTTTAATCTTCGGACTCAAAAGGTGGAGGCTAATGCTAGCTTCACCGGACATAAGTATGTTATCCCATTTGTGCTCCCGTGTTGGTCAACTTCGCTTCCTCCCCGGTTGTGTAAGTGGCTCTTTCATTGTTTCATTATGCTCTAGCCAGTTTATGGAATAGTGTTGTGATATCTCTGTATTATACTTGCCGTATGTCTTTCTATTTTCAAGGTTTATTAGATGCTATATTGAACTTGTAACCTATTCTCTAATCACAAACTTTATGTTGCATTCAATGTTATGCTTTAAGTAATTCGTTGTGACAAGTACCTTGTATTTAGTTGGTGTTGTGTGGGAGCTTTCTTACAAATAACTAGTCTTGGGCAGAATTTAGGTCTTGTGATGACATTGATGTGTTATAATATGGCTGGACACTATGCTTCTAGGCTTGCTCTGTCATTACCTTAACTCAAGTGCTCGCTAATGCTCTAGTCCTCTAGCCAGTTTATAAAATAGTTTGATGATATATTGAACTCTTTATTATACGTGCCATATGGTCTATCCATTTTTGAGGTTAGTTAGAGTCTAAATTAAACTTGTCAACTATATGTTGCATTCGAATGTACGATGCTGTGCTTTGAGTAGTCCATTACAATAAGTACTTAGTAATTAGTATTCAAGTGGTATTGTGTGGGAGCTTTCTATACAAAGTGACTAGTCTTGGGCCGGATGTTTTTGAATTGCAAGTTGCAACTGATGGTATATCACCACGATGCACTATATGAGCTTGAATTTAGATCTTGTGATGATATCGTTGTTATATATTAATGTATGGTTGAACATTATGCTTCTAGGCTTGCTTTATCATTACCTCAGCTCTAGTATTTTTTTTAAAATAATGGTTATTTGTTTTGTTAAACTTGTGCACCTTGTGTTTCTTCCAAAGCAATTTCTAGGAATGATAATTTGTTCTGTCTTACTTGCGCATTTTGTATCTTCTCCTGTCAAATGTGAAGCTAAGCCATCTTTGATATTGTTCCACTTCCGTCCTTGCAACTTACTTTTATATTTTTCAATCAGTAATCACTTCATCCCACCAAGACTTAGCTTGTCTTACTGGAGCTTCTGCAGTACCTAAGTTCCTTCTTTGACCTTTTGTTTACCTTGAAGTTGTAGTTTCATAAATCAGAATTTCTGCATTATTCTCTTTAATCGTGACTCAAAACCTCCAATCTTTATCTTAATAAGAAATTTATGATTGATAATATCTAATTTTGTCTTAGAAAGTTGAATGGGAACTCCTCTCTTTTATGTGCAATTGCTACTTTGCTTTAGTGATTGAGCAACCCTATCAGGAATTGGCACAAAGAAACTTTTGCCCCTTTGTTTTGTGCTTCTCTTAGAACTGATTCTTTGTTGGTTATCTTGTAGCTATTTTCGTGCTTCATGAACATATTCCGTTGATTATCTATTTCTGTGCTGTGTTTTCTTTAGTTCCCTATCCGAGGATAGATTTTGGGAGTGGCATATTCAGAATGCTCTTGTTAGTTTCTGTGCTGTGTTTTTTAGTTCCCTATTCGAGGAACTTTTTTTTTTTTAATCTCGGGGAAGCATATTGTGCACTTACCCTATGTGAAGCGATTGTGATTTGTATGAATTCTAGTTTTGCCAGACCTAGGTATTTCACAAATGTTATGTCATTATAAGATTTGCTTTTCTCTACTCGACCTTCCCTCCTTATCTTGCCTAGTAATCTTACTGATATCCTTATGAATTGAAAACCTTGGTGGTTTTTTGCAGATGCTGCCTATGCGAAAGAGGAGGGCAATGCACTCTTCAAGAACAAGAAATTTGATGAAGCTATAAATTGCTATTCCAGAAGCATTGCACTGTCACCTACTGCATTCGCTTATGCAAACAGAGCATTGGCATACCTCAAGGTCTGCAGATTCCGTGAGGCCGAGGATGACTGTACTGAGTCCTTGAAATTGTACAGCGAGTATGTTAAAGTTTATGCACGCAGAGCAATTGCTAGGAAAGAACTTGGTAATCTTGAAGGATCTATGGAGGATATCGATTATGCCTTGAAGTTGGAGCCACATAGCAAAGCAATGAAGGAGCAACATGCTGAAATCAAGATCTTGCTTGATGAGAAGGTATGGACTTTTCTAGACTCATCTGATCCCAAAGAGAATGATATATATTGGCTTTGAGCAATCTGTTTATCTTTTGTAAATCATTAAATCAAATTTGTATTGAAAACTCTTTTGTCCGGCTTGATTTAGTAACAGGGGGAGGGGAAGAGTAGAGTGTTTGTTGTCTCACCAATGTTGAATCATATCTGATAAATCTTTTTGTGATGAAGTTTTGCAAGTCATGCATTATGTATATGGATGGTGGCAAAGATGGGGAAGAACTATTACTTATGTGTTTAGTACTTACTATTTTGTTTACAGCGTTTCTCTTTATGTATTATGAATTATGCATCCAGTAATTCGAACTAAATTTTTCACTAACTTTGTTTTTGTCTTTGTATCTTGGCCAGGCTTCCTGTATGGGATCTGCTGCGCATTTGGAGGATTAACCGTGCACTTGTTGATTAGTGTGGTGAAAGAACTGCATATGTTGCGGCATTACATCAGAAGTACGCTGCTTCCATTCCACTAATGAGTAGAAGACCTTGTCCAGCTTAATTCCTTAGCTTATCTAGTTGTCCCTCTAATACTTAATTAATTAAGAAGCTTTTTTAGCTGATATCAGACCTGTTAGTATGTCTATCGTTGCAACTTAGACTAATGTAGAGATGACTTGTATCTATTGAGACTGCGAGTCTGCAGCACCTTTTCAGTTGAGATGGTTGTAGAACTTCGGCTTTATCTGTTGTTATCATTGGAACTCAATGAATCGTCGTACAAGTTGTCATACCATGGTTGGTATCTTGTTCTTACCCTCCATTACCACCCTTTATTTCAGATATTGACTCAGTGACTTGATTGGTGTCACGGTGTGAAGCTAATTTTCATTACTAATTTTTATTCTGTTAGCCGGTAGTTGCTGATGTCTGCAGGCTGCAGCTGCTAATTTTGTTAGCTATATATACTTACAAAAGTTTGTAGATAATTATAAATTTGGTGTTACAAAGATCATTTGAACGATGATTTTTCCATAAAATTATGATCAGTCTCGAAGGTGATAGAGATCTAATTGCAGATGCTTCCTGATTGAGTACTCGAGCTCCTATCATCTAATTTAGCCGCATCCAGAAACTGCATGCTCTGTTATTAAAACTTTGAGAATGGCAGTATATTATAATTGCATACTAACGATGATTCGTTAATTCGAGATAATCATCAGTATATTATTAATATCAGCACAATATAATTACTTTAGCTAATAATAATGTTACTAGTATTAATAATCAACTAGCCTAATAAGAACATTGCCTTGTTTTTGGACTCAACAATTCGAAATACATAGTTCAGGGCTTTCTAAAAACATTGAAATTATTCTACAAACTATATCTAAAATTAAACCTTACTCCGTATAAATTAATACTGGTTGAACCGACCTATAATAGTTTTCTTACTCAACAACTATAGGATTATAGCTTGTTTCTCCTTTTTCTTCTTCTTCTTCTTCTTCTTCTTCTTCTTTGACTTGTTTTTCTTCTTCTTCTTCATCGCTATTGAGTAGAGCGGCTGGAAAGTCACCTCGAAGAACTTGAACCTTCAACCTCATTGGATCTTTCGACATGAGCTCGAAAGTACAAACATCTCCTACCTTAAGTTTGTTGTCAACAGCAAATTGTTTCCATCTACCATCCAACTTTTTATGTACTATATTATTACCGATGTAGTTCATCTCCCAACTCTCAGTGCCACGAGTGAGGATCACTGGGACTTCGATGTTAGGAAGGATTCGAGCACCTTCAGCCGGTATTGTCTAATATAGATGTAATCAAAGAAACTTATCAATGACATAGTAAAATGTACGTATCATTTATTTTTATCCACCTATATTCTTATAAAATGAAAGAGATGAAAGAAAAAACACACCAATTGATATTGAGGAGAAACATGCGTCTTAGTAAGCTTGATATGGAAGAATGGTGCTCCTGTCTTCGGTTCGATTTCAATATCTTCACAAGTATTCACTCTTGGTTTCATTTCTCTAAAACACAATAACAATCCATACATTATTATGATAAACATAAACTATAAGATTAACTAGTTAATTAAAAACTCCGTATTTAAATTATATATGGTGTAAAGTTGTAAACTTAAGACTTATATAGATAGATGGAAACATACGACATAGCCAGGTTCTCCAAGATCAAGGTGGAATTAGTCACGTCTCAAGAATGTGCTGCCTTGGCCGCCTTATATACCTCACTTGGCCGAGGAGCCAATCTCTGGATCAGAACCCGGCCCCTAATATGCCTCGCCGCTCAAGACAGTTAATAGCTTGTATATATTCTATGTACTCGTGTTTGTTTTTCCTACTAGTAACCCTTTTATAGACGAGAGTGATAGAGATTGCAAGTTGCAATCTCAAGTGCAAGCTAATTAAGCTTCTAGTAGAGCTACAAAGTACTTTTTTGCATAGGTTTCGAGTTATGATTGGTCACGATGAGGAGTGTACAAGATGCGTAAAGTAAGGCATGGAGTATTTATTTTCATGTAACGTAAGAGCTGAGATGGATTGATGCAATTGACAATAAGTATTGGATCAATTACAGCCTGTAACTATATAACATGACATCTAGAATTGAAAAATGTTCAGGTCAATCTTTTGATTTGCAGAAATATGATTATATATATGGTTTGATGCAATTGACAATAATGAATTTAGGGAATTGAAAGATATAAGAAAAGGTTTGAGGGATCATTGAATGAAGCGAGAAGCCGAGAAAATATAACGAGGGGAAATCGTAGTTAATTAAGCTCGTAAATATGTTCTTTTTGTCACTAACTGTTGTTTATAAGTCATAGTAGCAACATCATTTAGAGACGGAGATAAGGAAATAAGTTAATGTTCGAAGAAAATGGACTACTTAAACTTTAAATCGGCAATAGAATGTCCCGTCAAAGCTTGCATTTCTATTGCAAGAAATTGGCCTGATCTTATTAAAGCGTGTGCATAGACAACATTTCCGTCGAAAGGATCAAAACCTTTAACTTCCATACTATATTTCCTATAACAAGAGGAAATGGCCATACTACCAAGATTAACACTACTAAGATCGACCTTTTTTTCCGTTCCAAGCATGATTATTAAAGTCCCAAAAACCAAGTATTGCAACATAAACGCGTGTACTGTATAGTCGTATGCACCATTGAACATTGCTTAGGCCATGGCCGTGATAGAAGTGTATATAATCATTCTCATCATCAAAAAATTACTCGAAATTTGATGAATTCGCATTGGTCAGTCTTGTCGAAAGGATCTATACAAGTATACAACTACACTAAGCGTGCTGTAAGTCCATTGTAACTTTCCGTTACATATCACACCCACAAACGATAAATGCATAATAAGATTACTAAAGAGGATTAAACCGAGATATAGAAATAAGACTTACTATGCCTTGATATAATTAATATCAGCAATAATTCAGCATAATATAATTTCTTTAGCTAATAATTATGTTACTACTAATAATAATCAACTAGCCTAATAAGAACATTGCCTTACTTTCAAGTACATAAAAACATCGAAATCATTATGCTAACTAAATCTAAAACTAACCTAACAAATTAGGAAATAAACAAGATTGAACCAGTTATAGTTTTCTTACTCAACAACTATAGGATTATAGCTTGTTTCTCCTTTTTCTTCTTCTTCTTCTTCGACTTGTTTTTCTTCTTCTTCTTCTTCTTCTTCTTCTTCTTCTTCTTCTTCTTCTTCTTCTTCTTCTTCTTCTTCTTCTTCTTCTTCTTCTTCTTCTTCTTCTTCTTCTTCTTCTTCTTCTTCTTCTTCTTCTTCTTCTTCTTCTTCTTCTTCTTCTTCTTCTTCTTCTTCTTCTTCTTCTTCTTCTTCTTCTTCTTCTTCTTCATCGCTATTGAGTAGAGCAGCCGGAAAGTCACCACGAAGAACTTGAACCGTCAACCTCATTGGATCTTTCGATATAAGCTCGAAAGTACAAACATCTCCAACCTTAAGTTTGTTGTCAACAGCAAATTGTTTCCATCTTTTATCCAACCTTTTATGCACTACATTTTTACCGAGATAGTTCATCGTCCAACTCTTAGTGCCACGAGTGAGGATCACCGGGGCTTCAATGTTAGGAAGGCTTCGAGCACCTTCAGCCGGTATTGTCTAATATATATAGATGTAATCAAAGAAACTTTTTAATCACGTATTAAAATTAAATGTACCATTTTTTTTTTAATTTACCTATATTCTTGTAAATTGAAAGAGATGAAAGAAAAAACATACCAATTGATAGAGAGGAGAAACGTGCGTCTTAGTAAGATTGACATGGAAGAATGACAAAATATAATGAATAATTCTCTGTAATTCTCATTCATCACAATGGCCACATACAATATGTATATATTAGGTATACTTGGAGGGCAAGACCAAATAACCTAAAATAGCTCACAATATATTCTAGGATATATTTTCACAATATTCACAATTATCTTGTTTCATAAAATATATCCCAATACCCCCCTCAAGTTGGAGCATACGGGTCACAAATGCCCAATTTGCGAAGTAGAAACTCGAACTTAGCTTTTCCCAAAGCCTTTGTAAAAATATCAGCCAACTATACCGTCGTAGGAACATACGAAGGTATAATCGTCCCATCTGTAATCGCATCCCGAACAAAATGACAATCTGACTCAATATGTTTTTTTTTTTTTTTTTTTTTTTTTTTTTTTTTTTTTTTTGAAGAAGACTCGATATGTTTTGTTCGTTCATGAAACACTGGATTCTGCGCAATGTATAACGCAGACTGACTATCACAATAAAGGTGCATCCCATTTTCATGTCAAACACCTAAGTCACCAAGTAGTCGCTTCAACCACTTTAATTCACAAGTCGTTGCATTCATACAACGATATTCTGCTTCCGATGAAGAAAGAGCTACAGTAGGCTGCTTCTTGGTTTTCCATGACACTGGAGACAAACTAAGAAGCACAAACCAACCACTCAAGGATCGTTTGGAGAGAGGACAACCTGCCCAATCTGAATCACACCAACCTTCCAACTGTAAAGCACTATCAGATCTCAATAAAATTCCCTGTCCTGGACTCTTCTTCATATATCTAACAACTCGCAGAGCTGCTTCCCAATGATCAATCCTGGGATTTTGCATAAACTGTGATAAAATGTGTACAGAATATGCTAAATCGGGTCTCGTAACAGATAAATAAATCAGTCGACCTATGAGGCGACGATATTTCGCAATATCATGAAAATACTATCCCTGAGATAGTGCTAACTTGTGATTTTGTTCCATAGGGAACTCTGCAAGCTTAGCATCGAGTAAACCTGCTTCAATAATAATATCCAGTGTATACTTCCTCTGGCAAATAAAAATTCCCTGTTTGTTTCGGGCTACTACTAGCCCCAAAAAATATTTCAACACTCCAAGATCTTTCATCTTGAAACAATCTCCTAGATATGATTTAAAACTGAGCATAGCATTTTTATCGTTGCCTGCAACAATTAAATCATCGACGTATACTAACACATTAAGCTGCATTTTACCCTTTGTCAGAGTAAACAAAGAATAATCATAATATGACTGTTTAAAGCAATAATTTTTCAAAGTTGTAGCAAGCTTTGCAAACCAGCATCGAGAGCTTGTTTAAGCCCGTACAACGATTTTTGCATCCTGCAAACTTTGTCAGAATTATCTTTCTCTAAACCAGGGGGAATTTTCATATATACCTCTTCTTCCAAATCACCATGAAGAAATGCATTATGAACGTCCATTTGATGAACTTCCTAATTTTTCACTGCCGCTACTGCAAGAAAGGTTCGA